GCTGCTAACTGCGGCTACTGTTTCGCTTCGGGGACCTCCAACGAGCGCCGCTTGACAAGATCCCAGGCAGCAAACAAACCCAAAGGAAGCTGAAGCTGAAGCCCGGCCAACAATTGAACTGCAATAAAACAATTTACCCAAAATAGCGCTCGGCCCAAGAGCAATCTGCTGGTTAACCTGGCATCAGACTGCTGATGCACTGAGAAAAAGGGTAGCTGCCTTTTCATAATATTGCTTACAAATAAATAGTCTTAACTAATGATATACGTTGGAATCGTCGTCCTATGAAAGTTTTAAATTGTTTTTAAATATAACAAAAGTTTGGTTTTCAATCAGGATGATTAGTTTAAAGATTTATATTTAAAAATAAATATTCTTAGAATAACTTTAAATAATGTATTAATCTAGATGTACATTTTCGTTAGCTGAGAACTACAGTAGTTATCAAATATTTTTCTACATATGTTTCTCTTTCATCTTTGGTAATTCCCTTAATTTGTTGTTCTTTCATTTACCTTAACAGTTTTTCAGGACATTAGGAATAGATCTGATTGATTTTGTATTAAGTTTTCTTTCCAGTGTGGATCTGCCGCTGTTACTGGACTCTGGGCAACATTTATCATTGAAATGTGGCGTGCGGCTTCTACGCAGTCGCCGAGGATGCTTTGCGGCACCAAAACGAGCTCCCGAAACTCTCTTTTGACTTTGGCGGTTGCTTTGCATATATGCAGTGTGGCAGGGCTTGAAAGGGCGCGCGGCAGCGGCGGGGGGGGCGTGGCAGTTGGCCGATAAACTAGCCTCGATCCCGACCAGTCAGTCGCGTAAGTCAGGCAGTCGAAAGGCAGTCTGCGGTCGCTGCAAAATCAATTCATTGGCCCTGAACAGATTTTGCCTTTATCTCCGGCTCTCAGACTCTAGGCCTCTTGGACAGGCGGCTGATTTGCATATGTTTTGGTACTTGGTACTTGGCATTGGTACTTGCGACTTGCGACTTGGTTGTGCTTTGCTTCTTGCGACAAAGGCCCTCATAATTGCTTGATTTAGCGACCCATTCAAGGCGAATAGTCAGTCGGCGCCAGCCAGATCTTTGTAGCCTCGCTCTCGGGAGGTTCTTCTTCCCTGGTGTAAATTGTCGTCCGAGAAGGCTACGTGTGGTGCAAGCTTCACACTAAGAAAAATTGAGAGAAAGTTATATTTAAAAATGTTTACTTCAAAAAGAAGCAAAACAACCAGATATAACTACTACTCTGTTCATCGAAAATGATTTATACCTTATCTGAAAGTAAGTTCTTAAGTTCCCAAAAAAAAGGATTGCTTTAAATGTCTTTTGTTTTGGAATATAATCTTTCAAGAAACCAACCAAGCGACATTATATTTTTTCGTAATATGAATTGATATAAAATCCAAATAGGCAATAACAAAGTAATGTTATTTTCAGTGCAGGTTTCTTTAATGTTGAAGTACTAGTGGGTGTCTTGGCGGTTTGTGTCGCGTAAATTGCCAAGCAATTCATAAATGTCAACGCGTCTTGTATGAAAGATGGCAGAAGACTTGGGGGCAGGGGCAAAGTTAGGGGAGATTTATGAGTATGTTTGGCTGCTAAAATCAGCTGAGCAACAATTAGAAAAGGCTTAAGATCTAGAGTAGGGATAATCCCTTTAGGATTTTGAAAAGATACCTAAAATTGTATTTGACCAAACAGATTTAAATAACAGTTAGAGTAGCTTAAAAAAGGCCTTTTGTTCATGAGAAGCTTTATGCAATTTTATTTGTCAATATAATCTTTAGGGAACTGAGAATACCAGAATTGCTTTCACGAAATATCCATACTTCTTATTCGGTTAACACAACTCCCTCAAATGAATATTTCAATTCGTATAATAAGCCATCCTGATAGTTAAAAGCCCTAGAACGTGCTCCAGTTCCCCGAGTCCTGTCTTCGCTTTGACCTTTATTTACACCTTTCGAATCCTGTTGATTTCCAACTGCCCTCGTCTCACCGTTCGATCAAAATATTTGCATAAGCAGAGGCCTGAATTACAGTTTAAGCCAGAAACCTCAACAGCGCAGAGCAGAAGGCTAAAAGCCGAGGTGAGCAGCGTCATGTGCTCGGTTCAGATACAAATACAAAGGCAGATACACCGAAACCCAGGTTTTAAAACCCGGCGAAGACGACGACGACAGCAGGCACGCGCCCCGATCCCGATTCCCAGTCCAAAAACCAAAAGGAACTCAGGTACAAATAAAGGAAGGCAAAAACGCAACGCAGGGGAGAAGAAAAAAAATGAGCAACAGTCAGAAAAAAAGCGAAAAAAAGGACCCGAAAAATGTGCAACTGTTCGGCGATCGTTCGCATGGGTGAATAACCCATGGAAAGGTTTCCTCACAGAATCTCAATCTAGCGAAGCTTAGTTTATAATTTTGGACAGGAAAAAGCTGCTGCAAGATGGAAGATCTTATCGTATCTAATATCTGTGCGAGGGACTCGATCAAATTACAGTTCCGGTCAAGATTGAGCATTTGGTTCCGCTTTTTCGTTCTTCGGGGATGAAGACAATGATGATCGGGGGAGCAACCGTTAACCTTATAAGTTAATGATTTGCCCGATGCCGATGTGCCTTTGGTTGCTGGTTTGCTGGTTGCTGCCTCCTGCACTTCAAGTGCAGCATATGGCGTTCTTACTTCAGCACAACTGACGCAGGATACGCAGGATACTCGGGATCGCAATGCCGGCCTACCTACGATCTGAGTTTTGGGTCGGTTGGTTCACTTCCTATCCTCCAAAAAAGAGCCCGGGCAATCTCCCCCTCTCTCGAATATGTAAAAAGATCAATCAAATATTGGGTTCCCTTCGCCGAGTTCGAGTTCGAGTCTCCCTAGAAGGAATTTCCTACTTGTATCTAGATGCTCACTTGACTCTGGCATTTTTTAAAGGCATTTATACCGTGTAATAGTAGGGATTGGGGTGCCCAGGGTGCTAAAGGGGTATGCTGGTTGGGGTAACTTCTTGGTTTTTAATTTAAGTATTATCTACATAAACAGAAAAGATTTAACAGAAATTAAAGGTTACTATTTTACCAAAAATATTTTCGGAAAATGGATCGTTTACCATTTATGTTAAGTAATATTAAATAATATAAGTGTTGTATTCATTATCTTGACGCGTTATGAAAGTATTCAATTTCTTAACATGTTAATAATACACTCCACTTCTTAATAAAGTAAATATGTTGTAAAATTGAGCTTTAATTGATAGTCTGGAAACTAAATTACTTATTCTTTATATTTTCAATAACAAGTTTCACAACATACCATTTTATACTGCTATTTTCCATTTTTCTACAGGTAATTCTTTAGTCTTATGCAACCAGAACACAACTCCATTGTTTTTTTTCTCCCTGCTCAACTGGCCTTTTTTTCCGACTGTCAGTGCTGGTGTGCACCTGCTTTTCGGGCACAGGACGCGCGTCTTTTGACCGCAATCGTTGCCAGGACTCCACAGAAAAGCAAAACCAAATAGCGCTCTTACAAGCAGGTCGCTTAACTGTTAAGCTTGGCGCGCTTACATCGCAGGGAACCGAACTTAATTTAGGTTTTTTTGCGGGAAGGGAACTTGCGAATTATCCTGCAGAGCGTGTGCCAAAAAAAAACGAAACCGCAACTTACTGCTTTACAAAAATCGTAAAGGCAAAACGAATCCGAGCTTGGCTCACTTCGTCCTGGGACGAAACCACTTTCGTTTATTTTAATTTCGATTGCGGTCAGTCAGGGGAATCGAGGCTCTGGGGGATCGGGGAATCGGGGAATTGGCAGCCAGCCTGCTGCAATCTGACAAGAGCCTGCTGCATTTAATAACTGTTTTCGTTTTTGCCGCTGCTTTTTATACTCTTTAATAAGAAATGTTTAGTTCAAGTCAGTTATAACATTTTTAACTATTAAGTTCAACAATAAAGAAGTTTCTTAAATCAACTACATATATGGCTAAAACTTCCATAGAAAACAGGGCAAAACTACTGTCGAAACATAACCTTTTTTTTAGGGTAATAAGTTTTACCAGTTTCTTAGCTTCACAAGATTTTATTTTTTTGTTTAATTTTCTGTCAGCTTTAATACTCAACCAAATCAAATAATTTGATTTCCATATATACAAATTTTAATAAAAGACTTAAACTTAAATCGAATAAAATTTTTGGAAGGGTATTTCATGCTTTCGAAGTAAATCATTGCTGATGTTTTTGTTGTTTTTCAACTCGTCTGCTGGTGCCTGTAAAACTGCCCCTCGAGTACCACGACCTGGACGCTATATAGGAGTCTATAGCGATCCCGTTTTGCGGTGCACGTGCCACATTTTGCAGCTTGCCACGAGATGTTCACCGGTCGATCGAGCTGTTATCTCGCAAAACAACGCGCCTCGGACTTAATTAATTTTTATTTATGTTAACGAGCCTTTGGCTTTTAGTTAAATCAAAGTATAGGGTCCACATACAGATCCTCCCTTACTTGAACTGAGCTTCTTAAAGTCTGTTCAACGCCACAAGGTTTGATTTCAACATGTGGAAATAAATGAACGTATTACTTTTTACCTTTAAATAAACATATTGTTGTTAGTTATTTTAAATGCAATTGTACATATCATCAACACATTTTACCAAATCGACTAGTGTTCTTAAGTAACAAATTTGAACTAACATGGAAACAATATTTATAATAACCGAGTACGCAATTATATATTTTTTAATACGTGGTAAACTATTTACAAAGGTTTTATACGTTAGTGTTAAATTCTTAGTTAAGTGATTTCTAGTTTGTTAAAACCTTAGATCACCATTAGCTTAAAAATGTAAATACCATTTCCTGAAATCAGTATCCCCGATCAGCGACCTCTAGCGGTGGCTAGGGTTTAAGCCCTTCAAAACTCACCGATAGGTGTCTCTTGGCACACTTTAAATATATATTTGGCTCTTGAAATTAATTTGGGGAAAAAATAAAACCCAATCGTCTTGTCTGATAATCCTGTTCAGGAATATATTTACTTTATGGGGTCTTTAGACTTTCTTGCGACTTGTTACATTTTTTCAACAGTAATTATTGAACTAATTGCTAACAATTTTTATAATGCTGATATGCTCAAAACAAAATTAAGAAATGTAAAACTTCACTACCCGATAAATACAAAAATATCAAATATAAAGAATAGTGTAATTTATTTCGGATCCAGTTGGGTTTAGGGAGTTTATCACAGGCTCTTCATGAAGAGAGGTGCATTTGCGTTTTTTTCATTACTCCTCCATATAGGGCTGAAAGTCGTGCTGCTGACGGGCAGCCTCCGTTTCTGCACCCACCGCACAGGCGAGAAGTGAGTTAACAGTCTGCTCTTCTCCCGCCTTATAAACATAGCCATTGGCTTTATCTATATGATTGCGCAGGCGCAGCATGCTATCCGTGCTAAAAGCGTCCAGCAATTGGAACGAAACCAGGGCGTAGTCCTCTACCATGGAACATATGGCGGCGTTCAGTTTTTGATGCTTCCGCATCGTCGGGTCATCGTCGAGCTTTTCCAGCAGATACTTGAGGTCCAGGACGTCTGTGTAGTAGTCCACATTAAAATGCAACTTGGATTCGTGCTTTCTAAGTAAATCAGCCTTGGAAAGAACATTTACGTGGGGCAGACTCATCCTTAACATGGTATTTAAGGCCATCAGCAAAGTGGCAATGAATTTGGCCGGCTCAGAGCAGTAATGCGAATCGATGAGGTTCATGGTGACTAGATTGTACCGCTCCCGCTTTAGTCGCTCAAACACCCGAGCCATGGCACTGTGATGAGTATACAGCTCGATTTGCCCGGGACAATCAAACAGAAAATAGTTATGGGTGGCGCCCAATTTGCGCAGTGCCGGTAGAAGCCAGTCCTCCAGGTGATCGTAGAGATATTCGGCGCAGTGCATTAATGCCCCGTTTGGGCCCAGCTTCAGGTGCTCCATGCAATCTTCCACGGTGATAAGCTCCATTACACTGAGCACTGGCTCATAGGACATGTTTTCGTTCGCTGGATCCAGATTCACCACGCCGACTTCGCGGCCCAGTTCGCGGTAGAATTTGAAGGCCTCGGCACAGTATGTAGTCTTGCCGGAACCCGGTGGTCCAATAATTAACTGCCCGTAGCGGGGATTCTCCACAGTAGCCTGTGTCGGTAATCTTTGCATCATTTTTGCGGCAAATTGAAGAGAAACAAAAAACGTAAACAACAATGCTTAAGAGTGTGGCCAAAGAAGAGACCACCGAAAAATACTGCATACAGAGAACTAACACTACATACACTGCAACAAAAATGGAGTTAGGTTATATAAGGTCATCTAATACTTTGGACCAAAGGGTTATTTCAATTTCGTGGCAATAAGTTATCAAAAATAAAAATATATATTCACGAGCAGTTGAATTTGTAAATAAAATGTTCAAAATATATTTGAACGATTATCAGACAAAAATTTGGGTCAACAATTGTTGTGAGTATGGTAACTTTGGAATTGGATTGGATTGTTTGGAAATTTTTTTTTGTATTTTTGTTGCTTTCAGTTTTAATGGTTTCATAATTTCTTTCTTTTTTGTGAAGATGTTATTAATCATTAAAGTTATTGTACATTCAATAGATATAATCAACAAATAAGTAAATAAAAATAAAGAGCAACCAATTAAATACCAAAGCCTACTTGACATTATTGCGTGGGCGGCTCTTAAAATACCATCCGGCGTAGGAGTGCATTTTGACGGAATTTAAAGAAACCGCGATTCGGTCACACTGCCCAGAGAATCGTCGGCTAGAATCGAGCTTGGTGTTTTCATTTATCGGCGGAAATTCGCGTTAATTAGTAAACCTTAGAAAACCACAAGAACAGAAGAACCACCGCAATGGCTCAACCCCAACCACCGGCGTACGAAAACAGTGAGTTGGCATCCCAAAGAGATAAACCACATTGATAGACTCAATGCAAATCGCTGTGAAAAGCGGTGAAGGGGATGAGTCAACAGGCGAAAACGGTAAAAGCAGAAAGCAAATCGCCGGAAGCGCCGTGATTATGACCATAAATGGGCATAGCCTGCAAATGATATTTGTTATTAGGGGACGGGGCAGTGGGAGTCACCTTGCTGTCCCTCCCGCCGAAAAACAAAGAAGCCGCACCCTGTTTTCCACCCACACTCGCTGCGATTTGACCGGCTTTATCTTTTGGCCATTCCTTGTTTCTAATCAAAGCAATCGCAATAATCACTTTATTTGCAGAAAATGTCTACGCAACTCTGCCGCGCACCCAACGCGGCCAACCCATCGTTTTGGGATCGGATCCCAAGGGCAAGAACTTCCTTTACACCAATGGAAATTCGGTGATCATCCGAAACATCGAGGTAAACTGATATATGCAGCCTGCTGCTCCTCCTGCCATAAATCCATGGCATTTTCCAAATCGCGTTTTATTTTTGGACAGCTGCAGTTTCTGTTTGCCAGCTTGTGTGAGTGTGCTTTCTTGGCTTTCTGGCAGCTGTTCTATATTTATTTTTATATACGGCGCAAAACACACAGAATTCCCATTCCACAGGCCGACCGGCAAAATCAGCAGCCACACAGGCTGACACACAGAGAAATTTCTTGTTAGCCACCCACGCATCATCATTATGATGTTTTGTTTCTTACACCCGTATTATTTATATGTATCTTCTGCGGTCAAAATCTGTTCATTAACTTTTTCTTCTGGTAAAAGTGTCTTTAAAAAATATTCCACTTTACCAAAACAAAAATTGTTGTTCCTAAAGTGTGCCAAAAGAGGGTGTTGTTTTAAAACAGTAAAAACAGTAAAAGAAATCCAAAACAAAAATGTTTTTATATAAAGTATTGTTTTCCAGCTTTCTCTATAAAATCCCCAGTTTTATATAAATATATTAAAAATATTATGTTAGTTTCCTATTCTCTTTCAAATAATTCCGCCATTAATTTATTTTCCCGGTAAAAGTGTTGTCATCATGTTTTTTTCCATTTCATAATTTTCCACTTATTAATTCCGTAGCTCTGGCAAAAGTGTTTCTAAAACGTTGTAATTTTTTATGTTCTTCTCCCTCCTTTTAGAATCCAGCCATCGCCGATGTCTACACCGAACACTCGTGTGCAGTGAATGTGGCCAAGTACTCGCCCAGCGGCTTCTACATTGCATCCGGCGGTAAGTCTCGGCTAGCAATTTCACACTTGGAGCACCAGGCTTGGGGTAGCGAAGCATAAAGAATCGTGACCACAATGAGTCACGCCACCATGGCCTGTGATTAGCATTTCCCTATTTGGAGCGGTTTCTTTATCTTATCTGCGGTTTCGATTCGAGCAAGTTATTTATTTGCCTTTCACCTTCTCAAATTCTCTTCAGACGCATCGGGCAAGATTCGCATTTGGGATACGGTCAACAAGGAGCACCTGCTTAAGAATGAGTTCCAGCCCATTGCGGGACCCATCAAAGATATCAGCTGGTCGCCGGACAACCAGCGCATCGTGGCCGTCGGCGAAGGACGCGAGCGTTTCGGTCATGTCTTTATGTCGGAAACTGGCACATCCGTAGGCGAGATCAGTGGCCAGTCCAAGTCCATTAACTCTGCGGATTTCAGGCCAGCTAGGCCATTCCGTATTGTGACAGGTGAGTACATAAAAAAGTTACTTAAATCAGTGAAGTAACCTAATTAAAAATGTGTTTATTGTAGGCAGCGAAGACAACACCATCGCCGTGTTCGAGGGACCGCCGTTCAAGTTTAAGATGACCAAGCAGGATCACTCTCGGTTTGTCCAAGCTGTGCGCTACTCGCCCGATGGCAAATTTTTCGCCTCGGCCGGCTTCGATGGTAAGGTCTTCCTGTACGACGGCACCAGCTCCGAACTGGTGGGCGAATTTGGATCTCCTGCCCACAAGGGCGGCGTTTATGCTCTGGCCTGGAAGCCGGATGGCAGCCAGCTGCTGACCTGCTCCGGCGACAAGACCTGTCGCCTTTGGGCAGTGGAATCACGCGAGCTGGTTAGCGAGTTCGTTATGGGAACTACTGTGGACGACCAGCAGGTTTCGTGCCTGTGGCAGGGAGATAACCTGATCACCGTCTCGCTGTCGGGCGTGATCACCTACCTCAATGTGGCGGATCCCTCGAAGCCGCTGCGCGTGGTTAAGGGCCACAATAAACCAATCACCGTGCTGGGGCTGAGCGACGATCGCAGCACCATCTACACGGGAAGCCACGACGGTGTGGTGACCAACTGGAACTCCGGCAACGGCACCAACGATCGCATCACGGGCACCGGCCATGGCAACCAGATCAATGGCATTGCCGCCTGGGGCGATTTCGTCTACACCTGCGGTATCGACGACAGTCTGCGTCAGTTCAGCGTGGAGGGCAACTCCTACACCGACTATGTGGTCAAGCTCAATTGCCAGCCGCGCGGCCTCGCCATTCTGCGCAGCGAGAACATCATCGCGCTGGCCTGCATCAAGGAGCTGACCCTCGTGCAGGACCAGAAGAAGATCTTCTCGCTGCCCATCAAGTACGAGGCCAGTTCGATCGCCGTCAATGCGGACACTTCCGATGTGGCTGTTGGTGGCGACGACCAGAAGCTGCACATCTACAGCCTCAAGGGCGGTGTCCTGGAGCCAAAGGTGGAACTGGATCACCTGGGCGCGGTCACGGATGTTTCATACTCGCCGGACTTGAAGTATCTGGTGGCCTGCGATGCCCATCGCAAGGTGGTGCTCTACTCAGTTGAGGAGTACAAGGTAGTTTAATGATTTTCGATTATTGCTTCAAACTGATTTTAATAATCAATTAAATGTATTTTTAGCCTGCCCACAACAAGGAGTGGGGCTTCCATAGTGCTCGGGTTAACACGGTGGCCTGGTCGCCCAACTCGCTGCTGGTGGCTAGTGGTTCGCTGGACACTACCATTATTATTTGGTCCGTGACCAACCCGGCCAAGCACACCATTATCAAGAGTAAGTTTTTAATGGTAATAAGAACTATAATTGTGTATGATTGTTTAATTTCTGTTCTTTTTAGATGCCCATCCGCAGTCGCAAATCACCCGGTTGGTCTGGCTGGACAACAACACTGTGATCTCCACCGGACAGGACTGCAACACCAAGGTGTGGCACGTGGAAAGTATCTAGATGACTCAGCCGTAAAAGCATATTTTTATACTTATCCAGGGAGAGCAGCCAGCCGCGCCCTGGCTTCATTTCATTTAAGTGCAAGAGTTTACATTTAGCTATTTATGTCTTTAGCCCGCCCACGGGCACCTCATGTCACGTCTTTTAGTTTAAGCCCAAAGTGTTTGCTAATCATCATATCATTGATATCCAATTATTTTCGCTCCGCTATTATTTGCTACTGTGTTTTTCGATCAACTTTTTTATACTACCGCAACTAAGAACTACGAAAGGAAACACAAAGATATGTAAAGTACGCCAGCGTACATAAATTATTGTATTATGAAATGAAATATACTAGTTTTTGCATAGCTCCAGCCTCCTTTCATTTTGGTCTCAATCGCGGGAATCAGCTAAACACACACACATTATCTTTGGCTTCTTAAACATTTATTCCATTTAAAATTGTGTTTTCTTGGTTTTGTAGGTCTTCACCCTGTCTTTTTGTGTGCAAGTGTGTGTTTTTGTGTGTGTGTGGTGTGTGTGGTGTGTGCTTGTTCAGGTGTATAATTACAATATTTATAAAAACGTTGCTTAATTTACTAGAATGTGTGGACGTGTGCTTGTGAGAGAGCGTGATAGCGAAAAGGTAATAGTTTGTAACTTGCAGTTTGAGAGCCTCGGAGGTTGCTACAGTTTGAGAAATCATAAACGTAAATTGAGCTAAAATTAAGTACATAAATTAACATAAGATAGCTAGAAAGGCGCTCGCATGTGTTTGTGTGCAGAGGACGAAAAACGAATTGCGCTAATTATCACAGCCGGGTCTAAGACGTTGGTTTCGGTGGGACTAAAAATTGGCATATTAGTGTTGGGTGCTCTGGGCAAAACTGACTTCAAACCATAAATAAATAAATTTAAAAAAAAAATTAACAAATTAAATTGCAATATAAATAACAATATTAAATTCACAATAAATTAATTCTGTGAAAGTTTCAAAATTGAATTTTTGAACCATGTGATTTCAACAAGAACTAATTTAACAATTTACGACTTTAAACAAAATTTTAAAAAAATATAATGAATAGCCACCCAACACCTTATAATATGCGTGTGCGTAGGTGGGCGTGTTCCTTGTGTCTGTGTGCGTGTCTGTGTGGTGGTGAGTTAAACAAATCAAAAATATTTGTAAACATTATCCTCAGGTGGTTGCAGCCGGTGTTTCCACACTCGCTGACTCTCCATTGCTGGCTGCCGGCGGTTCCCTTTCACTTTTTATGCCCGGAGGCGCCTCGTGGGCCAAGTCGAGAGAGGGTTGGCCAGAAGCTGGCGAGGATTCGGCCACTGCCACTGCGGCTGCTGCGGCCGCCATTTGAAATTGATTGGGCAGGAAGAGGTAGGGATTGCGACCCTCCTGGCCCGAACATCCAATTGCGGTGGCCGGAGAAGGACCCACTTCCCCACTGGTCACCGTGTGACTGGCCATCGGTAGGGGATTCGGATTGGGACTCTGGTTGGGATTGGAAGTGAATATGGGTGTGGTCACCGACGGCACAGTCGCTGTCATCTTGGAAACCCTCTTCCGGCGGGCCTCATTCTCACAGGGTGACGGCGCTCCAGGATGGCGGTAGCTCACGTGCTTGCGCAGGGCATCCTTGCTCCGGGACACGTGGGAGCAGACATTGCAGGCGTACCTGGAGAGGGAATAATATCAGGTATTATAAACTTAAATTCTTTAAAGATTTTCTTAAATTTAAGAAATACTTTAAATTTTAAATATAAGTTTAATTTTATTCTCATAATAGTGAATTTAAATATAGTTTTCAGATTACTATAAGTTTAAATTTCTTAAAGAAGATTTTCGTACATTTAGAAAATACTTTCAAATAAAATTAAAAATTCAATTTTATTCTCATCATAGTAAATTTAAATAATGTTTACTGATTGCTTAAACAAATCGTCATTATTATTTATTTCTGCTTTCCAAATTTGCTAAATTTTTGAATGGTGATTAATAATGAATTTTTTTATCTTAAAGCTCTGTTTTAAATTTTAAAAAACATTATTATTTAGTTTTGTTGTTCTTTTTGTATTTGTGTTTATACTTCTGAGGATGTTATTAACTTACCGCACATTTTGGTGGGTTTCGAGGTGGACGCGCAGGTTGTACTGGTTGCTCAGCTGCTTGTGGCAGATGAAGCAGGTGGCGTAGAGCTTCGAGTTGGACGGCGGCTTGATGGGCGAGGCGGCGGCCAGCGACTTGTCGCGGTCGGCGCTCAGCGAGAGCAGATTGGGCTCCGACTTGGCGCTGACCAGCGCCATTCCGCCGGCCGCAGCCGCCGCCGCAGCAGCCGCCGCCTCCCGCTGGTACTGCTCGATGTGGAGCTGCAGCTTGGCGTGATCCTCGGCGGAGATGTAGGGCGTGGCCGGAACACCCGATCCCGGATGCTGTTGCTGGTGGTGGTGGTGCATCTGGGCCGCCTGTTGGGCGGATGTGGGCGTGGCCGCTGCACTATACATCGGCGGCTTGCTGCTGTAGAGTTGATTTTGACCCAAAGTGCTGGGATAACTGGCCGAGGAGCACTTGACCACCGGCAACTGGGGCGAAAAGTGAGCCATGGAAGGTGGAGCAAGGGTGATCGGTGAGGTGGCCACAATGGGATTCGGCAAGGAGCAATCCTGCGGCGACTTGCTGCTGCCACTGCTGCTGCTGTTTGCTGCCGAGGGAGGATTCTTTGGATTCTTGGCCAGGTTCTTCTCCAGTCTCCGAACATCCTTGGGCGGACTATCGCCCTTCAGTCGCTTGGAGCCGAAGCAGTCCGCCTCCAGCTGCTCCTCCTGCATTCCGGTCTGGTAGAGCTGGCACTGCTGCTGGTACTTGGCCAACAGCTCCGTGGTTTTGTTAAGAGCCGTTTGAGAAAAGTTCAGAGGTTGAGGCAACAGGCTGGGGTAAAACTGCAGCGACTTGAAGAGATTCTCCAGGGGCGTGGTGCCCATTCCAGCCGCACCCACCGATCCCAGCTTGTTGGCCAGCAGGGGCGTGCTAAGCGAGGGATTGGGCAGCTGGGGAAGGGGGAGGGGCAGGGGCAGGGACAGGCTGGGAGTGGGCGTGTGCGAGGGCGTCAAGGTGGGCGTGGGCGTGGGCGAGGGTGTGCTGGGCCGTTCGAACTCGGAGGTCTTCTCGTTGCCTGAATCCATGTAGGATGTGGCGCCACTTCTTGATGTCTTTGGTAGCTGAAAGGATTGGTAAGTTAAAAATAATTAAAATATATTCAACAAAATATCCTCATTTAATAGATTTATACAATATTTTCTTTTTTTTATTAAAAAAGGAATATTTAAAAGCTTTAAGGATTTTATTCAACAATTTAGGCTTCAGTTTTAAAAAGAAACCATAATTAGGTCTTATGAAACTTATAATTTAATTAGAGTTTTTTATAATGAGAAATTTTAAATTTTAAATAAATAAAATTATTTTGTTTCTTTGATATGTTTTCTAGTCTGAATCTAAATAAGAACTAAGTTGGGTAATAACTACTTATTATTGCATCGCACTTCAGTGGCATAACTCACGTTATTGTTCTGCACATCGGCCAGTCCCTTGATGCCCAGCGTCTCGGCGAGATTGAGCAGCATGGGGATCTGCTCCTCGTAGACGTTCACCTCGCCGGAGTACATGAAGGTGAGCAGCGAGACGATGGCCCCGAAGCTGGCTCCGGGAATGATGATCACCGGGTGGTTGCTGGCCTCCAGTGCCCTGAAGATGTCCATGAAGAAGCTGCTGCAGGCACTCAGAACCACGCGATGGGCCCTTAGCTGGCGGCCCTCCGCCGAGATGGTCACGTCCGTCAGGTGGGACTGGTCCAGCAGAATGGGCAGGGTGCTCAGCAAACTGGTCTGGAAGGGATTAGCCATGATGGCCAAGTAAAAGAAAATAAGAAAAGTGAGAAGTGCTTTTAAGTGGGTCACACGATCGTAAAAATACAAATTTTCCTGGGCAAAAACGGTTGGCTGCAGCTGCTTTCCAACTTTTCGATTTACGCTCAGTGGAAATTCTTTGGATTTTGGCAATTGCACGAATCTGTTCATTTATGTGACACACCCCCCGGATCCCGGGAACCCCCTTCCCACCCCTTTTACCCCCTTTAACCCCCCTTCGTCACACTTCTCTTTGTCCATTTGGCTCTTTTGCTATTTTGGACAGCCAGAGTGCCCCGCCTCGTTTCGCCGCGTTTCACCCTTTGGGCCGCCTTAGTAAACATCGGGAAAAACAAAAATTGTCACTATATGAAAATGCGGAAAACTATGTGTGAATCTGTACGTATTCGGGGATGTGCTTTGGATAGATGGATCCTATATATAGACGAGGCGACATTTCGCTTCGCTCGTTCGCTTCACCGAACGATGTCCAGTCCAGTCTAGTTTTATGGGGCTTACTTGTATAGTAAAAAAAAACAAACCCCCCCTAACATCTGAATTTATATAATGCTTAGCTGGAATTACCTGGTGGTTGTGCCATCGAAGGCAGAACTGCTGCTGGTTGTCATTGTGCTGCAGCTGCTGATCAAAATGATGATGCTGCGGTTGTCTGGCACTAGTGCTATTTACATGTTCCATAATTCATCTGTTTTTCGGATCACATCGACCAGCTGCAATGGGAAAAAGGAAGGGAAGGGATCAGAGGGGAAGGAAATGCAATTAGTGGAGCGCATTTTTATCATTATTATTATTTTCGTTCCTGTCATGTCGCGGAGGTAAACAACAATTTCGGACCGTCTCGCCACGAACACTTTGGGCTTTTTGTTTTCGTTTCTCATAATTTGTTTGTTTGCATTTCGGTTTGTTTATTTATTGAGCGTTTTGTCACACACACTTTTCGTGTCGTTTTTATTTCCCCGCTCTTCGGCTACAAACTAGAAGAGCGTCTGCACCACGAGGCGTATACGTATTATGTCGTAGCCAGTTGGCTTATTACTCATACGCCCAGAGGTTCCCCGCTTTTTGGGGAGGGGAATAAGGGGGAATAAGGGGGAGGGGAGGAGCGGCGTTTTGGGCACCGGGAAAACTGCATAATTTCACATAATGACAGCATGATCCATCTTTAGCTGGCTGTTGCTGCTGCTCCTCCAAGGTACCTCGTTGACCAAGTCAACAGCAGTGAGCATTTATTCGCTGAGTGCCCAGTTGACAAATCGGAATTACAATAAAGAAACACACACTCGCACACACACACACACGCACAGAGACGGCCAGTGTTATTTGTGTTTTCTTTTGCTGGCAATTAAATTAAATTTATTTAAATAAAATAAGTTTTCCTTGGCTGGCCTGGCCTGGGCGATCAGATCAGATCGGTCGGTCGGTCGGCGGTCGGACGGTCGGCGGCGGTGGTGCCTCTTTGGGTTTCTGGGTGCACTATAAATTTGGCAATTTCCATTGTTCGGATCGCTGTGACTGCACACTGCTGGCTTCACACTTTTGTCCGAGGGCTATTTTTAAGGCGCTAGATGAAGGAGCTGCTGGGCGGGGATCATTTTGGGGGATTTCTCGGTCTATGCTGCACCGCCGGCCATTGGAGGCCCCCCAAAACACAGCCCCGGCCAATGCAGAACAACAACCGCAGCAAAGTGACAAGTCCGAGTCTTGTGTCTCTGGTTGTGTTGTGTTTTTTTTTTTTGTTTCTGGTTGTTTTTGCCTTCTCAGCCAGCTAGCCCAGCGTGCAATTGTTGGACGACGGAATTTTCTTCATTCCATTATGTGTGCACATGGGACTGAGAATCGCATCTAAGCATTTCTCTATTGAGAGACGATGGATGGTGGAGGTTGCCTTGCCTTGCCTCGCCTGATGGGGCACAATGGATGCCTGGGAATGATGGGGGTTTTCTAGCAGATGAGGATAGGGATGGGGATGGGGATGTGGTTGGGGTTGGGGTTGGGGGTTTCTGCTGGCGGATGGAGGGACGGAGAAGCGACGCGGCCTTTTTGGCGCTCGTTCACACAAGAAAGTGTCGTGACAGTCAGGCAGCCTTCTTTTCCGTAACTCTTTGGTATTTCGCTCAGTTTTTACTTGATTTTCCGAAATTAGTTTTTCAGCCTTTCAGCTCCGTCCTCTAGCTGCTATTTTATTGTTTTTGTTCTTCTTGTTGTTCTCAACGTTTTAAATAGCCATCCAAAAAATAAAGATCTGTGCTAAACGCTCTCGCCAGGCTGTCTATTTTGATTTGTTGTCCAAGTGCCTGCCTTTTGTCATCCATGGCGATTCACTCCAAAGCAAAGCACCTCGCAATCGCAATCGCAATCGTTTCCATTTCGATATGGTTCACTTCGGAGGCTATTCCGTTGATGCGTAATATTCTACACATAATCACTCATACGCCTCGTTGAGAATGCGGCGGAATGGAAAAATAGGATCACACTTAAGCCTTCATCGTTTTTGTTGTTATTTAACTTATATTTGTTCCATGAAATGTGGCGCACATAAATTTAATGTCACCGCTGTTTGCCCGCGGAGGTATTTGAATTTCATTATAGAATTCGCATGATCCGCGGTCTATATGCGGCTGTGATTCACGCATAATCCAGTGGCCCAGCACCACCGCCCCTGGGGGAGTCTAAAATTAGAGCTCTGCGGCTAACCCTTATGGCCGAGGATCTCTTTTTTATGCTAATGGAATGCGAATGCTCGTGCCGGCCATCAAATTATATCTTATGTTTTATGTAGTGTTTTTATGGTTCGCTTTTCTTTTATCACTTCTTGTTCGAAAAAAACAACTCTTTCATAGCTCAACGACATTACACAATTTACTAGTAAATTGATTCTATTTTACTGGGATCTATTCGAAAGAATCCTTCACATTCTTGTTGTTTTTTTTTTCACACATATTTTGCTAATGCCATTTGTATTTTCCCCGCGTCCGTTACGAATTTTCCCTTTTCGCGATTTTCGCGGATGGGACAAGCGCGCACCTTTGTTAACCGTTTGCTGCTCGCATCTAAAATGAAAAAATCCGAAAATGTTTCAATTCTTTCGGTTTAGTTGGAGATTTTCTATTTTTCGAATGTCCATCTCTTGACAATTTTCCTCTATCTCGTGTGGCTGGCCCAAATGTTGTTTTTGCTGCTGCTTCTGCTGGCTGTTTCTGTTGCTTTTGCTGCTTTTGCTGAATGCTTTTGCTGCTTCTGCTGCCATTTGTCTAGCGGATTCGAATTCGGCTCTCAGTGTGTCGGGCGGATCCGTTTGTCGCCCGATTCCATGTTCTTTAATTAATGAGCAGGCAGCCCCTGCGCAGCGAAGAGAAATCTCAGCAGTTTTGTACTCGTGATCTCGCCTCTTGGCCAAAAATTAATTGGCTGCCCCGCAGTTAGTTAATCAAAACATTTGCCAGTGGCAAATCATCATCATCATCATCAGCACGATCGCCATCACCATCACCATCGGGATCAGGAAGCTGCGTCCACTTCGCCTCTAGACACAATTGACATGACCAACCGACAAGCAGCGAAATTAGTGGCTTCTTCTCGTGTGCATTATTAATTTGCAATAAAATGTGGAAGCGGCGAAAGCAGCCGCCGCCGCTTGAGAAAAAAACAACCAAAAAAAAATAAAAGAAAACCATGTGCAACGAAAATAAATTCATACCTGCACGTTGGATTTGAATTATGCCCACGACACATACAAATGGAACCGCCAGATGGAGACGCCGTTGGTCATCGGGCACCCAGCACCCAGCACCTTCATTATGCACTTTTTCAATTCATTAAAATGCCACAAATACTTATTTATTATTGTCATCAGCGGGCACCTCGATTTGGGTTAGCAGCGCTGCAGCTTGGAATGGCTGCGAATGCCACGAAATAAATTAACCGCTTCCACAAAGCTTATCCCTTCTATAGAACTAGATCATGTGGCTATATTAGTCACACCATCACCTAACGATCATTATTTGAAAAAACAAGTTTTTTTTATTTTAATAAAATAATTAGTTAATATATAATTAGCATAAGAAACCGTTTACTCTACAAGCAAATAAACAAACAAGTAAAAAGAAAAGAAAAGTTCAACGTATAATTTCCTTGAAGTTGGCAAAGCATTTTTTAAATTAGAAAGATTTTTTTCCTTCTTATTAAAATTTCTTTCGAAAAGAAAAAGTATACATAACTCTTGGAACATATTTTTCATATTCTTATATTATTTAAAATCTAGTACCAGAAGGTCAATACAATTTAAAATCTAAATCTAAGGTCTATAACACTGAGTATCGGCTATGGGTTTGCACCGCTTCGTGGGAAGGTCCCAGCCATATTTGTATGGGCATCGCACTATGGTCAAATAGCCACTGAGGCACCTGTAAAAATATTCGCAACGCTGTGGATGAGGATAATCACCATCTCCAAATAAATCGCAGTGCGGTTTTTCTATAGCTGGAGAAGATGTTGTAGGAGCTGAAGAAGTTGTCGAGGAAACTGAAGAGGATGCCAAGGAATCCGCAGGGGGTGTGGATGAATCCAAAATCGTATCATGGAAAGGTGGCGTGGGAACTGGGGAATCGGAAACCTCCTCGTCAGTCTGCTGCTCTAACTCATCCTCCGTAAAAACAGAAACAGCATTACTGAGACAGACTCCTTCATCGTCGAAGGCACACTCCTTGGTCCGATCATCAAAGTAGGTGGATTCCGGACAGCTGTCCCTAAAGGAGTCCGCTCCATTGCAGTATATGTACGAGGCACAATCATCGATGGCCATCACAAAGGTGTCCAAATCCGCATTCGCACACTGAGGAAACTCTTCTCCTCGAGTTGAAGTTATAACTCCACTCAGAAGGATCAGGCAAACTATTGATTTCACCATTAAAGTCATGCTGATATTCGGTTCTTTCCGTTTACTGATGGAGAATCTATGCGAAGGAGCCCTTTTTATGGCAATTTCCAAGGTTGGCTGCGAATCTCTTATCGCCGCTCTTGTAGCTGATATCAAATCAAAGAAATGTTGCCAATTCTTTTATCTTTCAAACAGCAAATATGTCAAGGCCGTGCAATGACTTTGTCGTTATTATAAAGGAACATAAATAAAAAACACTAAAGTGACCTTCAAATCTTAAACGTTTTATTTTTGTATTCTCCCTAAAAATGCTGTAATATTTTGGTCATTTAAACATCGACCAAAAAATGGAAAATAAACTAATGATGCACCTTGTTGTTGATCTTTTTATTTTAATAGCTACTTGTTAGTTAAAGTGCACACGTCGCCCTGTTTTAAGTAAACCTTTGCCTGGGAAAGCATACTCAGATCGTGGTCCACCAAGTCCAGTTGCTGCTCCAGTTGCCTCTTGAGATTACGTACCCGCAACGTGGCCATTGAAAGGGGAAGTCGGTTGTACTCGGCAATCAGTTGACTTCGTCTTTCGCGGGTTGCATCTAAAATCAATTTCCGCTCCTCGTCGGAAAGCAGGATTGGCTTGGCTTCCATTTGCTTCTGTGTCTCTGGCTGGGGATCCGCACTTAGATTCTCTACTTCTTCTTGCTGCACAGAGTTTAGAAGTTCTATTCCAGATTCCTGCGAATGTACACTTAGCACATCTTCGTCGTCAACATCCACCACTTCGGGAATGTTCATCTGCCGAACGCGCGGCGAAATTGTTCCTGAGGAGCAGGAACAGGAGCTAGTGGCCTGGTCTTCCTCCGTTTCATCCTGTTCCTTAAGCGAAGATCTACTTCCACTCTTGTTATCCAGATTAATCGAGCTAGGCAAAATGCCGAGCACCGTGACTAACGGCCGGTGCAGTGTGTACTGCCCCCTTTGAAAGCCATCATATTGCTCCGGCATTTTTCCCAGCTCGAAATTGGATGCAGAGCGTCGCAAAGGATATCCTTGGCCCAAGAATGGCTCTCCTCTATCATTCGACTGGTCATCACCCTCACTTCGAGGTTGGGACTTTTCAGAGCACTTAAGCAATGCTGAACTGAGAAATCGCTCATCGCTTATATCCTCCGTTTGGATTTCTTTCTCAGACGAGAAGGACTTACTACTTTTTTCACTTCTTTGTTGTATTTTACCTATCGAAGGCCGGTGAGTTTTGACTAAAACTTTTTTATCTGGACCACAGCGTCTGGCCAAAGAGGATGCCGTGGGCAATTGGTAGTTCTGGGAAACCCTGATTCGATTTTCGCGTAGGAAGTTCCGCGAAGTGGTGCGGGATTGATTCATCGCCGGATTTACGACCATTAAGTGAGCCAATGAAGAAACAACAATAGAAATGAAAAACGAAAACTAAAAAAAAACAGTGAACGTTTCGAGAGCTACAAAATAAATATAAGTACTATGAAGTTTCTTGCAAAATGGGGTGTGATCTTCTCACCGATTCTTTATCAAATTATCATATTAAGGAAACCTTTTTATATTAAACCATTTAACAACTTCATTGAACCAAAAATTTATGCGCGCTTTAGAATTAAAAATTTAACAAAGATTTTAACAGGTTTTTTGCATTCACACAAATACATTAACTTTATTTCAGTTGATCGAATGCCTGGCGAAGCATTTGATTGCAAAGTGCTGCAAAGGGATTTATTTCCACCAGCTAAAATAAAGAGTAAAGGTTATTAGAGAAATTTTTTTTAAAATAAATTATTGTAATACCTGATCTCTGGCGAATTTACTGCCCAACTGTGCAGCTGCCTCGAAATCTGAGCGTGCCGCATCTAAATTATCAAGTTTGCGATATAAAACTCCTCGCTGACAGTGGGCGTGGCACTTGGTGCGGGTCTGCTGATTGTTGGCCAGTTCGATGGCTTTATTCAAGTCTTCCAGAGCCTCTAAAATATATAACTAGATGTTTAAAATTACGTAAACTCAAACACGAATTTTAAATTAAATTTAAATTATATAGAAGAGAGAATAAAAGTGGTTGAGTAACATTACAAACCCTCATCGCGTTTTGCCAAGCGAAGTGTTTGAGCTCTATTATTCAGCACGGATGCCCTGAGAGCCACATTAAGTGACTGTTGGAATATTTTGAGGGCTTCATCCAACTCTCCCTTTTCAGACAAGGCAATTGCTTGAATCTCCAGGTCTTTGGCAGCCCTGATGGCCTCAGTGTCCGTCTCCACATCCTTTAGATCGGCTTCAGCGGGCACAAAGGCATTGGTTTGTGGACTGATGAGCTCCAGGGGATTGAAGATGGAATCCAGCACCTGTTGATCGTGAGAACTCAACTTGAGTTTGGCCTGCGGCATGATTCGATTTAATCAGCTAAACTATTTCGAACGAACTGAGGTTGGTATATAAACAGACTATATTCGAAAAAGTTAGGTGAGAACAAAATGCAAATTATCTCGCCCAACCTGTTCGTACTTATAATAAACAACATTTGAAAACAAGAAAGATCGGAATAGTGTAGTGGATATATTGGTTTTCCACTGAATGGTTTTATAAAGTCAACATTTTTTAACCCGATTATTTAGCTTCAAAAACGGATTAGGTGAATGCCACTCTCTTGCACAAAATGCATTTCCGCAGTAAAACAATATTATAAATCATTTAAGATCTCTTTATTTAATATAATTACTAAATATATTGCATTCTCTTTTGGTATTTTGTAGGAGAATTGGGCATTTGATTGGTTAGTTTATTACTTAACTGCCTACTAATACTGCTGATTGACTCTTAATTTTCTGTATCAGCTATTTCTACATATTTTCTCGTTGCACTGGCTTCTTGTGTTTGTATCTAATGGTTTAACGCACATTGATCTCGCGGTCACTATAGCTTATGATTTCTTGATCTCTTGAGCATATCACAGAACAAAAATGACAGTAGAATATATATGACATGTTCGGGTTTTTTGTGTGGAAGAGTTTGAGTTCTAGAACGAGGCATAGAAAGTGTAAAAATATTACTCGGAGCCTAAAAGTAGATATTCATGTATGCATATATGTTTATCTGATATATATATGTATCTTTATATATATATACGAATGCCGTGTAAATGTTCATATAAACTGTGATATCTCTTTGTTAGAAAAATATTGAGCAAAAGACTTGGCATTGTGCAACCATCGAGGGCTTGGCTCAATTCCTCGACGGCCTAAACGACAATCTTATCATACGAAGGCGGCGGCGTCTCATCCACCGGAAGCGTTTTGCCCAGATTCGCCGGCGTTTGTTCCGGCGGCAGCAAGATGGCTATATGATAGGGCGGTGGTCCAGCCGTGGCCGCCGTCCCGTCCACGGCGGCCACCTGCTGCTCCTCCAGATACCGCACCTCGTTCATCTCCAGCAAACAGCCAACGGAGCGGTTCACTCCCGTTCCCGATCCCGCTCCTGTTAGGGATGAATTCACTCCACCGCGACTGTGGCACACAGCTGCCCGGGCATCCGAGCGATTGGAGGTGGAGAGCATCCCCTTGGGAATCCTGCAGAGACTGACCAAACAGGCGGCCAGGAAGAAGGTGGCCGAGAAGGCGCAGAAGATCAGCACCTCCAGGCCGGTTCCCTGGTGATCGAAGTAGAACTTGGTGCCTGCCACAAACACGGAGGCCAAAACTAAGGAGGCACACATGCCGCACTTCAGGTGGCTGGGCAGCAGTTGCGAGTCCGCGTGTTGCAGCAACGCATGGTGTTGCTGCTGCAGCTGGTTGCTGGTTGCCATTGTCGCCGGTGCAGCGGCAACAGTTGGCGCCGGATTAGCTGACTCGGCTGCTGCGTTGGCTGCCGTGGCAGAAGCCACTGCCACAAATGTGGCCACCGCCTGTTGTCGGAACTCGTTGCTGGAGTTGTGGCGACGCGGCGTGGCATAGGCGCTCGATTGTCGATGGTTGTTGCTGCCGCTGGTCGAGTGGTTGCTGCTGTGCTGCTGGTGGCCGGTGTGGTGGTAGGCGCTGTACGCATCGTCCCTGCAATAAGGATTCGATTGTTAGTCAAAATAATCTTAACTTCGGAGGGAAACAAATAAAACGCTTTTCTTAAATTTTGAGAATCATACATTATTCAATTGCAAACACTACTGAATATTTCAATAAGTTTGTCGTTTAAAAAATATGAAAATTCCATAGAGTCGAATTTAATTGATTACAGAAATTGTTAATTTTCTACAGAAAATGACAGTAAATACTTATGTTAAAAAAAAAGGTTTAGTAGTTAAAGCATTAAGTTCTTTAAAATGGAACTTGTATATTCCTAATCATTTTACATTTCTTTTAGAAATACTTTCCAATATTTCATGTAAAAATTGATCTGATTAAAGCTTGATTGTTATTATTGTAATGTTATATTTTACTTACGCATAGACATTGCTCGAATATTGCTGCTGCTGATGTGCATCGTAATGTCGCACGGGCACCGCCATGTTGCCAAACTGCGGATGGTGATAGCTGTAGTGTTGCTGCTGCGGTTGATGTTGCTGCTGTTGATGCTGGTGTTGCTGTTGATGTTGCTGCTGGTGCTGCTGCTGCTGCTGGTGCAACAGTTGCTGCTGCGTCCTCGGCTGGTAGCGCGTGTTGCCGTGGTGACTGTAGTGCGAGCCACGTGCCACAAGGGGCACGATGGTGCCGCTTCCGGTGAGAACTGCTGCCGAGGAGGCTATTCCACTGGCATTGTTGTTGTTGCTGGCAGTTGTTGTTGTACCGGTGGCAGCCAAGTTGTTGTTGTTGCTGTTGCCACCGCTGGAATGTTGCTGCAAGTGTTGCTGCTGCTGATGCTGGCCATGCTGGGAATTATTGTTGCCATACGACTGGCGACTTGTTCCCGGCTGGTGGAGATCGTAGGGCGTCTGGGGCAGAGATCGGTGCACCGGGGGCATGGCCTGCCCCTGTCCGACGCCACCGGCATTGTTGCCACTGCAGCTGGTCGACTTGGTCCTTCGTGGCGGATGTCCATAGCTCAGTCCGCTGCCAGCGTGGGATAAAGAAGCCGCCACGCGGGAGCGTCCAAATCCGCACTGTTGAGATCGCTTGTCAATCCAGAAATGCATTGTGATCAGGGGAAGAGCTAACTAATTAAACTGAAATAGATTAAATGTATATTAAGTGGAAGTCTGGATGAATAAACATGTCAATATGGTATTATTATTTAAAAAGTGCAACACGAAAACATTAAAAAAGCAATTAAAGCTTAATAGCAAGCTTCAGTATAAATTAATATATGCTATGTTATGTTTTTCAGTATTAGTAAAAAACTTGTTAAAGGCAATTTATTTAATTGTTTCTATTATTGCCTTAAGTGTTGCAGTTGTTTAATCCATGGCTTATTACTTCAATGACAAAAACTTTTTTAATATTACACTTTAATTTTTGCACTTAAATGTATTAATGTTTTCTTACAATATTTTTCAAGTTTAAAGAACATTTTCAAGTTCGAAGAAGTCTAGAATACACATTTTTTGAGTGCAGGCAGACAGACAGTCGGCATTAAGTGCTGCAAACTTATTTGAAGTTCAAGTTGTGTGCTTAGGTTGGGGATGGAACAATCCTTGACTAGACAAAGCGCATCTGACTCATTTGGCTTTGTGTCTGCCAGACGGAAGGGAATCGTTCCCCGTTTCCCCGCTTTCCTTTATTTTCCCTTTCCCCAAAAGCTAAAACAGGAAACGTGCGCATCGCATTTCAGGATTCTGCCCCTCTGTCTGCTAAAAATCCCCCATCTGGAACCCGGTTTGGGATTTCCTCTTTGTGCTTCCCTGTTCGAAGGTGCAACAAGGAACAAAGGTTGCCTTCGCTGGCTGGTCAAGGAACCCGCCCGAAAAGTAAAACATTCATTGAACGCTTTCACTTCCCGTGTCATTGGCATCAGCCGCATCCAAAACATCCTAAAACACCAACACGACCTCAAGGACCCCAGCGCGCCAAAATACACAGACAGAGTTTGGAGTGAGGTGGTATTAGAAAAGGACATGGCCAGGCAGGGGCGTACATAAAAAGGGGGAACTGGGAGCTTCAAAAATAATAAATTAACTACTTCGCAGTGTTTTCAAGAGCTCACTATCCATGGTTGCAAAAAGTGTTTTTTTATACTTTATTTAAATTATATTTATTACCTTTTTAAGTTGTGACCCCTGGTTTGATTGCCTTGTGCTTTGGGAAACCCACCAAGGAGGTAAAACTTTGGGTTCGCGAACTATTCGAAGATGGATTATGACGCTTACTTTTCTCTGTTCTTGCCAGTGTTTTGACAAAGAGTAAAAGCCACGATGCGTCCCATTGTGCCTGGTGTTTGCATTTTCGGTTCTTAACGCGCTTAGCTGTTCGTTGAACTGTCCCTGCGGCTTCGTCGTCTGTGTTTTGGTCTCCGTGGTGTTAGCCAATCAACGAAGACAGCGGCAAAAATTATGAATTTTTTAATTTATCCCACAGACGATTTGCCGTGCCGCATAAACAATCAAGTACACATACGCACCGTGCGCCGAAAAGCCATTAAAATCAACCGCACAATAAAATAACTTTTATTTCGTGGAAACTTTCCTGCTCTGCTTGGCAGCAAGGTTCAAAGTTCAATGGCTGTCAACATCTTCGAGCAGAGTTACACAACACAATGCTAGAGCAACTGAGTGCGAATAAATAAGTACTCGAGCACGGGGCAGGACAATAAAATGAACATACATATTTAAAAGAGACATTTTGACAACCTTTTGATAGGTTCATTTCGTTTCTATTTCTCGCCTGGCGCCACTCGGATTTCAGTTTGTTTTTGAGGCACCCCCATTGTCCCTTTCAGCTGGGGTTCAATGCTTTCTGCTCCTGCCACCCTGATTACAACCATTTAGTTTGCTTGCCACTTGGGGTAGAGTTCAGCTTGATTTGCCCCGATGCTGGTCAAGATTTGTGCGGAACTAACTCGGGCATTGACATTGTCTAAGCTGAGGGCACTAAAGTTGTTTCCTTTCTGGGTAATAAACTTCTAGTTTGGCCACGGGAGATGTAGTGGAAAGAGTCTTTCAACAAAGAATGCCCATTCGCTTTTTTATAATCAGTATTTACACACTATATAAATCACTATCTCAGCGCACCTTATAATAATTCTATTATCAGCCCCGCCCTGCCGCTCGCTGAGTTTAAAACCATCAACAATGGCAAACTGCCCGATCATTGGGTCTCCTTGAAACATTCCACACAGAAATCACTTAAATAGATACAATAACACTTTCGGATTTCATTCACGGAACCCGTTTTAATTTTGGCCTGTTGCCAGCTGAGGTTGCTGAAGTTGACCTCTGGGCCGCCGTAGTTTCAACTGTTTCCGTGGTGTAGCGGTTATCACATCTGCCTAACACGCAGAAGGCCCCCGGTTCGATCCCGGGCGGAAACAGATGTAAATAATTTTTTTGCTTTAAATTTTTTAGTTTAATATTTTTTGAAGTAAAATTGTATAATACATCTTCCAGAGGTTTTCTGTACTAGATACTTTAATAAAAAAGTTTTTTAATATAAGTTATAAGTTCATCTTAATGTACATTTTGAGGAAATATATATTATTTATTAACAATAAAAAAGTTCTGGTTCCATTATATAAAGTTTAATTAGAGATAACGCTGTTGTAATTATCAGATCCTTTATTACAAAGTAATCTATAATGGTATTAGGTATTCCTACTGTAAACCTGACTGAAAAAAAAACATTTCCAAGCTAGTAAAAAAGTCTACAAAAAGTTGGTGTCACCTGTTTCCGCCCGGGATCGAACCGGGGGCCTTCTGCGTGTTAGGCAGATGTGATAACCGCTACACCACGGAAACAGTTGACTAAGCGGATGTTCTCACTCGAAGTTGGTTTTCAGCAGAGGAAAAGTTCAAATCAAAAAGGAAATCTAAACGGATCTTATTTAGTTTTAAACTTTTTAATAGAAAATGTAACTTAAATGGAGCGATTTTTAAAGCAATGTTAATAAGAAATGATTTTCTTTATAATCCAAACATGTTTGATCATCCCACATTTATTTTGCAAAATGAATATTATAAACAATTGCATGTGAGTTTATTGACTTAACGATTTGACTGAATTCAAAGGAGATGACACGCCGGAAAGCCAAACCAAAATGTTTATTGGACGGAATTCCCCAAAAAATAAGAACATTTTCGGGAAGCAGAGCTATCCCAACCGCCTGACCATTGCATAAATGAAATTCCAGACATTTATATTCGCCGCTGGTTGTTCCCAGTCATTGTTCCTCACCTCCGCCGGATGATGATTCCTATGCGTCATTGGGCAAAGATGCCAAAAACAAAACAGAAATTGTAAACTTTAAGGCAGGCGCTGGTTAAGCACCCCTTTTTGCCATTTTACTCTCACTCGGATGGTTTGTTTTTGCCATTAACCTTTGCCGTTCGCTCTTTTCGTTGGCGGGAACTGAATTTGTCTCATTCGAGTGCCTTTGCAGGAGGGTGGGTGTTACTCTGGCTGAATAATGTGAGGACCGACTGAGTGACTGCCTGCCAGTCCGACAGACCGACAGTCTGTCTGTCTGTCCGACTGTCTCACTGTCTGTCTGTCGTCCCGACAAAAGGCCAAAAAAAAAAAAGAAAATGAAAAAACGAACACAATCCCTGCCCACTTGATGGCGTACGCTGCGTATGAGCAATGCGCTGTATGCATGCGATTCTGTCTGCAAATGTGTGTTGGTTGTTTTCAAGTGCACCACGCGTTTTTTTTTTTTTTTTTTTTTTGTTACCTGCAATATTTTCTCGCCTTCTCGGGCTCTCAAATGTGTTCAGCTTTCAGGTTTTCAATGGTTTTCACTATTGGCACGTTGCTGTCACGTTTCTCGCCTTTATTGCACACATATTGTTGTTTCTGGCACTGGTTTTCTTGATATTTTGTATTTGCTGCACCAGAGTCCTTGAACGCTCAACTGACCCGACACGACGACAAACACACACAAAAAGACACGCGAACTTTGGCTCTGGTAAATGTAATAAATATCCTTTATAGTGCAAAGCTCGTCACTCGAAGGACTCACACGACATGCAGCTTGAATTGAATTCAATTCAATTCAGTCCACAAACCGCGGACTCGCGCTCGAATAACTGTATTTTGCCAACCTTGCGGGTCGAGACGCAGGTGGGCTATGGTGGGTGGTGGGTGGTGTACAACGGACGATGGACGATGGGCGGTGCTGATTTGCCAGCGATTCGAACGGCGCAAGGACTCGCAGCCAACTGAATGTGTGAATGCAGTTGGCTGGCCCAGCGACGTGCTCGTTTTCACTTTCATGAGTTTCGCAGACCACTCTTTAACCACCCCCTTGGGTGGCGTTTTTTTCCTTATTGCTTATTTTTGCCAGCGGACAGCGCTTTGTTTTTGCTTTCTGTATGTGGCAGAAGAGCATGAATGGCAGCTCTCTGCCGCTCTTCTTCAAAACACGGTGGCTGCACGACACATGCGCCCTTCGAATTCGACATTGTAAACAGGTCGGCAAAATTTTGAATTTTCCGCCAAAAGTATGAAGTTCTTTTAAAAGAATGTTTGTTCTATCTAGAGGTTTTTTATGAAAGCAAAACCAATTACATTAGTTCTGTTTTTTTCCCCCTTAAATTCTATCTATTTCTATCCCAATTCTATTTAATTCTATCCCAATTTTTGGTAACATTTTATGTTTTGGTATTTGATATTTATCTATATTTAAGCTGAGAATTTTAAGATAAAATTCTGAAAATCAAAACACCGAAGGCAAAGACTGTTTGTAAATATTTATTGGCAAAACTTCCGTTAGGCACCGATATATTCCGGTTTGCGGCACTCCTCCACTTTGGGATCGTAGTGGAGACCCGGGGTGCAGTCCAAGGTCACTCCGCGACCCTCTACGCAGTAGTAGTATGCATCCCGGCGCCTCTTGTGCGGATAAAAGTGAACTCCCACCTGGGGACACTCAATGTCAGCACGCCGCAATGGGGAACGGGAATACGGCATTATATTCCTAGCTGCAGCATCGATCTTGAAATTAATTCGGTGGTTTTAGTTTTGGCTTTATGTAGAAATGTAAAAAAATCTTAAAATAACAGACATTAATTCAATTGATATTAATTCTTACGTAATGACTAAGAAATACCGTGTTCCCAGAAACCTTATCTAACTTTTATCAATTTTCAATTCGATTTTAAAGAAACCATTTCACTTACCGTGCAGTTAACATTCTTGGCAAAGTCACAGCACTTGCACTCGGAATTGTAGGCCAAGCCGGGGGCGCACTCCTGCTCCCAAGGATGTCCATTGGAGCAGACAAAGTACTTGCTGCAGGAGGCCTTGCTGGCCAGGTAGATGATGTCCTCCGGCTGGAAGGTGGCCGAGCAGTCGTTGGCCACGCAGTCCACGTACTCGGGGAAGTCGCAGCGATCGGTGACGTTGTTGTACTGGAGTCCATCCTGGCACTCCCTCAGGACGGGTTGTCCGTAGTAGCAGAGCACGTACTTGGTGCAGGTATTATCGTAGCAGAAGCTACTCAGACGAGACGACTCGCAGCTGGGCAGGCACTGCACATCCTCTATATAGGTGCATATCTGGAGTACGGGGTCGTATCCCAGTTCACAAGTCTTGTTTGCTTCGAGGCACAGGGTGGGAGTGTTCTTTTCTAGTTCTCCACAGCTGCCAACTTTTTTAATTGTGTTATCTAAAAATCATATGATAGTTAATCTTCTACTTAATTAGATCTCCGGTACAATAGGAGTACATATACATTTATTTGAACGAAAAAAAACAATTTAACTTACTTTCACACCATATATATTTATCGCAGTCGCCCACATAAGGAAGGTACACCCCGTCGACCACATTGTTGCAAACATTGATCTTGGTATTCTTGTACATGTCGTATACACCCTCATCTGGAACATCTTCTCCATCGCGATCTTCATCATCTGGACCAGGAGCCACAACGAGATCATCATCGGCCCAAACCCGATTGGACATCAAGAAGACCACCAATAGAACACCAAATATCAGACACTTCACTGCGGAGTTAATGAAATTGCCATTAAATGGATAGAAAACAATTTCCGAGTAACTTACTCCTGGAGAGCTTGGCATGTGCCACCCAACTGTTTGCTCTCATAGTGAAACATATCCATTTTATATCGAATCTTTGCAGTCGCCTAATGACTTCTTGCCAACTTATCACTTTGCTAATTTCGGCACACGACTAGGAAAATACCATATATTCGCCAAACATTTCATCTTTCAATTTGTCGCCACCAAACTTAGAGATAACTTAAAATACTTTGGACAGAGTGATTCCCAGAACTCGTGGATCTCCTCCAGCCATTATTAAAAAGTCTGATAACCACTTATTTGCAACTTCTATATCTTGCATGCTTTTAAGATAAGAGCTCTGGAGTTTTCGAGTACTTTAAACGTGATATCCACTATTGCGCAACATAAACTAAACTATGGTATTTCAATATAAAACATTTTCTGAGCTGCCAGGATTCTTGCAGACTATTATTGACCTAAGAAGCCCACTTCGTAGTTGTTGACATCAATGATTAATTTCAATTCAAGTTGAGAAAATCGTATCTTATAATTCTCTGCTAACTTAAAGCACTTGTTACAGTGAAAAAGTGAATGTTTAAAGATCCATTACTAGATACAAATTAAAGATTACTTATCCTTACACGTGTTCCTTAATGATCATCAGTGATGTAAAATTCAAAGGGTTTGATTAGGACAATATTCAGATTGACTTTTGTTCAAGAACGCTATCTCAACCTGTCGAATTTTAATGAGCTTGAAGCGCCATCCAATAACTACCTTTAAACATGCATCCACAGCTGATAAGATTCGGAATTCGCAGGGAAATTAAACACGCCAGAGATGAAATGCCAAAAAGGTTTACCTATAAATGGAGGGTTTCTTTTTACTGAATCGATAGTTAGAGGAGAAAACTGAAGGCAAAAAGTAAGTAGATGAATGAGCTGGAAAAACAAGTGAACCTAAGTACCAAACTATTCCCTAGTGTTGTTTCGCCTGACCCTTTTGGCCCTGGTTGTCCTGATCGGAAGTTGCGAAGCTGCAGATGGGGACGTCAATATTTGCTCCAATGTGGCTGACAATATGTTCGTCCCCCACGTGGGCAACTGCTCCAAGTACTTCCTTTGCATGAGTGAGTGTGGCAATTTTTATAACCCTAGTTTATTCTGGATAACTCCAATACTTCTTTGCCTTAAAGGTGGAATTGCCATTCCGCGTGAATGTCCTACCAGCTTCTACTTCGATGCTAAAAGTCAGGAGTGCTTGGACGCTATTGATGTCCAGTGCATTCCATCCTGCAAGGCGCGAGGATTGGGCTCCTTCAACTACGATCGCACGTGCACCAAGTACGTGCTCTGCTTCGATGGAACACCGGTGATCCGGCAGTGCTCCGATGGACTCCAGTACAATGCCCAGACCGATCGCTGTGACTATCCGCAGTACGTGGACTGTGTGGACAACCTGTGCATCCGGGATAACAATCCAGACGCCATCGTTTACATTGCCAGCAAGGCGCGTTGCGACAAGTACTACGTGTGTTTGGATGGACTACCGAATGTGCAGAATTGCTCCAGTGGTCTGCAGTACAATTCAAAGACCGAGAGTTGCGATTTCCCATCGAGGGTCAACTGCACGGTGGGTTTCTGGGTTTCTTCTATTTCCTGGGAGCAATCTTAAGATAGAGATTTACTTCTTTTAGGTGGAAACCCTTCAGAGGAATATCCTGCCTTTTGCCCGAGCTCCTCCACGTAGTGCGGACATCAAGTGTCCTTCGAAGGGATCCCACTTTATTGGCCACCCGAAACGCCAGGATGCGTACTACTACTGCCTAAATGGACGCGGAGTCATCCTGGATTGCACTCCTGGTCTGGTTTTCGATTCCAAGCATGGAGAGTGCCGGGAACCACAGTTCGTAGAGGTCTAATCGAAACGCAATAAATATCCTTTGTCTTCAATATTTAAAAAAATGTTAAAATTTTTTTAAGTAGTGGTATATCCTTTATTGGAGTTATGGAAGTTCAATTTTTAGAATTTAATTCGGGAAGCACAGACAACGTTTCTAAATCAAATCTTTATTTGCATTAGAAAAAATTTGGGTTGTCGAGACTTAGAGTTTTTGAATACAGTCGCGGCATTTGAATTAATCGCTTTAAATAAAGTTCAGAATTTGCAATTTATTTTAATTCAATTTTTTTTTTATTTTGACCGCATTAAAGGCCCACATTTTGGGGTTCGCGGCACTCCTGAACCTTGGGATCGTACCACAGACCCTCAGAGCACTCCAAGATCAGACCATGACCAAAGAAGCAGTAGTAATAAGCATCTCGGCGTGATTCGTGGGCGTAAAAGTGTACTCCATCTGGAGGGCAAATTCCATCAGTAGTTCTAGGTAGGAGTCGAGAGTATCGCCGAACCTTCCTCTGTTCAAATGGAATCTAAATAAAAGGGATATCAATCGGAATAGTAATTGAAATGGAAATTATTTTGATCCCACCTGACAACCCGCCTTCGATGGAATGTCGCAGCAATCGCATTTCGTGCTGAAATGGAGACCAGGAGTGCAGGTTTGCTCCCTGGGGATTCCGTTGCCGCAGAGGAAGTACTTCTCGCAGGATACTTTGCTGGGAACATAGCGCAGATGGTAGGCATTGTAGTAGATGGAGCACTCGGACTCCACACAATCAACGTTCTGGGGAAAGTCACACCGATCGGTCTCGGAGTTGTACTGTAGGCCATCCTGGCATTGCCTCAAAACAGGATGACCGTAGTAACAAAGCACGTATTTTGTGCAAGTTCGCTGGTAGCTGAATGTGCTGAAAGTCAGGGCTTTGCAGGTGGGTAAACAGTAAGCCTGACCAGGATGCACACAACTCTGGTTTTTGGCATTGAACTCATAGGGCCATTCGCACTGGAGTTCTATGGCTTGACCAGCTGTCAAATATATAATCCAAAAATTAAATAATTAAATAAAAAAGTATCTCAGTTTTCAACTTACATCGACAAAGGTAGTACCTATTGCAATCCCCCACAAATGGAAGAAATACATTATCCGCCACATTACCGCAAAGACTGAGATTTCCAATGATCAAACCATTACTATATTCCCCACCGGATGTGGTAGAGATCGTTTCCGCAGAACTATCAGTAGTTGTGGAGATATCAAAATCTTCAGTATTTACTTGCACTACGCAAAAGTACGCAAGCAGACAGATAAAAACCAACATTTCTGCAAAAAAGATAAGTATTAGAATTTTTGAATTCCGGTTTCTATTGGCATACCTCCACTCATCATCAGCTTCTCAAAACAACTGCTTGCTTCCTTCATGGAAATTTGCCTTTAAACAAAAAAATCAAAGATTATCTTATCACAGCATCGATGTTTAACATTTAAGTGACAAATTAATTGGGAAAAGAACAAGTGACTCATGGGCGTGAAATTTTAGCTCACCATTTTCATGTAAGGTTCATTCTCATTACTACTTAATCAAAAAAGTTTTCTATCCATTTCTATTATTTTTGAAAAAGGAAACCATCTCTTTGTGATCCTCCAAACTGAACATATATTAAAGCATGTTGATTTAAAGGAGGTGTGTTTATTTTTCTATTTATTGAAAATCGTTTCTGAAACGCTTGCCGCCTGGTTCCCAAAAATCTACGAGCACACGGAATCGTTTGAAAATATTTTCGCTTTCGGCTTTTCGATTCAGTCGAAACATTGGCATCTCTCTGCGCACAACCCATCGCGTGAGGATCGTATCTGAATAAATACATATTCCTAAAAGAAATTTCTGGGAACCATAGTTTTAGTTTGTTGTGTAAGTTTGCATAATTGCATATTGTGGCGTTGTCTTCAAAAGTTCCAAGTGATTGACACTAGTCATATTGAAAATACAATTTAACAAAGAGGCATTTATTTATAGACAGCGCCTTGCGGTGGGCCTTTGTTTGTATTCAAAAAAACATCAATGTGCGATATATGTATATAACACCAAATTTTCCCTCTTCTCTTCAAGCACCTAGAAAATGGTCAACGAGTTGAACAGACCCCAAAATGGGGACAATGCCGCCTTGAGCGAGGTATGTAAGCTGGAATCTAGCAAATCGGAATAAGATCAGTATTTAGAAAAATTGTTTTTTAATATATAATAACAAAAATGAGTTCATTAGGGACTCTTTGAGTTTAAAATGTTATATGACACCCAACAAAGGCTGATCTCCAATTATTTCTGGCAACAATGAAATAATTGGGCCAGGTATTTTGCATCGCGTATATAATTATTTATATGCTCTCCTTGTTTAAATTGTCTAGATGTTTCCACGAAAAGATTTTTACAAAAGACACATTGTAAAATAGTTCTCTATCCGAAAAGTTAAATCTTTCTAATTTAAGTTAACTAACTACTTGCTTTAACCCAACAAATAAGTCTTTAAATTTTACAATGTGAGTAATACAAGGAAGTTAACCGATTAGTTTTGTTTGACTTTTATTATATAAATTAAATTTTCATATTTAGAAAAGCGGAAATAAAATATTAAAATGGTTTTCATTTATCTCCAGCGCCTGGCAGCATCCAACCGGCAGCTGCAGGAAATGCAGGAGGAGCATCGCCAGCTGCTGGAGGAGATGGAGACCTTGCGTTTGCGAGCGGCCGAACTTACACTCCTGAATGCCCAGCGCCAAACGCTAAGGCAATCCGCCGGAGAAGAGGAGAAAACCCAAGAGTCGCAAGCTCCAGCGGAGCCGGAAGCAGTGTCCTCATCCTGTCCTGCTGATCCCGCTTCAGAGGAGGCCACATCAGCTGCCCAGGAAGAGGGCAGCGAGGAGGACAAGGAGGAGCAGGCCAGTTATCTGCAGGAGAAGCTGAACGAGATCGCTAACCTTAAGGCCCAGTTTAAGCGAGTACAGAACATGGTGGATACCACCAAGCTAATTGAGCAGCACATGTCCACCAGGCAGTCGGTGCAGGTGCAATCCAGTTCCTCCGTTCAGACCAGGCGGCAGACCACCACCTCTGAAGTCCGGGTGGCGAGTGAAGTTGGGGAGGCTGAAGAGGCTGTTGCCGGTTCCAGTGCATCGACCCCTGCTCCCGACAATGCGGAACTCCTGAACTCCATGCTCAACATGTTTACGGACTTCACCAGCGATCTTCGTGGCCAGGCGGAGAGTCTGCGGGAGGAGCGGGATCGCATACGGGCTCTCAAGGAGGACATTATTCAGCGCAAACAGGGAAAGCAGTGAAAGCTGCACTGAAAACACTCACGGGTTCTAGTCATATCATGTGAAAATCAGACGATGTTATTATACAATTATAAAAAACCCCAGTTTATCTTATAAATATATAATTATTGCTCCCAATCGATTATTTAAACTTTGAATATGTTTTTATGGTTTACCCTTGCGGGTTACCAAAGTGGAAGTACCATATAAAGATTCTTTCTTTCTTTCTTTTCCGTATAAGCATTTCTTTTGTGGAAAAATTCAGTGTAAACTTAGAAAGTGCAATTAAGATGTTAAGTAAAGTTAAAAAACTACCCGTAGACTAAAAAACGTAAGCTTTAAAATTTTCAAAATTATTATTTTAAATTTGGCAGTTACATGTATCGATATCGATAGACCGCCCAGCTGAGCGACCCTGTCTCAGTTGGCTATTCCACTGGCTGCCAACCCTGGTTTAAAACAGCTGTCAAAGTGGGCAAAGCAAAGCGAAAATTTTTTTCTAGCGTCTGTTTTTTATACACAAAAGTTTATATATAAAAAAACAATTTATCGTATATAATGGCGCCGCCGCCCAAAGTAGCTGCGGAGCAAGGCAATGCCAGTGCACGCAGCAGCAGCGGCAACAGCATCAACAACAACAATTCGGTGGGCGGGGCAACCGGCGCCGTGCCCAAACAACAAACGCCCACAAACGGAGCACCCTCTTCCGGAGTAACTGCGTCCGCGGCAGGGAGCAGATCGGCCCGCTCTCGCCGACAGCAGGAGCATCTGGGCGAACCGGACTTGGACTTTGTGGAACCACTGCAGCACGAGACTTTGAAAACACTGAATGTGAGCAAATCTTCTAGAAGAGAAAGAAGCTCCTTTCTCTTTGATTTATAAATACACTTCACACTCATATTGGCCTGCGAAAATTCTTTTCCGCTGGTTCAGTAGCGAAAGCAAACGCAGACACAGCGGACAACGAATTTCGAACGGCCAGTGCACGATTATATATATATCTAGAGAGATATATATATATAGACCTAAAAGCAGAAACATTACCGCCCTACTCGTGCTCATCTTATTGCTAACCTTTGTTTGCTGTTGCTTCAAGGATCTGCTTCAGCGAGCCCGCATCACGAACGGCAAGAATCGATCTCCAGCAGAGCAGCAGTTGTCTACCAAGGAAACCAGATCACCAGGACAGCAAAAGCAGCGCGACACACTGAGGCAACTGGCCGCCGAGCAGAACAACTACGATTCAGCTGGTAAATGTCAAAAAAAAGTTCAAGGAATACACATCTCATTGAGCAATTTCCAATATCGGTACCTGGCCAATGGATCGGCATGGCCCACACAACGATCAGTGCGCCAGTTCATGGTCTATAAATAAGATGCGCACGAAAATAAACGCCCACTGAGATGATGTAGTCCGCAGCCCACACTGTTCTAGACCTAAACTGATGTTTCCTATTTTCCGTTGCAGAGCAATTACAGGAACAGCAGCAGCGCTACCGATTCCCCGTGCGTCCAGTTCAGAGGGTCCAGCATCAGCCATCCTCGTCATCGTCTGCTGGTACAGGCGCCCCTGCACCTTCGTCAGCCTTGCTGCGACTGCGTCAGTCGACGCCCCCGAATGCGACAGTAGGCGTGGTCATACCAAACGCAACCACCAGCAACGGAAACGGTCACTTGAGTGGCAACGAGGAGCAACCGCCAACTCTGACCGCCGCAGGACTGCAACAACTCGTTCACCGCCTCTTAGGTGTGCAATCACTAGGCCCCAGAATCGAAGCAGGTCGCTCCCAGGTTGAGGTGTTACGTTCCCTACTGGAGTTAGACGAGAACCTAAACAGCAGAAGACAACAGTCGAGTGCAAATTTAACAGAGGTGAGTATACTTTAATATAAAAAGAAATTTGCATATGTTTTAAAAACAATTGGTTAAGTTACAATTGAATTACTCTTAGTATTAAAAAATGACCAATAAATTAATTTAGGGGCTTCAACTAGAATTTTCTCTTTTTTAATAAGTAAACTTATTTTTCTTTTTAGCAAATCAACAGTATGGTTCACGAAATAAACCCAACCGAGCAGGACGAGGGCGTAGTCAATTCGACCAGCCTGGAGGATGTCGCATTAAGCGAGGTAAGATTATAAAGATACTCTTTTTCCTCACTTCTAACTTCCAAGTTGGTTTTTTCAACCAGATGAGCGACAACCGCGCCCAGTCCATCCAGTCCCTGCACAGCGTCCTGGAGACACCAACACCTGATACCACGCCCAGTTTCGATGAGCTGCAGCAGCGCCTGGAGGCCTCCAACAGGAACATGCAGCACCTGCAGGACGAGCAGGCCAAGCTGCTGCACATCCAAAACCTGGCAAAGTCCCACCTCAGCGAAATGGAGCAGCTGCGCCAGCAGGCTGACCGTCTGCCCCACAACAGCAATGGAGGAGAGGCGCCCAAGTACGAGTCCGTGCAGCAGGTACAGGATGACATGGCCTCGCTTGTGGGGCGCATGAAGAATCTCACCGCCTTTATCCACAACCAGAACGAACTGAGCACCGTGCTAGGAGACGATGGTCCCGAGATCCTGGCCGAGCAGCAAGCGCTCCAAGAGAAATTGGAATCGCTGCGCACTCAGCGTGAGGATATGCGCAACCTGGTGGATGAATTGAACAGCATCAACCGCACGGCCAGGGAGTCGGCAAGAGAAACAGCAAGAGTAATCAAGGAGGAGACTCCCACGCCTCCGGCAAAGCCAGTTCCGGTTCCAGTTGCAGCTCCAGCTCCAGCCAAGGAGCGAGTGGTTCCTGTTGAGTACCAGAGAAACGTGCCAATCATGCGTCAAGAAGCAGCAAACGCAGCCCAACGGGCACTCCATGCTCAGGCGATGATCAACCAGAAGACGGCGGACATCGAAGCACTCAAGGCGCAGATGGCCAGACTGAAGGGCATGCTGAACACGGTGACACAGATCGAGGAGAGCACGCCCAGCATGGGTGGCTCACTGGAGCGACGTAGTGAGGAGAGGACCAGTATGGAAAAGGAGTTGCCGGAGGAGATTGCCCAGCGCGTATTTGCTCTAAACGATGTCACTTCGGAACTGCGTGCCGAGGCAGCCAGTTTGCAAAAGGAACGCGATCGTATTCTGGCTCTGAAAGCGGAAATCGAACGCCGTAAGCAGCAGGCAGCCGCAGCAGTTCAGATGGGCGAGGAAGCTCTAAAGCGCAGCAGTCTTACTCCCACTCCCACGCCCATGAGACAGCAACAGGTGGCCGAGGATGAGGATCCCTCGGAAGTGGATACTACCTCACTTCAGGCCACACCGACCAAGGAACAACTGCGCGACGAACTGCGACTGCAATGTGAGCGATTGCGCAAGGAGTACGAGCAGAAGCAGCGCGAACTGGAGCAGCGATATGTGGCCAGCAATAACACCACCTCGGAGGCGGATGACGAGGGCAACGACGACACCGACAGCGATAAGTACTTCGCCAACGTACGTACCGCTTCTTCGGCGACGCTCAAGCGAGCTGCATCCGCCAGCACGGTGGTGGAACAGCGTCGCGGTCAGCAGACCAATTTGCCTTCGCAGCAAGCCCCACCTCCGCCAGCTCCTCCATCCACGCTCCTTGAAGACGATTTGAACGTGACCCTGGACACTTTGTCGCTGGGCAACGACAGCCTGCCCTCGAGCAGCAACAGGTCGCAGTACATGCCGCCACCAATGCCACCAGTGCCGGGAATATGGGGTAAGTTTTTGCATTTGTGCCAAACGAAAAAAAAAACATTTATTCTATTGACCCCATAAAAGATTGTAAAAATGTTTTTTGAGCGTTATATATAATATTTAAAATCTTTCTTTAATAATATAATTTTAATAATGTCTTCTCAATATCCCCTCAGCATCTCACAACTCTGGTAATTCGTGGCACGGGCAGCAGCCGATCTATGGACAGGCTAGCTCCAGCACCGGCACAGAGTTCAAGCAACCGCCGACAGCCGCGCAAGTGGGATCCTCAAATGCCTCCGGATCGAATGCATCGGCGGACGCTGTGCTGCTGCAGCAATTCATGCAGACGCAACAGATGCTCATCAACTCGGTGTGCCAGTGCAACCAGACGTTGTGGCACCAGCAGCGGGAGATCGACAACCTCAACAATCAGCTTCATACGGTAATTAACTACCAGTTAACCGGACTTTCCAGTGGCTAATAATTTTATTTACACAGCTCCAAGATCGCTTCAATGTGGTGGCTTGCCAGGATCACAGCTTTGGCTTGAGGTCAGAGTCTGTGCCGCCTCCCAACCTTCCGGGCATGGGTCAGATGCCCAACAATCTGTGTCTGGGCAACAGTCGCGCTCAGTCGGAGCAGCTCTTCAACTTTGGGGCCCACCAGAGCGCCTTTAGCAACTACCAGCGCAGCTGTCACCGCACCGGAAGCGAATCGCATCATCACCAGCAGCAGCAACACCAACAGCAGCCGTTTCTGAACAATGCCGCTCCACCGCCACCGCCGACGCACTACAACAACGAGACACCGCTGTCGCCACCCACGTACCGTTCCAGTCCGGGACCAATTTTTATGAACCACCACAACAACACGATCCATCAGAACAACTCGAATCTGCGAACGCAGAACCAGCACGCCAACAATCTGCACTCCTTGCCCGAGGGAGCAGCTGGCGGAGGAGCTCCCGGTGGTGGAATTACCCTTAACAACCAAGTGCCACCTGGAAACCGGGCCAACAACTACTGGGACAACTTCCGCAGGTAATTTTGTAACATTGGTGATGGTTTTTGAAAGGGGTATTTTGGTGGAGGAGGGTTAAACGCAATAAATATTTATTAAAACCATTATATAGAGTTCATTTTCAATTCTGTGTTTCGGTAAGTGCGACCAAGAGGTGTTGCAAACGAGTGTTCCATTAACAGAGTTGAAAGTGACTAACAGTTGAAAGAGATTAACCACAATTACTAACAAAAGAGTTGCCATTATAGTCAATCTGAAGTTTAGAAATATAGCATGTCATGGCTGATAAACAATATACAAAATCGGCAAAGATTTAAACTATTTTCTACATTAACATAAACAGAATAAAGTAATTCAAAATGTTAAATAAATTATTATTATTCAATATTATTGTTGATTCATTTATTTTGGTCAGTATAAGTTAAAGCATGAAACTAAGTTCAAAATAAAATATATATGTATATATAATTATATACATTAAAAGCAATTACAATTTTGATTTAACTATTTGGCAAGACTGACTAACCACTGCTTGAATATTTGCTACACGCTTGCATTAACCCATTAATATCCGTGCGCTTTTCCAGCCACTCGCGCCAGAATCTCCTGTCGAACAAGAGCAACGAGGAGCTGAACGTGGACCTGCAGCAGTACCGTTGCCAGCGGGCTCGTCCCAGCTACTTCCAGCCGCCGCACTTGATGCCACCGCAGACGACTCGCAGTGGCTTGACCCACCAACAGCAGCAGCAGCAGCAGCGTCGCCACTTTTTCGAATCGCCACTAACCGCTTTGCATGGCAGCACCAGCAATGGCAGCAATAACCTCAACAACAGCGGCAGTGCGGCAAGGAAACGCGACTGGCGCGAGGATCAGGCTCGCAATCGCGACCACGACGATGAGGATGTGGACGAGGTGGAGGAGAACCATGACAACATTATATTCGGCTCAGGGCGACGTCGGAATCGTCGCCGCCCGCAACTTTCAACGCTGCGCGATGAGGAGCCGGAGCAGCCAACTTCCTCGAATCTCAATATGAACGTTAACTACGGCAACAGTCCGCTTTATCAGCGCAACAAGGTGCCAGCTAAGCCCACCACATCAACGGTTTCTCTGACTCCTCTCCAGCAGCGACACCTTCGCTTCGACTTTGAGCTCCCTGCTCACTATATGGACTACATTGAGCTGCCCCAGATAACACCGATGGACAATACTCCCATCCTCGGTCAGGAGCCGTCGCCAGCGGACGAGTCCAATGTCATGGAGCAGACCGAGGAAACAGCCTCCGAGGAACTGAATCGCAATCTGCTGGTCAATGCGCTCAAGAACGACAAGTTCACCACAAAGTTTTACGAGTCCATCAAGGAGGATGTCTACCGCCGACTGGAGACACTTTTCGAACAGCAGCAGCAGCAACAACAGCAGCAACAGAACCAACAGCTACAGCAATCACAAGAGCCGCACAGCCTGCGAAAGGCTCTCAACCAGGAGGAGATCGAGCCATCGGAAGATGCGGAGGCCACAGAAAGTCGCAGTGAAACGCCACTGGAAGTGATGCGTTTGCAACTGGACAACGATCGGCCCGAGGATGAAAAGGCGTCGCCAGTGAAGCAGCTGACTGTGGTCATTCCCCAGAATGGTCATGACCTGGACGAGATGGAGGCCACTGCTTCGGCGGTTGCTCCTGCTGTAAGATCGGAAAACGAACAGGTAAGGAAGCGGCTTAAATCCTTGCCAAGGGGTACGATGTACTCATGCTTTAACTCTCCTTCACCAGCAAGTTATCGAGGGGAAAGTGGAACAAGACGATGGCTCTGGAGCAGGAGCCACCGTGGAACTAGCCCCGGACCACGAGCTTATCGAATATATTATCAGACGCATACGCAACCAGACGCACAATAACACCGTCATAAATGATTCCTTGCTGGCGGAAGTCTCCAAGTTGACGGCCACTGCCGCCCAGAATTCGACCGCCAGTTCGCCGCTCATCTCGCCCAAGCGCATTTACGCCAAAATCAAAAAGATGGACATGCCGCGGCAGCGTGACGAGTTTCTGCTCTGGTACCGCTCCTATCTCGAGCAGTTGTTCGTGGTGGAGCAGCCGCAGGACACGTGCAAAGCCAAGTCGAAGGTGCCACCTCAAAATGCTGGTAGTCCGTCCAAGCAGACCAACAAGCGGGTTCGCGAGCAGTCGCAATCCCAATCGCAGGACTCAAATAACGACGCCGATCTGGCTGAAGCTGACCAGAAGAACGTCTCCTCGTCGGGGAATGGCGATCTGGAGTGCGAGAACAACGAGAATCCCGGCGAGGAGGCGGACAACCAAGCGGCAGCAGAGTCCTCCGGCGCAGAAAAGAAGGACAGCAGCCTGGAGTAGGCCATAGGTTAAACCAAGCAAAACAAACATTCCTAATCTCACAATACATCATTTGTATGGATATGAAATCATTACTCATTTACGGCTTTCGCAGATGTTAAATTTTGTTTGTCCGTGTCGTTGTTCTAAGCAACCATTTCATTTGGCTTATAGTTTTTTATTTAACATTAAATTATGTAACAATTATAAATATATATATGTATGTACACTGAAGACAACAATATACTTTTATTATGATAACAATACCTGAGGAGACAGACTCTTCGGTTGGCTCTAGTTTTATCTGCTCGTGGTCATCTGCTCCAGCATGCGGTAGTAGCAGTAGCGACTATCGTAGTCCAGATCGTACCAGAAGTTAACGGCAATGCACTTGTGGCTTTGGGACACGTGATGGAACCAATAGTTGGGCAGGTACAGGATGTCTCCGGCATGAACGCGCACCTTGAGTGGTTGCGCACGGGCGTACTCCGGATACTTGGCCAGGTTAGGAGCCAAAGGGTCTATGCTGACCCATTCCGTAAACTGTTCGGATCCCTCTTCATCGCAAATGGGATCAATGTAAAACTGCCCACTTTCAGAGGTTTTGTAAACGGCCGTGGGATAAATCTCACGGGGAACACAGCTCAACTGGTGTGGCGGGATCAGGATGAAGTCCTTGTAACCGGATATAACACAGTACAGGTTCTCGTAGGGATCCTTATGCATGGAGGTCACGGCGCGCTCGTCGCCTAACCAAAAGTTGACGGCATCAGGTGGCTTATTGAAGGACTGCTGGGCAAAATCCAGGTCACTGATACGCAGATCGGCGGCCAATTCCGGCAGGTCCTCACTGAGGTTGGAGTTCTGCTTCTGAATGTAGTGGACAGCACCAGTGGGATCATCTAAGCGGCGAACCAACTCGGACAACTTCATTTTGGTCTCCAGCGGCAGGACGAAAAACTCCTGCCCGTTTTGCGTGGCCAGGCCATCGGCATAACCGTTTGGAGTGACGGCCACATCCACTACTCTGTCCTCGAGCGCCTGGATCAGGTATTCCGGCGTCCATTTCCCGATTGCCGGCCACGAGAGCGCCTGGCGAATGACTACCGGCTGGTTTTTGGAGTAGTAGTCGCGGCAGAACTCCAGGGCTGTGGGAATCCTGTCTAGCTCCACCACGCTGCTCCCGATGCACAGCTCCTCTGCCTCCTGGAGCAGGACATCCAAAGCCCTCTTGATTTGGGACATGCCGGCAATAACAGTGCGCACAAACGCGTTTTTTCTTTAGGGTGGACCATGTCGTAAATGTGCGAAAGGGCGGTTCTGGCATTCAGCGAAATCTAAAAAGCTGATTTAAATGGTAAATAAATTTATATTTACTTTAAAAAAAACTAATTGTATTTTGTATATTTGTAAGGGTTTAGTCGAAACACTTGTAATTATTTAATTATTTTATCTGTGGTTTGACTTTCGATTACATTTTTGTTGCGAAATATAATATACAAATATACGTTTACGTCAACTACGTATATCTACATTTTTAAAGCAAGATAAACTTATTGGAAGCAATGAACTCATGCATATATAAAAAGTAATTTAATAGCTTATAATTATTTTTACAGTTTGTTCGCTAAAATACATTGCGTTGAGCTGTGGTAGCTGACAACTGCTTAGGGTTTTAAGGTAATTAATTTAATTCATTTAATTTTATTAAAAAAAAAAAAATTTCATTAACATTTTTTTATGGATTTTTGAATGGCTTTTTATTTAAATTTTTAACCCAAATGTATTTTTTTTAATTCTTATGAGTATAAAACTATTTACTTGCTTGGGAAAACGTTGTATCAAATCAAGTTTCTGTTAACCAGGTTGAAAAAAGCGCCTCTAGCGGACTAACATTCAAAGACAACAACCGATGGTGGGGTGATTGACTAAGGCCTTTTTAAGCCCCATGCACCGCATGAGGGTAGTGCGCGATATTGGACTGATGGATCCGTGGGGACCACCTTACATTTATTCCATCATGGAAAAGCCATCGGAGACGCGAGTGTGAATGCGAGTGCGGGAGTTTCAAGACGCGCGCGAAGCTGCGGACTGTGCAATCGGAAGTGGAGCGAGCTTGAAAGCAAACAAGACGGCGCGTGTCGGAGTGTTTATAATACAAACGTTGTTTTCAAATACAAACGTTGTTTTTTTCAAAACACAAAAATCCCCAGCGGGCCGGAGGAGTGGGGTCACCTCTTTTGCATGCCCGACATTTGCACCTTGGATGCCGCGGGAAAAAAACCAGTGCGATTTGAGCAACAGGTGGCGAATGGATCGTGTCGATGGGCGACGGGATTTGGCGAAATTGTGCGGATAGACTCTGACATAGGCCCACTAATATTATTATTATTATATGGCCAAAAGGGGTCAGGCTGTGTGCGCGTGAGGAAATTGAATTGACTTGGCCACCGCCGCCGCCGCCGCCAGTCCGAAATCGAAATCAAAATCTGTGTCGCAAATGTGGCACTAATAAATTATCGCACATTCGCACTCGCGAGTGCTTCATTAATGCAGAAATCGCAAATGAAGGAGAATATCTAGTTTGCAGCGGCTGCGTTTGTTTAACTTTGCCATAAACGTGACCAAATTTCCAATTGCCGCGTGGATCACCCCAAATAATAGGAGTCAACATAAATAGCAAGCAACAGGGAGCCACGCTTCGCGGAGCAGCGCACAAAGAAGAAGAACGCCAACTCCGTGGCCTATAAATATCCGTCTTCAAAATTACTAAATCCAATTGCAGTCCAATTAGCAGCCGAGCGCCAATGAAGCGCCAGTAGAAGAGTAAGTACGTCGCGTCTGCTGTGAGAAAAACTTTCTCACCCAATGTGGATATACCCTTTCTACTACAAAAGTAAACTACGGTGATCGTACCGGTTTTCGGATAGCTTTGAAAAATAAATAAGATAAATGAAAACAAATAAAAATATGAATAATTTTTAAAATTACTTACTTACTTAAAATAGGCTTGTGATAAAAAGTAATGCTGACAGTTTCTTTAATGTGAATGTGAATGATTCAAACAGTAATGAAACCTCTTTGTTAGTAATATTATATTTACATATTTCCTATCCTAAACATTACCTTTATTCTTGCTAATCTTAAATTTAAACTTCTTGCTCTCTAATCCTTAATTTTACCTTCACCTTTCCTAATCATTAAATGTAACTTATTTTTAGTACCCTCTGCAAGGGTATTGAAATCAGCAAACGCCAACAGTGCGTATGACAGTTCTTACGCAATTACCATACCATCACACGCTACAAGATTTACATAAATTCGACCTGCAAAATTGATAAGCGTCATAAAAAAAACCGCAGCAGCAACAGTTGCTGTGTGAACCAAAAAAAAAAAAACAACAAAAAGCAATAAGCCAGTTGCAAACAATGCAAAGCTCACAGAGCAATGCAATTTTTCCACAATTTATTTAAATATCGCATAGTTGTTGCTTTTGTAGTGCGAACCCCGAAATGAGTCAGTCGCGTGGCGTTGCCGCTGCAGTTGCAGTCGTCGTGGTACACAGAAAAAAATAATGGGATAGATCATCATCTTTGTGGAGCAGCCATTAAAGCAAACTATCTAAAATATAAATTTTTTAGTACTACATTTGTAAAGAAAATGGTAATAAAACCTTTAATTAAGGCACTTGTAAAAAAAACAAATTTCACCCGCCATGCAGTAGTTCTTTTTTGCAGTGCAGCTGCCGTTGCAGTCGCTGCATGCCAGCGCGTACTTCTTTGTGGCGACAGAGGCTGCGCTGTCATAAAGACTGTCAAATTGCGATCGGCCGAGTGGGTGGGGCGAGGGGGTGCGGGGGCGTCATTGGCCCACTGCTGCAGCCAGGCGCATTTTTTTCTTGCAATGCCGGCGTCACTGACCACACTCAACGGCAAATCGACAGTCGCCTCGGGAAACAGCTGGGGTAGAATAAATATAACTCTTTCGATGGGATAAGTTTAACCACAGACAGACATAATTAAATTTTGATTTTTTTTTTCTGGAATCCTATGTAAAACACTACAAAACATCAACCAAAAAATGGAAAATAAACTAATGATGCAGCTTGTTAGAAACACTTTTATAACAAATTCATAGAGGTATGCCACTTGTAAATCAGATAAAAATGATAAAAGTTATGGGTTTATAAGTGCTGTGGAAAATATTTTAATATGTTTAAATAGATTAGCTTTCAGAGGGCAATGTCTTTGTAAGTCACATGTTTAAAATCTAATCTAAAACACGCCAGAAATAGTTTTGATAAAAGCGGCTCAGATATGTCAATAACGAAATGGGGAAAACACTATAACCATTTAACGATTGCATTAATCCAAAGACCGAACCAGTATTTAATTGGTGCTATTATCTCACCCCCTATGGTTTCCATGTCTGTATGTCTGTGGCTTGAGTGCTTTGCGTGTGGCTTTTTGGAATTGCATTCGGCATTCGGCAAACGCTAAATGATAAATGATTGATGCTCGTGGCCAGAATACGCATTAGTTGGGCATTAGCCGACCTCTAAGCGAGTTACCAATTTCTTTCGGCCCGCATTTCGTGGTGCTGTGTGTTGTGTTATCTCAGCCACGTCACCGACGCTCACGCACTTAAATTTAAATAGTTAAGTACCCACAATATATAAAACTAATACTGCTGATTAGCCGCGAAATGGGGCCAAGAGATTATGCGATGTCCCTCCGTGAAACGCAAATTACCCGCAAAATTGCTCTTCCATCTATCTAAGTATAGAGATACATTCGTAGTCTGCAGTTACTATAGTCCACTCGTTACCTGCATGTCATTTGCACTGCTCCCCGGTGTCACGGAAATTTAATTAAACCTTTATGCAGATGGCTTTTCAATCGGTGGCCGCAACTGCGCTCCCTTGAGGGGAAAAACGCCCGCTTATCACTTAAAGCCAGCCAACTCGAAATGTAAAACACCTGAGGGGGCGTGGCAGCGGGTGGGCGTTCGACATATGTTACATTCAAGTTGCCGCTTATCAACAACAATGGGGCAACCCGGTTAAGTTGGCGACAAAGAGCCTCACCCACAGTTGGCATACATTTTTTTTTTTTTTTTTGGGCTTGGGGACCTCGGGGGGTTCATTTGGCAAAAAAGTGGAGGCGCAAAGGAGGGTTTCACTGGGTCGCCGGTTGGTGAGCCGTTCAAATGGCATCCCATAAAAACGTTGTACAGAAATTAACATAGCCATAAACACAAATTTCGGGGGGAAGTGTGGGAAAGGTGTGTTCGTTGCCCCAAAGGGACTTTAATTGATAAAGAGCGGGCAGCTGGGCAGCCGGAAGATTCCTTATCAAGTCGAACTTCCTGAATTCAAACGCATTCCTGGCCTCATTAACATTAGAAAGGAAAGTGAACAAGGGAAATAACAAAAATGGTAGCTCAAAGCGAAACAAAGTGAAATGAAAATGAAATTGTTGCGACTTAATTTCTGTTACACATTCTGTAATGGCTATATTTTATGCTTGCAATGTTCTCAGGGTGAGCTGTGGCGAAACCACAAAAACAGAAATGGTCAAAATGTAGTTGGCAGTCGACCATTAAATACCTTGTAAGCATTTCAAAAGTTTCAAAGGAATGAGAAAATATTCAATGTTTGGATTAGGATTTATTTATAGACAAAGTTTATTTAAAGACAAAGTTCTTTATTTAGAAAATATTTAATAATGAAAACTGTGGTAATACCATTGATCATATTATTTTATTTAAAAAGACTTTCAGTTGTGAATCACAATGCATATAATTCACAACTTTTCTTTAGAATTCTAGCTGATAAACTAATAATCTTTTCTTGAAGCTGTAATTGTAAATGTGCTTCCTTAAAAAATCAGATTTGTAACTAATTTAGTATAATTGATATACCCCAGATTTCTATAACTGGCAAGTGAAAAACAATGGACATTTAGCAGGCGTTGTGGTGAGCTGAGGTTGGTCGAAGGGCCCACCTCCGGACCCATTATTGGATCCTGTGGAGCCCTGTGGGTGCCGTGGTGGGTGCTTCTATTTTATGGCCCGACATTTAATGCTCTGCCACCGAATCTGAAACCGAAACTGAGATTTAAGCAGGCCGCAGAGGCCAAGTGCAGGCAAGTGAAGCTGAACAAGAAGCTGAGTTAACGCCGTGGGTTTAATGCCCGCTTAACCCACTTCGGCTGACAAATGTGCAACTTTAAATCTTCTGCTCAAAACGCTTGTAAATAAATCACGGGACACGGAGTGCAAAATGCGACAAAAGAATTGACTTGAAATGGAGCCAATTGTTGCCAGCTGTCAAATGAAGAAAAACATTGAATAAAAAAAAATTTAAAAAATGTATAAGAATTCTTCGAAAATATTTGTCAAATGAGTTTGCGAAAAAAAGAAATTTAGAATAATCATAATCCGTGCCTGGTTGACTAATTTAAATATGAAAACAATTTATATATATAAACTGTTAGCTTCAAGTAAATATTGCTTGCATATAAAAACTATTGATTTACGAACCTTTTATATTTAACCTTTTTTTAAGTTTTCCATTAAAAAGTATGTGCGGAAAACTGACAAACTGTCAACACTGATATCCATATTCGAGAATCTGACGTTAATGAAGCTCCAATTAGCGATGTGAAAAGTTTCCGCTGTTAGTCCGTTGCATGTTTTTAGGCGCTCGCTATCGCAAAAAGTTAAGCTCCTTATCAGCCGCGAATTGATCATCATCAAAACGTAATTGGCTAATTGTCTGATATCCACGGGTGACGGATCATAAAGGAAGTTTCGTAATGAAGTGACCAGAAGTTGGATCATTCATTGGCTCTCCCGGGGAAATTAAATCCGCAGGAGGCGACTACGTGAGAGCAATGCTCGAGAGGATTGGCCCAGAAACTTGGCACTGGGCACGCAGCCAATTGGTTTCGCTACAAACTTCGGTTCCGGTTCAAGGGATACTCGTAGTTTCCGACATTCGTTTACACATTCCCCGAAAGACAAACTTAAGTACAGCGCATTTAAATGCAATTTGTGACAGTTTTCCCTTTTCTCGACTTTCAAGTGACACGCATACAGCAGGAACAATTTTTTAGGGTGGTGTTTGGGTGTTTTGGGGTTCTCCAATGCAGCTGGGTGTGCCGGAAGAAGGAGAAAAGTTAAGGCATGCCTGGCACAAAGGAATTTTCCTATAATATTGCATGAAAATATGCACAACAACTACAATCCTGGTGATGTGCAATGGGTCACGACACGCAATAAAGGGGGTTAAACAAAATTAAAAGCAATTAATTTACTATTTTTACTTTTAATAAAAGAACTTTGACCCAGTAAATAAATGTCAAAAACAAGTTAGTGACTTTTCTGAGAGCTAAAAACATTTCATTTGTAAGGAAAACGTTTATATTTCCATAATAAGAATTAAATATTAACCTGATTACAATATTGATAAAACATTGCATGTTAATGATGATTATTTTATCGCTGTCTCAGAATTCCTTTGAACTTGTAAAACTTTCAGGTCGTTATCGTTTCGAAAACATATGTGATAATAGATTTTCTCAAACCATCACGAAGCTCACGCGTTCCTCATTGATTTCCCCTTGAATGGCATAAATCTGGTTCCATCCAGAAATATACGCAAATCCTTGAAGTACACTCAAAGGACCCGATTCCCGATAAACTTTTATTTTTTTTTCTGCTGGATCGTCACTTCAGACAACATCTGGCATATGGACAAAAAAAGGAAAACTTGGGAACTTTGCCTATCTCTGCTCGTGCATTCGTGAAGGGAAATGAGATAAGGACGAGGACAAGGATGCCTTACCATTCCTTGCCAGCTGGAGGACGTGCGTCAAAAGTTCGGAGGGGCGAGGAGGCGTCTCAAATTGATTTTAAAATAATGAATGAGCCCAACGCCTGACGCACATCAATTTTGGCACTTGCTCATCGGGTTTAGCCCCCTTTTTTCACCCATCATTGTTGCAATGACTAATGACAAAGTTGTTCCTTTGTTTCCTTTATTCGGGTTGGCTTTTTATTAAATTTCGCTACTCACAAGAAGCCGATGTAGTAGGCTCCCCGGGAGAAGGGAGAGGACTGTCGGGTCTCCAGGAAATAGATGCCTGAGGGAGGCTGCTCGTCATCCTTTTGGCCCATTTTCTGGGAGGACCAGCGGCAGTTGGAGGCACCCATCGATTCCACGGATCCACAACGAGCGCTTAAAAAGTCATTTTCCGGGGACCACATCTCGGCAAGCAGCTCAAAGGATCTCTCATGGGAACAGGAGTTCGTGGAGCATCCCGTCTGCGATTGCCCTCCATTGGGATAGTAATCCACATGACCCAGCTGATCCCAGGTTCCCAATCCTTCAGCATTTGTGTGAATGACCTCTACAAACTCAGCATCGGATGATGAAAGTTTATGCTCTAGATTTTCACCTGATGTAGGATCTAAAGCTGTGATTTGTGGCAGCTGATGACCCAGAGTTTCTTGCACCTTTGCTGCAACTCCTCCTGCCAAATGGCCACCCTCTGCGAATCCAACGAGCAGAATGCGATCGAGTGGCACATCAAAGTAGCTGTTTAATAGGACCACCAGACTAGTAATGCTTTCAATGATCTCCGTTTCATTGGAGGCCTCCCATAGATTCACGCTGATCACATTACTATCATTTTGTAGGCTAGCGGAAACTACTGCTGGAATTTCTGGAGAAGAGTAGTTTCCCTGCCAGCGGGGAATGGAGAACCTATAAAAGGCAATAAACATTATTAGCAAATTATTAAAGAAAAGCTGAAAGAGATTATATAACTTTAATGATTATTAGTCATTAACCCAAAAGCAAAAAGATTGAATTTATTTGAATTATTTTTTAAGTTCCATTAATAAATTTTAATTTGCGAAATTCAATAAATAATTTTCTAGTTACTTTATCATCACAATGTTACCTATTATTGCAGCATGACAGCGTTTTAATGGTATACATAAATTACTTATTCGTTCGCATTGATTAACCAACAATGTTTGTTTACTTTTACTGATAAGAAACTAAATTTTAGGTTCTAAAAAAACTCTACCAAATTCCACGAAAAACCACTTAAAATATCCTAATCTTCAGACATATCCAATAAAAGTGACCCATTTAAAACGATGACTCACACAACTGGATCCGCGGCGTAAAAAGAGCTCCTCACCAGGGACTCCACCTCGGCCTCGATTCTTTGTGGATCGTCCTGAATGCGACGCGTGTTCAGGAGGAATCCAGTTTCGCCATAGACTATAATAAAATCAAGGTTTAACCACCTCTTATCAGTCGGTTAACCCAGTTTACTCACCCGCCGCTACCGAGAGGGTCAAAAAAACAAGTAGTACTACTCCGGTCTGCATTCTTAATGTAACTGATTTAAGAGTGTGGAAGCCTTTTGCCTCGAGCATTCATCAAAAGCCGATTAGATTGCATTTACGGGTAGCGTTTTATTGGCATCGATAAGAGATCCCTTATCGTCGGTCATCCACGATCGCTGATCGATTGATGGACGATGACTTCAGGCGCTGACTTTTGGAAAACCACTTGGCCACTGATTTTCACACGTTCCTCGAATATCGTTCGTATTTCTCTCACGCCGAAATTGTTGTTTATGGCCCTTGTAGATTGTCAAATTAATCAGCGGCAGCAGCAGCAGCATTGGCTGCATGGCAAGTGTCGGCACTCCCCTGGCCTCCACTTCATCCGGCTCGAACTGCAGCTGCATTTGCATGGCAGACAAATTGCATTTAATTGCCTGACAGCCTCAAGAGTCGAGGGCCGCCGGCACTCGGAGTTTGCTGCTTGCAGCTCGGAAAATGTGTAGCAAACTTAGCGCCAAGCCCCCAATCTGCCTGTTTCCACCTCCATCTCCGCTCCCCGGAATAATCGCACCTCTCCTCGTCAATGTCAGAAGGCAACACAATAAAACTGGCAAATTAAACTGGAAGTGCAATGTAGCAGCCTCACTGAGCAGAAAAATGCCAAGAATCATATTAAGTTGTGTGATTAAAAGTTACATTAGAAATTTGTAGAGTACAAATTTATGAGAAAGTGTATACAATTAAAAGTCTTTTACAAAAGTTTTCTTAGTAAGAACTTTTAAGTAGTTAACTTATTAATAAAAACTGTGTTTGCAAATCATTTTTATTTATTCATAGTAGGAAAAAATTATTTTAAAAAAGCTCAGCCAAATATTAAAAATACAAATGAGGGAGCGCACAGTGGGCGATTTGGTCTCGCTAGCGGCATTTAATTCAAATTTCAACTTTCAAAAAGCGATGATTTTTTTTCACAATTCGATAATAGATACTTTGATTAGATTTATCCAAGCATTTTAAAAGCTCTACGATGAGCTGATAATCAGCTGTGAACGGACAAACACAGAAAATGATTTTGCAAAGAACTTTACAAAATTTTACCTGTTTGCGCGCATCGAATTCAAGTTCCTCGGAAATTTACAATTTTTAGTGAATTTATTAAAAGTTTGGTTTTTTATTAATTTCAAGGTATGCATTACAAAAAAAATTAATGTTTGTGACCGGTCTATAAATGTGTAGCTCATAAAACGTAGTTCCAATTCAGTGTATTAACAACGAGCCCGGATTAGCGTACACCTGTCTTTCGTGGAGAAGAACTTACCTGATTCAAGTGGATTCACTCTAACTCTTTTATTAGCCGAAAGTGTGAATCAGTGGCGTCCAATGTGTGTAATATGAACTGCTAGTACCTGCTAGCCTTCAAACTATGGTACTTTTAAGGCACAATGTCAGTAGCAAAAAGGGTTCTTTTTTAGTATATTTTAGTATTTTTACTATGCCGCCGTCTGATTCCGATGATTCTGAATAAAATTCTAGCCATTTTTAAATTATGTTTGCTTATGGAATATATTAATTGAAGTTAAAAAAAAATAAAAATAAATCAAAATTTAAAATTAAAAAATATTTTTTTTTAAATTAAAAAAAAAAAAAAAAAGTATTAAAAAAAAAAAACTTTTTTTAACTTAAAAAATTGTATGATTTTTCTTTGATCGGTGAAAAAAAACCGACTGAAGATATCTATTTTAGCTTAGAAGTTATTAATTAAATGCCGCTAGCGAGACCAAATCGCCCACTGTGGAGCGGTTTTAATAAGAGTGTTTAAATGTAAATAATAGCAATCAATATGTTTGAAACTAGCTTATATTGCTAATAAATTATTACCAATTTTGTTGTATCCTCTCCGAATAAATTGCATTTGCAAACAATTTAAATAAAAGTCAAGGGTCTAACAAAATCTTGAAGTAGGTTTTGACTGGCTTAAAATATTTGCTAAACTTTTTTGATTGTTTATGAGTGACACGCATTTTGAGAAGAATTTTCATTTTAGATTCTTTTTAAAACAAAAGTTCTTTTAAAAGTTTAATTGAACTTGTTGTTGCCAGAGACATCCATGACATTCCTGAAAAGCCCTACAAACTTGCGTTGCGTTGCTAGAAGACCTTTAGGAAGATGAAGTTGAAATTTTTCCGCAGTGCTGGAAGTACACCTCACGTGTTTGATTAGGCTTGTGTTTGCCAAGGGAAGCTATAATCTGCTGGATGCAGCAGCAGATGACCTCGCATGCACGGCAAATACGACACAATATCCTTGGGCAGCTCGGCTATTCGGACAAACTGGAGCGGAAACAAGAACTTTACGTACTTTCGTGGGCTGCCTTTGGTTTTGGGATCCCATCCCTTGCCTCGAAACCATTTTGCGGATAAATCGCTTGCGAAATTGTTGTGTCAAGTGCACGCGTTGCGTTCCGCTCCTTGGATTCTATGGGGGATTCTGGGTGGGGCACAACAATTAACCGGAGATCCGAGAACTCTTCTTGCCGGCTCAATGGGCACGTCACGGGCTTTTCGCTAGATTTACGGCCAAAAGCAGCGTTATTAAACGTTGCCAGCGTTGCCGATGGCTTCCATTTATAACATTGTTGTAAGTGAGTTAATGGATGGAGAGCATGGAGTAACCGATGGCAACTGGGGTTAGCTACTTGTATTAGCATAAATAGAACGACAAGCCGCACGCAACGTTCTACGTTCCACAAGCCGAATAAGGGAGCGCATCCCAAGGAGCAGCAGCAACAACAAAAGAATTTCAGCTTTGGGGTCAAAAGGGAAAGTCAATATGCCGGGCTAACTTTCAAGTGGCTCCTGGGAGAGTGCAGCGGAGAAAATACACAGAGGGGTGGCATCCTGCCTGGCATCCCGAGTCAATATAATAAATTACTGTGATAGCTCCAAGAAGTTGCAAAGGTTCTGCCAATATTCAATACCCCAACGAGAATCCAAAGGGCGTGTGAAAGAAGCAATCAGCCATGGCAGCAGTATGGGGCTATAAATGGGGGTGGGCCAGTGAGAGATGTGCCAGACAAAAGGCAAACAAAGACATTCCATGGGAGTCCAAGGGGTCTAAAGGAGTGTGGGAACTGAGTGGCCGGTCTATCAGCAACTTCCCATGCAGCATCCGAGCGAAAATCACACATGATGCGTCGCCATTTCTCATAAAAATTTCATTACTTGCTCCGAAATGTGTGGCAAGTTTAATATCACTGGATTTCCACACATTGTTAAGGTTGTATACATAGAGAAGGAACCCCAAGAAAAAGCTTAATGTACTTTGTCAATACTTGGCACGCCCCGTAAACAATTAGAACCGTGATAAACGAGCTTCTACTTAAATGGTTTCTCCATTCAGCGAGGCGAACTTCTTTATTATCAAACGGTGTTTTCAACGAGAAAAGCTGAAAACCTTTATTGGCAGCAAGAAAAGAAAGTAAATTCGACAAGCTGAACTTTTTATATCCTTGTTATTACCAAAGATTAGGTGAACCATTTTGGAAAATTAGTCTATGGCAGTTTAAAAAGAAATGTTTATACCAAACGATGTACGCTCAATTGCCTTTTTGTTTCAATTGCAATGTGATAAAATATATACCTTCATTTTAAAAAATTATAATTAAACTGTTCTTCATAAACTTTTATCTGTTTGAACAGAGATGCTAATTAAGAATATATCCTTATGTAATAAGTTAAATTTAGAACATTTTTAGATGATTAAACGCTTAAAATGGGAATTAATAATTTTGGACTTCCTTCCTTGGTAGAAAATTCCATCATATTTTCATTAAAGTGTGTAATATCTTTAAAAATCTGGCTTAAGATTAAGACACGTATACGAGTGCCCTATTAATTGACTTAAGTAAGTGGCACGATGGCATGTGCGCAAGTGAACATCACATAAATGGAATCTTTTGCGTCATTACGGCGGCCATCTTTTACGAGGCCTCCGCCCAAGAATCCTGCATTAGTTTATGTGTTATTCCTGCTCCCCATATGGGTGGGCGGCAGGATGTGTGTGTGTGTTGTGTGTATGCTCCCGCATAATTCAGAGGCAGTCCTGCATGACCGTGTTGTTACCCCGAAAAATCCCCAGCAAAAACGACGCTGTGATTAAAGTCTTCTTACTTGCAGAACACCGCCGACAGGAAAAAGGAAACAACCAAGAACGTAATTAACCAGGAGCAACCAGGAGATTCGGGGAGGTGGGGCAATGCAAACTCAACAAAAATGTTGCATCTCCTCGAAGGATCAACAACTGCTGCCAAGGACTCTGTCGCACAAAGGGGAACCCTCATCACAACCGCCAACCAATTCCATTTAAATTAAGAGCCACGCGAAAAAGGACGCAGGACATCTTTACGCGATTCCCGCCACCGCGTAATGTTTGCGCACCCCTGTCCGCCGCCAGCTGGAATCTACCAATCGGGATTGCAACACCCAGTGCCACAGCTCATCCTTGTCATCCTACTCGCTTCCAGCCACTTCCGGCCGACTGATGGTGAGGTCTTCACATTGGGCTATCTCACCGCTTCGCAACGGCGTCCCGGAAACCTGGACTACAACCGACCCGGACTCACCATCTCCGGCGCCATTTCGCTGGCGGTGGAGGAGGTGAACGCCGGTCGTCTCCGGGATCTTGGGCACTCGCTGCAGTTCGTGGTGGCCGAGACGTATGGCGAGGAGGTGGTCAGCATCCGGCAGACGGCTGCCTTGTGGACGCAGCAGGTGGCCGCCTACATTGGTCCCCAGGAAACCTGCGTTCACGAGGGTCGCATGGCAGCCGCTTTTAATCTTCCAATGATATCCTACGTAAGTATCTCAATTCCGTATATTTTACAACTCTTGATCACAGATAATCCCTTTTTAGTACTGCACCCATCGGGATCCCTCAAACAAGGCTGATTTTCCCACCTTTGCCAGGACTCGACCGCCAGACACTCAAATCTCCAAATCCGTGGTGACCCTTCTGTTGGCCTTCAACTGGACGCAAGTGAGCTTTCTCTACTTGGATGACGCCAGTGGACAATACCAACCCGTGGCTGAGACCATCCTGAGCACTCTGACTGAGGCAGGGGTAACCATCCGGGACATTCGCACCTGGAACACCATCTACCACCACGGATTCATGGACAATCCTTTCGAGACGCTGGTGGATCAAACCTTTGCCAACACGAGGAGTAAGTACACAAAAATTCCAACACAAAATTAAAACATTAGAACTATCTATCACGGAATTAGATATTTTGCCATACATTTTTGTATCCATTCTTTATGTTCATCAAGAAAAGATAAATATTTAGAATGAAAATTCGTGATAGTTTTTCGTTGCTCCAAAAGAACGCCAATAACTAGCTTTGTCTTCATCCAAAGGTTTATAATAAATCTTTTAAAATAAATATTTTTATGAAATTTTTTTTCTCAATTTAAGAGTATTTAAAAAACTTGATGTTCCAAAAATCATGCTCGTGGGATAAAAAACAACGATGTTATCAATTTATTTCCATTAATTCTATATATAATTTTCGATATCTCCTATGACAGCTATATGATAGAGTTATCCGATTTTGATAAATCCGAAATTCAATAGTATTTAGAAAACGCCAAAAACGCTTTCAAAAAGTAATTTTATTTTTTAATTTAATTTTTTATTTATACGAATTAGTAACAAATTAATCATATATCGGCATTTCAATGCCGATCCCCACAACTTATAAAATGAAAAACACACAACAAAAAATAAATGAAAAACTATTTTTTTTGAGTAAAATCCTTTTACAGGTGTCGAATAAAATCTTCTTCCATAAAAGCTGAAAAAAAATTTTCATTCAATTCTGAGATATGAAAAAACAATTTTTCTCGAATCCGTACGATTTGTAAAAGAATGTCCCATATACTTTATGGGGTCTGAGGTGTTTCCTTCACTGCGTTGCAAACTTCTGACTGAAATTATAATACCCTTTTGCTCTGCAAAAGGCAAAATCACAGCCCGTTACAATGTTACACACTTTAGTATACAGCTTAATAATATAATAAAATGTTTTCTACTCAAATAGGAAAACGTAGGGTTTTAATTTTTTTTTATATCTTTTCTAATCTTATCAAATACCCCAAACAGTCTACCTCATCCTGGGCCACTACTACGAGCACGTTGGCCTGATGGTGAGCCTCCAGAGACGAGGACTCCTGTCGGAAGGCGAATACTTTGTGGTGGGCATCGACATCGAGCAGTACGATCCGGCCAAGCCCGAAAAGTATCTGCGAGGACTTCTCCTGGAGGATGTGGAGCCGCTCGCCGTGCTGGCCTTCCAGTCCTATCTGGCCATTCTGCCCACTGCGTCCGCGTCCTTTGCCACTTTTGCCAACGAGGTTTGTCCGCTGACAGGTCGTGACAGTGATGTGATTGATGCGCTGCATCCGCCATCATCTCGCCTCATAATTGTCGGGCCTTTCGCCACATTGACCACACACATTCTGACCCTCATTTCGTCTTGCTTTCAGGTCAACAAATACATGGAGCGACCGCCATTTAATTTCCCCAATCCTGTGGGTCGCTTCGGAGGCGCAAAGCAGGTTTGTCTTCGTTCCTTGGGTGAAACTGAAACCGAGACCGTTCCCTGACCTCCAACCTCTCTGCTTTTCCTCACCAGATAAGCGCCGAGGCAGCGTATCTGTACGATGCCGTGCATCTGTATGCCAAGGCCTTGATGGAAGTCCTGGATTCCGGCGGGCGGCCCAAAAACGGCAGCGCCATTGTGGCGGCCATCAAGGGCTCGCGATATCGCAGTGCCATGGGGTGAGCCGAGATGGGAATGTTTCCCCATTTGACAGCTAATCCGGCTATTGCTCTAACCATTTCATTCTGCTTTTTGTTCGCCAGCTATCACGTCTACATCGATGAGAACGGCGATGCGGCAGGGAACTATACAGTATTAGCCAGGGGAACGGTGCGGAATGGTCGCAACCAGACGGTCCTGGGCCTGCGACCCGTGGGCACCTTCATCCACCGGAACAACAGCTTCAGCAGCATCAGCAAGGCGATGCCCGTAAGTAGATCCGTGATTTGTTTTTACTAGTCTTGTAATTTGCTCTTCCACTAAATCGCTTGGCCCGCTTAGCAACAGGTGAGCGCTTTTGCCTGGTTTAATTATACAGAAAAAATAATTATGATTTTCCAATCCGAAAAGCCTTTAAAAATAACTAAACGATAAACATTTAACTAAAGACTAATTTTTGAAAAATAGAAACATTAGATTTTAGTAAGACAAATACTTTTTGTTTCATTTCAACATATTCGTTACTAAACACGTTTAAAACCTTTAAAGAATGCTGTTAGATCCCATTTATTTATTTATATTTATGATGTTTTGAAAAAATTAAAGAAAAATACCTACATAAAAAGTTTAATAAAATTCAATTTACATTTTAAATCAAATGATTACAATATCTAAAATTGATTATGTTTGTTTTTTTTTGCAATTTATTTGTATTAACTTTTTTTTTTATTTCCAAAGAGCTTTAAAAATGTACATATCTAGTCAAACTGCAAACATAAAATTGGGATGGAGCTGTTTTTATTTCTGTGTACCTCTGTTACCACCATGTATTTCATTTTAATCCTTTGCTGCTCTACTTTCCACAGGATCTCAAGCTCTTCAGTCCTATCGACTGGGTGGGTGGCTCTCGACCAGCAGCTGCTCCTCGTTGCGGATTTGCCGGCGAGAAGTGTGTTAGTAAGTGTGGGACTTTTGTGGCCAACTCCATGTGTTAACCTTTGCTCCTCCTAAACCGCAGATTACACTGGCGAAATTTCAGCAGCCATTGCCGGGGGAGTCCTGCTCCTGTTGAGCTTAGTTTCCCTCGTCCTTTACCGCAACTGGCGGTACGAGCAGGAGCTGGACAGCCTGCTCTGGAAAATCGACTTCCGTGAGGTTCAGATCCACGAGAACGAGCGGGAGCAGCAGAGTCAGAAGCAGACGCGCGTAAGTCCCGCTCCCTGTCATCTTACAATCGTGACAGTGACATCTGGTCTAATAAAGGGGCCACGAGCACACGGTGCACCAAGAAAATAAAAGGCCTTTGGAGCACAATCCTAATGGGACACACGATAAACTGAAAATTGCCAAGTAGATTGCAGGGATTCTTTCCGCACGTATAGTACACATTAGGCCTAATCGGCCATTTAGATAACCGTCTCAGCGTTTTTGGCTAAATCTCATTCGTCCAGCTTCCTTGTGTTGTGTCTACAATTTAATTGAACTTCTAAATTTAATATAAAGCCCAAGCGGTTAAGACGTGTTTTTACCTTTTTTTTTGCAAAAATCTTATTTCTAAACATTAGATTTTTCAATAAAAATATCGGTAAAATAGCTACGCTTTATTAAAATATTTTTACACTTAACTTGTTGATAAATAGTTTTAACAAAGTTAGGGTTCTTTTTATGTTAGCCATAATTTTGATGTGTTTAAAGGCATACCATATTCACACATTTGCTATTATTAGTATACAATTTTTTTTGTTGTGTATTAGAGAGAGTATACTGTTTATGTTAGCAGTCACCATGGGTTTATAATGCGGGAACCTGTCAAAACTCCAGACATCCGCTCTCTCATATTCCTTCCGTTCAAGGCTCTTCTCCCGTTATTGCATGTCTGACAACAGCACTTGCTAAATCACTTGCCGCGTCGTCTTCCTCCGCAGTCCACCCATCCGCTGATCCGCACCAGCCAGGTGAGCCTGAGCTCCAACCCGGACGCCGATTTCCGCTACACGACAATCTTCACGCCCATCGGTCTGTACAAAGGTCAGCTCTATGCCATCAAGAAGGTGCGCAAGAAGAGCGTGGACATCACGCGCGAGATGAAGAAGGAGCTCAAGCTGGTGAGGCATTGGAATTCCTAATTATTGATTGATTATATTACCCAAGTAATCCTCTCCAGCTGCGAGATGCCCGGCATGACAATATATGCGCCTTTATAGGCGCCTGCACGGATCCGCCGAACATCTGCATCATTAGCGAGTATTGCACCCGCGGAAGTCTTAAGGTTAGTGAAGAATTTGAACCCATTCTTCCAACTACTCCCACTTTCTTTCCCTTTGCAGGACATTCTGGAGAACGAGGACGTCAAGCTGGACAACATGTTCATTGCCTCCATGGTGGCCGATATTATACGCGTGAGTGCTGTAACATTATCCTAATGGCTCTTCCCCTCTGACCCATTGACCTCTTTCACCCGTTCACCCTTCTACCATTTCACCCTTCCTCACAGGGCGTCATCTATTTGCACGACTCGCCCATTCGATTCCACGGCGCCCTGTGCACCTCCAACTGCCTGGTGGACTCCCGTTGGGTGGTCAAGCTGACGGACTTCGGCCTGTTTGCCTTCAAGCAGGGCATCGAGGACAGCTCCACGGATATGCAGCACATGTCGGCCAAGTGTCTCAGTGAGTACTTCTTCCGCCATGGACTTTTGCATGGATTTCCTTTTATGATTTGCATTATGTGGAGTATACTATTATAATCCTGTTTTACAGTAGAGTTTGCTGTACCAAAATTTAAAATGGAAAAACTATCAGAACATAAACTTTCATTAAAAAATCATTTAGCTAATCTTCTTCTTGTTTTTAGAGCGAACGTTTTAAAACATGTTACAAATAAATTTCAATAAACTGCCAAATTTTTATATTATATATATTATTATAATACATATTATATATTTTATATTTATATTTTATATACCTTCAAACCTATCTTTCTCTTTCAGAACTCCTTTATAGAGCTCCAGAGCTCCTGAGACAGGGTCCATCCTCCTTGGTAATGGGAACCCAGCGCGGAGATGCCTACTCCTTTGGCATCCTGCTCTACGAGATGCATGTGCGCAAGGGACCCTTCGGGGAGACGGGTCTCTCCCCCATGCAGTGTCTGCAGAAGGTCCTCCAGCCGCAGGACCAACTGCATCCCTACAGACCATCGCTACAGCCACTGGAAACCGCTTTCGATTGCGTGAGCGAGTGTCTGAGGGAATGTTGGGCCGAGAGACCAGAGGATCGGCCAGACTTCAAAACCATTCGCACGAAATTGAGACCTCTGCGGAAGGGAATGCGTCCGAATATTTTCGACAACATGATGGCCATGATGGAGAAGTATGCCAACAATCTGGAGGCACTCGTCGACGATCGAACGGATCAGTTGCAGGAGGAGAAAAAGAAGACCGACGCCCTGCTGCACGAAATGCTGCCACGTTGTGTGGCAGATCAGCTGAAGAAGGGTCACAAGGTTGACCCCGAGCACTACGAGCAGGTCAGCATCTACTTCAGCGACATCGTTGGATTCACAGCCATGTCGGCGGAGTGTACACCCTTGCAGGTTGTGGATTTCCTCAACGATTTGTACACCTGCTTCGACTCCATCATTGGACACTATGATGTCTACAAGGTGGAGACCATTGGCGATGCCTATATGGTTGTTTCGGGGCTTCCCTTGAGGAACGGCGATCTCCATGCTGCCGAAATAGCCACCATGTCGTTGCACTTGCTCAGCGCCGTTTCTGAGTTTAAAATCCGACATCGACCCACCAATCGATTGCTCCTAAGGATTGGCATCCATTCGGGTCCAGTTTGTGCTGGAGTTGTGGGTTTGAAGATGCCAAGGTATTGCCTCTTTGGAGACACTGTGAACACAGCTTCACGAATGGAATCCAGTGGTGTTCCCTTGAAGATCCACTGCAGTTGGCAGTGTCGACAGCTTTTGGACAGACTGGGTGGCTATCACTTTCAGGAGCGCGGAGTCATTTCCATGAAGGGCAAAGGTGAACAGAGAACTTACTGGCTTTTGGGTGAAGATGAGGAGGCGAGAACAAGGCGAACCTACGAAAGATCCCAGAGAAGGGGATCCAGGGCTCTAAACAAGTTCATCCAAGGAACCATCAAACAAGCCCAAGAACAATCCAATGAATACGGAATACGTTCCTCGCTGAAGCAAAAGAATCTCCCGCGAAATTCGTTGACTCGCTCCTCCAGTCTTGAATCGCCCAAGAAGTTGAGATTTGCTGCTGGAAGTCTCCTAGAGCATCATCGTTATCATAGGTTTGTGTGCTGAAAATACATTTCAATTCATTCATTAATTATCAATTACTTTTCCAGTGATGAAGCTCTACTCGAGGTGGATTCCTATACAGGATTACGTCGTTCTTCGGGAGGATCCACTCAATCGCGTTATGAAGAGACCACACTTTCGCTAACTTTGTCCTGCCAAAGCATCGAGGTCCTGGCTGGCCATCAAAACAAACGGCGACCCTCCTCATATCCCACTGCCAATACACCGCTGCTGATGAACCACGTGGAAGTTTAGAGCGGATAACTAGTACTTATAAAAAAACAAAACCCAACTACAGGGATATTAGTGGAATTTGTGTTCAGTATGTCTAGCCAAGTATTTGTATCGCTTTTAGTGTCCGTAATTGTAATATTAATTGTGGTAACTGTAGCATCAGCATATTGTGAGAGTGATTATAAATCTAGTCGTTGTTTACACACATTCATGCGCTAACCTAAAGCAAATTAAATTAGTCAATAACCTAAACTAAACGATATGAATAAAGAGTAAACAAGAGAGAAACCTGTAGTGGAGTATGTTAATTATCAGATATCGGAAAATTTTAAATCTCAAGATGGTAAGTGGTCATAAAATTTAAATACATACATACTCGTGCATTAATATGTATGGTTAAGAATAAATAGAAATAATAAATAGATCAGGAATTACAAGAATTTGTAATTAATTACATGCAGATCGACATGTCTGATAATTCTGATTAAGAATATATACACTATACTTCGACTTTTTACATACTTTTCAACCAATTAGTAACCGATATGAAAATAATTATTGTATTGTCTGGGAGTATCCAAGGGCATTTTTATTATTCGATTTCATTTTAATTGTGTCTTGGAGACATTTGCTTTTATTGTTGTATAATAATTGTATTCATTCGACAAACTTAACGATTTCATTTTATTCAACTTTAGTTTAAAACCGATTTGTGCATTTATCTAGGCAATATAAATACAGTATTTGATTCGCCCTTCAATCGCCATATGTATTTTGTATTTTGTGTATCTCTGAAACATTTTTATTTTGTCAAAGCCAGCTTGCAAAAACGTTTCAAATGTCCATTAGATTGTTTGCGATATTCTAGGAAAGATTGTAAATAATTTTACACTCTTATTCGATTATAGTTTAATTGTGTTTGGTTTCTTCATGATAAGCCACAAGCTTTAAAGCACACTTTAATGCGATTTGTTTAGTTTAGATTAAATTTGGTTTGTGTTTAATGTGTGGAAAAGTCCGTTCCGTATTGCTTGTATTACTTTTCGAGATTTTTGGTGTGTTTTTCGTGTGGAAGAAAGAGGGTGGGGTGAGCTAATAAACTTTGTTTATATATTCAATGCTACACAATGCAACAATTCTAAATAACAATCTCAAATCTCATATGTCAATCTAGATCAACTAGGTATGAATGTATATAACGCTTCTTGGGTTTCCCCTTTTTATAGTTTCTTATGCTTTTCTTTTTTTGTTTTTTTGGGGTTTTGTTCCGCTATCAAAATATTTGCAACAACAATGGATTTAATCAAAAATACGCAATTGTACAATTCTCAATTATTGTTCGACTGTCTATGCAATCGCTCGACCAACAGCTTTCGGTACAAAACTAACAAATGGCCAATACCGATGGCCGGGGGATATCTATCAGTCCTTCCAAGTGGACCGACAACAAATCTGCTCGTATAAATAAATACGCTATATAATATACAGTAAATATGTGTGTATATGTATATGTCGGTATTTTCTTAAATGCGTCTCTGAAAAATAATCTCTCAACATTTGATTTTTTTTGATTCAGGCTGCACTCGAATGCGTTTTTTAAAAATTGATCAACAACTTTTTAGGTAGCCAAAGCCGGAAACGAAGGATGCCTTCAGGCTCTAGGCGTCTAACAAGAGTAAGCTATTCGAGGACAATACGATTCCCAGCCGGAATATGGGAACTCCGTAGTCCTCATCAAACAAGTCAGCAGGTCACGCGCGCTTTTAGCCGAAAAGGTGCCAAAGTTGCTCAGGGTTTACAGATTGGATGCAGATTGGGCGCCAATGCAACTCGAATGGAAACAAACACTCCTCGCCTTTCGAGGACGGGCTCGGGACTTCATCTCGGCTTCTTTACCAGACTGGTGGATCTGTAAGGGGAGGTTTAAATAAGTTTAAATAAGGTTTATATTTTATATTAATTAAAGACTAACCTTTTGACACCATGACGCGGACTGGCGGGTGGAGTGTGGCAGGGTGAAGGTGGTGCCGATCCACCCGAGGATCCCCTCGACGAGGATATCGACAGCGTGGAGGCCCTTGGCGCCGAACAGCCCAGGTAGATGGCCGATCCCTTGTCGGCATCCCGCAGATCCACTCTAGACCCGTGGACGGAGGAAGGAACCGATCCTGTAAGAGGAAAAGCAATTAATATGTATGGCTTAACTTGGAAATCCTGAAAAATTATTAGGTTTCAAGCACCAAATATATCATTTCTGGGAACCACAGGAATTATTAAAAAAAATCACCTTAATAAAATTCAAAATATAAAAGCACATGAGTGTGTAAAATAAGTATTAAACAAATTAATTTAAGGACATCTCTTACCCGTGTAGGCGTGCAGACCAGCCGGACTGCTCCGCGGCCGCACTCCAAATCCGCTGACCGTGCTGGCACTCCGCTGCAGCTGGGCAGAGCCTGATCCTGATCCCGATCCAGAACCGGATCCGTTTCCCTCCCTGGCGGCGGATTCCCTGCGACTGCCGGCGCTGCTGACCCGTGGAGTTCCGCTCCCAAAGTTTCCCGGTCGCGGAGACCGCTGACCCCTGACCCCCAGTTGCTGATGGCGCTGCTCCTGTTCTCGGCGAGCATCCTCGAAGGCGGCAGCATATTCGGCCGCTTCACGAGAGGTGGTTGCCGGCTGCTCCAGGACGATCTCGTCCTCGGGAATCCGCTCGTTGCCCACCGACCGACGGGCCATGGGCAGCGGGGAGTTCTTGGGCGATGTGGGGCAGGATTGGGCGGCGCCGGCGGCACTGCTCACGCTGAGCGAACTGGACGAGGCGTTGGCATTCGAGGACTGCGCTCTCAAGCGCGAGTGGGTGGAGGCGTTGGAGGGGCGGCGACGGAACAAGCCCTTCGTGGGGTCCATGTTGCAGACTCCTGGTCAAAATAAAAAATTATTTTTTTATAAGATAGAAGTGATTTGAAGGATTTTTGTAAAGAGTTTTAAACCTGATTCCAATATTTTCATATAATTTTTTTTACTGATTAATTTAATAAAGAAATCATTAGTCAGAATTTCAATTTAGCAAAGGATTTAATTTAAAAGCTGCCTTTTGTGAACTTAGGAAGTAGTTATCTTGCTTTTTTTATATTTTAACGAAGGCTATGAAATTAACTCAATATTCCCTTTGATACAATAATAGAATCTATCAGCCTAAATAAGCTCATCTATACTTAAACTTGATTTAATTTTTTATTATATTAAAATCACTAGTTAATAAATATATATCCTATTTCAACATATAAACCCCAGAAACCAAAAATAAATACTTGCAGCCATTGAACATTTTATTGATGGTAACTATGATTTTGCAAGGTTACTTTGGGACTTGGAATTAACTTTAGCCTTGCGGCGTTTCTTTCGCTTCTTGTCAGGATCTTCCAACTTTGTGGCAAATGAGCAATAACTGTAGCGAGCTTCATCCTCGTCCGAGTCCAAGTTCTTCACAAAATTACCCTTATCCTCTTCCACACCGTAGTAACGCACATGAGGAGCAAGTTCCTCGCTGCAGGTGAACTGCATTGAAGGATCTTCCTCGAGATCATTTTTTTCCTGATCAAAGGTATTTTTCATCCATTTATCCACGGCAAAGCTTAGAGTCCAGGCCACGTTTTTCCTGACAGAACCCAAACCCTCTTCCTTTTGCTCAACCTGATCATCACCATCTAAATCCTCGCTCGCACCTGTTGGACATTTTTCGCCGCGGGAACAGTTGCCCTCGCAGATGTCGCGATTCTGGAGTAGCTCCTGGTAGTTATCCAGTGCGGTGGCCACCTTGGTGCGGTCCAGTTGCTCCAGCGCCGAGGATGGAAAGCGTTCCCTCAGCCGGCGACGCTCCTCGGACAACTTGAACTGCTCAAACTCCTGCAATTGCGTTTGGAAACCCATATTCGGATTGGCCACTGCCCGTCCGGCACGAACGACCTTCAGTGCCTCCTTCCAGTTCAAGTGGGTGGCGGTCATGATGTAGGCCACGGCCACCGTCACCGAACGGGACATCCCCGCCAGGCAGTGGATGAGCACGTTGCCCTCGCGAAGGCGGGCGGCGTGGATGAAGTCGTTGCAGACGGAGAAGTACTGCGACAGATTCTGGTCGGGAGTATCCGAGGCCATTACGCACAGGTAGTGCTTGTCCTAGAAGAAAAAAAGAAAACTTTAGAATACAAAAAAGAGGAAGAGTTTTGTACTTAAATTAATAGTTAATAGCTCGATTTTTTTTAATACGAAAAGCTATCAATATAATAAAAAAAACTCCAACCTGTGACCTAAAATATTCTTAAAAGGATTGTCTGAGCTTAGTGGTTGTTGAAAACAAATCTTAGGAAGCAAATGGGTTTAAGTCTCTTAAATTTTTAAAGTTGTAGAGTAGAAATCTCTGAATGATATTGTGTCCAAAAATATATCCTATACATATTAAAATCGAATTTTAAGTAAGTTATATTTTGTATTATATATAAGCTACTCTTCAGCCATTCACACTAGGTAATAATTTTTTTTTCCTTCGCATGCTTGACTTACCGGCAAAAGGCGTCGCGGACTGTCATGTATGGCGATAATGTGCGAGATCTTGAACCTTTCCAGCTGTGCGTGATCCTTGGAGTCGCGGTAGTTGCCCACATAAAGTCCCGGCAAGACCTGAAAAGCCACGAAAAAAGTTGAAAAGGTTAAAGGATTATGTTGTGCCTGCCTCGTGTTTACCTTTCCCATATGCCAATTCATTTTGAAGCGATCTCAGATACCTATAAACTAGAATCCTGTTCCTATGATTTTGATTGTTGTTCATAGAGACACGAAAATGTAAGCCTATTATATTGGTTTCCTTGCATGTTGTTTAGTTTTTGTTGCCATTGACAAGTTGCCGTGACAACAATCGCAGATTTCAAGTTCGAGCTGAAAAGTTGGTACCGCAGTACCAATTCCACCTTGCTGCGGAACTAGTTTGTTTATTGATATTTAATCCCCGATCTATACTACTTAACTGTCAATGCAGTTGAAAAGGGCAAACTAAAATAAATTTAAAAATGTATCTTATAATGCTAAGCCGAAGTTATAATACCCTCGCAGAACTCAATAGTCCATAAACTCTACTATTATTTCTTTAAAAACTTTAAGCAAATCAGTATTAATCATCTTATGAGATACTTTCAAATTAGGGATCTCATTTGGAAAATATTTGCATAGAGCTTTGAAAATGCTATAAAACCAAGTGCTTTAAAATCTTTTAATACTTATAGAGCTGTTTACTGAGCCTAGCTATTTAAAATCAGAAAATACTGCAATTATGCAGACCTTGGAACTGTTGTTATTGGCTTTCATGTGCTTTTTTGTCAGCCATAAATCTCGTCCTAGTTGTCTTACCTTGTTCATGCCATTCCCCATGTTTCTTCATTTAAAAGTTGCGGCTCACTTCCTCAATTGTCAAACGAATTGGCCCAAAAGCAGTGCTGAAAGGATAAGAAGCAGAGGAAGAGAATCCTTTATTTGACAAGTTCAGGGCGCTAAATTCCCGGCGAAGGCCAAGAGGAAATGGCAAAGTGGGTGGCAGCTAAATGCTTTTGTTGTTTGGCCCGATGAAAGTGCAAGTGCAAGTGGAAGTGGCAAATGCTGCAAGTTGCAAGCTGTTGCCACTGCCATGGCCAAAACATAATGGATGTCTTTGTCGCCGCCTTCGTCGTCGCGGAAGTAAACAGGCCTTGAGGTTTCTCGCCTGCATCTCATTAGTGGGACAGACAGACAGACAGACAATGTCCTGGTATTGGAATTCCGATTTGGATTGAGGCGAAATGCCAGAGGCTAACCCAAACCACCTAACCAACTGACAAACCCACCAGTTTGGCCCCCAAAAGTAGGCAAGGTTACCACAACAGTCGCTTCCTTGCAACAGTTGGTTGGGCCTGTCCTTTTCCTATCCTTTCCCATCCTGTTCTGTTATGTTATGTTCTGTTCTATTCTGACTGCCTGGCTTTCTTTTCCGTTTTCAGGACAATGGCAAGGGCCTCATCAGAAAGTCAAGACGTGGGCAGGCAGTCCACCGCCACCTCCACCACCACCTGGCGTTGTGTAACACACTCGGATGCGAAACACCTAGCGAACACCCATCCCGTGTGGGCACTTGGAATCCGCCACATTTGCATAAGTTGTCTCGCGCTGAGGCGATGGGCAAAGCAAAGTGTCGCTTTGTTGTAATTTCATTCCCGGCACGTTGTCGTCGCAGCCACGGGCATTAAATTGACTGACATCCTCGAGGAGGATACATGCACTCCAAAAAAAAACTTAAGTCAAGAAACAATTGGTCATAATAACTCATATAATTATAGTTTAATTTAAGGAATATATTTGTATAACTTAATACGATTGATTTATACGGTAAAGAAATTATTATAATAAATTCATATGGTACAATATTATATTAGAATCCTTTTCTAATGTACAGAGAAATATTTATTTTAGTGTAAAATTTTTAAATAAAGTTTTTATTTTACATACACTTTTCACAGTTTTTTTGTCAAAACTTCAGTCTTTTATCCCAACTCTATTGAAGAAAGAACTTTCGTCGTAAAGTTATTAAAACATTTTTGGAGTTTTTAATTATTCTACATTTGTTTAAGTGTATCCGTCAGTAAAGTTCCAAAATATAATAAGTTAGAGCACAATAAAGACATGGTCAAGTATGAAACGCTACCTAACTAGGACATTTTGTTCAATTGGAGTGCCACATTTTGAAGACTTTTGTACTTATTTTAAGAATCGAAAACGTTTCATACTTGACACAAGACATTTAAAGAAGGTTGGCGTTGAAAAGGTAGCGATGTTTTTTTAAGTGCACAGGAGCAGGAGGAGATAAGGCACGTGTGTGCCGAGCCAGCAGAAGCAGCTGTCATTTACCCGTCAGCTCGACTTGGTCCACAGTAAGTGCCGCCCACCCACGCCCACTTTCCCTCCCGTCAGCCCCTTTCCCTCCCATTTCTACTTCCGGAACGGGGAAATTACGAAATTAGAGCAGTCAATCTAGCCCCTTCATCCTCTCAAAGGTATCGGAGGCAATTGATCAGCCAAAATTGCTGCTTAGCAGCATTCGGTCAGCGGCGACATGGACTTCGAGTGCATCCAATCAGCATCACAGTGCCTATAAATAGTCTGCGCCCACTGCTCGATTCGGTTCGTGGCGGAGGATTCGGCCCCTCAGAGCCGCAATTCAAATCAATTGATGTGACACTTCGCTCGCCACAGCCTCCGTGTTCCGCCCTTCGAATTCCCACGGATGAAGTTCCGAGTGACCTTGGAGTGGGATTGGGATTAAAGGGGGATTCGTGCACTTAGAAAAAGTATGTATAAACTCAAAGCTTATCGATTGGAGCTTTACGAATGTGGAAACCTTAATTAAAATTAAAGAAGGTTCAACAAATCTATAAAGGGAGTTTAAACGCATTCCATATTTAAGAATGCTTTACCTTGATTTTAACCAAAAAGCAAATATATTTATATTAGGCAGAATGTCATGTACTTATAACGTAAATATTGTAACTTTTCTTTTCAATATATTAAAAATAATAATCAAAACAAGACTATCTTGATGAATCTTACCAAATCTAATGAAACAATATATTGTCAATACATTGATATGAAAAGCATTTCATTCGCTTCTACTGATATAAGTAAAATTTAAATAAAATTCTTTTATATCCAAACCTAACTTTAAATATTTTTTAAATAACATTTTTTCTTCCTTTAAAGGAAATTGCAAGCTGGAACCGCCTCGCTTGTGCGCCTGTGATGTGATGTGATGTCCTTAGTGTCCGTGTGTCAGTGTGCAAGTGTGTTGGTTTAGCCGGTGGCCAAATATTTTAGGGCCCATGATTGAAAAACAGTTTTGCATTGAATTCATCGACGAAGTTCTAATGAAATCGCATTGTGGTGGAGGTCCTTTCCCTTTTACGTCCCTGCATTTCCGGGCCGTTTGCCAAAAGGATTTTTTCTCAGCCCGAACTGGATGGAAAAAAAGTGTTGCATGTCCCGAGGCGCAGACATTGAAGCGAGGCGAAATTTATGGAAAGCTTTAATCAAATTAAATCGTTTCCCGCTCCTTGTTTCTGCCTCACCGGGATTTGCTTTAGCTGCCAACTTTTTCACTTTGGGGGTTTTCCCCCGAAAAACGGCGCTAGTTTTTCCACGAATGTTTTTTCATTATCATTGCCCCGTCAATCGACTTATAATTCGGGCCTTTTTTGTTGTTGTTGTTGTTGTTGTGCCCAATGTCAGTTGAAAGGGGGGCGTTTTGCATGTTTGTGTGTATATTGTATGCATATAAATTAGCCGGAGTCGGCCTTGTCCCATCTCGTGTGCCGCCCCCCACGGCTGGCAGTCAATTATATCGTTTAGACATTCTACATGAGCAATAAAATACATGCCAGCGGCACCAGAAGCCGCACCTACCAGGACAGAATGGGAATGGGAATGGAAATGGGACTGGGATTTGGTTAGGGATTCGAAAAGGGGATTGGGAACGGGTGACGCTTTATGACTCCATCGCTGGGCCCGATGACTCAGTGGTGGCAGTGGAGCGAAAAGGCTGTGGGGAAACCCGGTGGCAGGGACAATAGGGTCCCAAATGCTCAGTGACTGTGAAAAATGCCAGTTTTTTTTGCCATCGAGCTTTGTTTGTTATAAATGTTTCAGGCATGATAGGGCCAAACACGCCGAGGCCTATAAACAAACAGTTGAAACACCCTATCTTGAAATTTATTTAAAACTAGTGATAGGTGGTTCCATAATTTCTGATAAATAATGTTTTTAAAAATCCTACAAATCCTGAGTCCTAAAAATCTTCGTTTTACAAATTTTGGTCTGATATAAACGAAATTTAAATATTTATTTGAAATAACCCATTTTTAAGATTAGTTTTTCCACATGCATAAGGTGAAAAGTTAATCCCATAGCTCAAAGGTCTTATTTTAACATTGAATAAAATATAAACCTAACCAACAATTAAAATGATTTCCCTATTTTATATAAGTGTCTGAGAATTGACACCTGTGTTTTTACAATCAGAATATAAATTATATAGGTAAATATAAAAACTTATATATATAACAACTTGATCCTTGTATAAGAGGCATTTCATAACCAAGTTTCTGCAAGCCAACAGCTACTGTAGTATAAATATATTAAAACCGACGATTATGTTTTCGCTTCCCTTGCTGCCAGACAGGCAGTTTTAAATAAATTCGAAGGACCCACCGCCCTCATACACATGCAAAAGGGACCCGGAAAAAGGGGTGGAGTATTGGGGCAGTCCTGTTCGTCCTTACAGGATAGGGGCAGTCAGGCCGGCAACAGCCAAACAGCGCCGCTTTGTCTGCGGAGATGTCAATGGACCGGCATCTACAGTCTTCCAAAAGAGGAGAAGGGTCACGAGCCAAAAGCCGACTAAGCAAAACTTGCCTTCCAAAAGGGCACGTGCTGCCATAAAATGCTTTATTAACATACAGGAGAAGAGCATGGTTAGCACAGGAGGAGGGTTTTCTTGATTTCGAGTATTTCATTGCTCGGGGCAAACATTGTACCGGTTCCTAAACAAACGGAAAACAAATGCTAGTGCCAGCAGAAACTATTTTCCCTAGCCACTGGCTATCTGGTTCACCGAAAAACTTTTCCACTTCCATTCCCCTTTTCCTTTTCCCTTTCCCTCGCTTTTCCCCACCAAATGTGACAGAGACAAAGTGTTGGCATCGCCGGGGCAATAAAACTGAAATGTGATCGCCTGGCATCATCACCTCGCCCCACAAAATGGCACCCATAATCAGAGCCAATCTGGGGGACATCAACCTTGATTTCGGAATGCATCCGTTTCCCAGCCATTTTGCATTTCGCATTTCCATTTTCCTCGACCAGGTCGCACAGCTAATTAACTGCATTCACGAAGTACGAGGTCCTGCAACATGAAACCCTCGAAATGTGACAATCGCAAATTAATGAACCGCACAGTCGACTCGAAAAGTTTCCGCCGCTGGCACAACGCAATTTAAATAAATAATTAGTCAGGTGGGCGGGAGTGGTCGAATTGCATGACTCAAAATATTAATTTCGTTTTACATATGCAATGAGCACGGCGTAAAAAGTTTGCCCATGTTTTTAGTGTGCAACAAGGGAAATTAAGCTAAATTAAGTATTCAAATTGAGGGTTTGCTGGCAGGAGTTGCATTGAAGGGATTTTCAAAGCTTGTAACAAGAACTAAATGGACTGTAAGCCATTATCCGTACGACATTCTATTTTCTGCTAAGCTTCGGTGTCTTTTTTAAGACATTAATTATTAACGCTTAAAGTGAGCAAATGGTTATTCGAAATCATTTCATTTAATATACTTTTACACAATTTACTCAGATAAAAGGGTTTACTGGGCGTATACGCGATGTATTTGTGATGTAAAACTTATCCCTTATTTCCTGCTTAATTTATAAATATAAAGCATTAAAGACTTATCCTTGAAGCTTGCCTTATTAATTGCAAAAAAAAGGAGTTCTTTGTTTCATAATGCTGTATGGTTTGACTTAAATCTGCCTAAATTATTCACCACAAACCCTTTTCAATTTGTAGCATCTATGAGCAGACACGAAGCCCGAAAAGTCTTGGCCGCCAGAGTTTTCCACAGTCACGTTTCGGGGCATTTTCACACCAATTCGACGTTGACGGCCGGCTGACAGACCACGACTCATTCGAACCGCACATTACCCATACGACCCGTGGGGCGAGATTTACATGGAAAACACTTACGCGCTTTTGGCTTTGCCACGGGAGGGATTAAGGTGGAGGACTCTCCGCTAATTCCCCAGTTGCGTGCCCAAAACAGAAAAATAATTATGCCAAAGAGCCGTAAATTGTCCCGAAACTGTGCGTAGTGGAGTATAATTTTCGGCACATTTGCATTTAAGGGGAAAAACGCACGCGGGTCACTCACCCAAAAAGGGAAAGCGGTAATGTAGGGCCTTTAAGGGAATCGCAGGACTTACGTTGAGTTCAGCAATCCGGTCAATGGAGCTGCCACATGGAGACCTCGACCCTCGCAACCTCGACTCGCAATAGAGAGAGAGAAAGTAGAGAAAGTCGAGCGGCAACTCCTGTTATATCACGTCGCCAGCGGCGGGCCGCAAATGCTGAAATTTTGATGCCCCACTCGTCCTCCGGCTGTTTGTTTTTCTTTCAGTGTGCTCCACACAAAACTTAACTGTGCGACAGTTAAGGCCAAGTTGACTATGTCCTGGCCATTTTCCCGTATCGTTTCGTACACCGCAGAGCGTTTTTGTTCGCCAGGAGCCGTAAAGGTAAACGTGAAAAACAGCGTTTAAGAGCCGAAACAATGAAAGCCAGACCGCAAGTAACGCAGCCGTGGAAATGCGGATAGTGGAAATCAAAAGAAAAAAAGAAGATGGGAAAAAAACGAGCTGCAGCCGCCGCGTGAGTTTCGTTTGCAGGAGAAGGATTGCGCCAAACGAATCGGCTCGAACGCTGGTCACAGACTGAGCAGCTGCTCTGCTCAGCCATTCGGACCTGGCTCAAACGGAGTGGCAGTGCCTGAGCAATGGGAACACCGATACCCGCGGGCATGAATGGGAACAAGCCGAGTTTGCGCACTGAAACCGCGCCAAAACCCAATGAAAAAACTCACTCAATTCTGAGAGAGAGTGAAGGCTTCTTTGGCCGCAGAGTGCGTAAAAACCTTTGATTCAGTTATATAATTGAGGGGGGCCACCCGGCCAGGTTTTCCCTTTTCCTCACTAGGTGGGTGGGTGGCTGTTTTTCTTTTTTACTAGACCCTCACCTGTCGGTGGGCAATTAACGGCCAGGCAATAATCACCAAACTGGCCGCAAATCCATAAGCCATCCATAGCCACCCTCTTGAAACGGTTAATTGAGCCAATGTCTGATATTAACGGTAATGGAGTACTATAACGTAGTAAAAGAATGAACAATGGGAGAAAAGTTAATAATATTTTAGATACTCTTCTTAAAAGAAAACTGTGGATTTAAAAAAATTTCAAGAAAAGAAAATTTAAAGCTGTAAATTTTAATTATTTATGGTCATTTGTTTTTTGTAGCATTGAATAATATTTAAACAAAAATTTTAATGAGTTATCATGTGTTGCCTGTTTTTCTATAATATTCATCTGTATAGAAACCCAAATAGTAAACTTAATTTTAATTAGTAAATTTTGAGACTTCTTTTTTTAAAACATACAAATTTTTGAATCAAAATTTGTCTACATGACTCATCACAAAAAAAAATTGTCTTAGTCCGGCACAATACTTTATGAGGAATTAATAAATACATAAGAAAACAAATAATATGAAACTGATTCACTTCTTTTCAGTATTACATTTCAAATCCAAATAAGAAGCTCATATTTGTTTCACTTTGTTATGGGAATCGGGGGCTCTACGATGTCAGCATATTTAGCCAGAATAAACACTTGCTTTTGACTGACTCATTCAATGCGATTTGTTTTGACGGCTTACATTTCATTCATGGGGCCATAAAAGGAGCGGATTGAAATACCAAAGAAGTCTGAGTGGGATATCTTATTTTCTCACACAGTGCAAAATGTATAAACTGCAATTGAAATTTGGATACATTCATCTTTAAGCAAAGCAAATTAATTTTCCATTTGAATTGATAATTCCCTAAGCACTCTTATGATTTACTGCTCCAGTTCCCCGAACGCCACTGCAGAATGTTTTATTTATTTCGATCTGATTTCGAGTAAGATATATTTCCTTTTGAAATATAAATTCTGGCAAAAACCGCAGAAATGCAATATAATTTTGAGTTGCTGTTAATTCGCATTGCGTTTTGCTTCTGTATCTATCTATATATATGGCATTTATAACAACGGAAATTATTTGTAAATAACCATGTGTATATAAGCCACTCTATGCTCATAAGTATAGAAAGATGTGCAATATTTAATTATGAATTATTTAAATTTTATATGCTCTGGCGACGCAGTTGTTCGGCTAAACAGCAAGAAAATATTTGGAAAATACATCGAGCGGGTAAAGATAGGTGGGCGTGCCGCCGCCGGCAGGCCGATTATAAACATGAGCATCCATATTTTCCCAGATCTACAGAAAAGATCAAGAAGCTAATACCAAATTGCAGTAAATAACTAAATATAAATTATTAAAAAGGGAGATCGCTTAAATAAAACCAAATACTACTTAATGCATTTCAACTGATTCTTAATAACTACTAACTCATAATAAACTACATTTTCCGCAATACGCTGTTTTAAAAAAAATTCAAAAAATAATTGTATTTTATTTTGTATATTTTTTTTCAGAATATTATTCTTTTTATTTAAAACTCGATTATCTTGAACGCAACTGTGCGTATGGGTCATTTTCGCATTCTAAGGAAAATGCCTGTTTCTTGAGTGACTAATAGTCGTTTAGAAAGGTGGAGTAAACAGTCCTCCTAAACAACTGTCGGTTATCAGCTGATTGTTTGTCGATATCAATTGACTCCAGAAGACTTTCTGTCGCTTCTGCACATTGTACTTTTGTATATTGCAAAAAAAACAAAAAGAAAAAAGGTATCCAGTGCGGGGGAAATGTGGCAACAGATCGTTAGTCATTGATCGATTGATTGGCCGCTCAACAAGACTCGTCAGTGGGCGACGACAACTGTTTACGCTGCTGATTTTGCCTTTGCTTTCGCCTTACTTGTTGTTGCTTTCTGGCGGTAGTGACGCAGTGGTTGTATGTAGGCGGCCCAAATACACAGAAAGGAAAGAAAGATGAGTTGCGAAAAAAAATAAATTCCAAAGCAGATTGTGTAGGATGACATCAACAACTAGAACAGCATCTTTCAATGGTAACAGCACATATAAATTTAAAACCACTAAAACTTTATACATTTCTAAATGTTTTTCAAATATAAAGAAAATGAAAAACAAAAGAACTAAAATTTCGGTCTATGTAGATAAGAAGTAATTAAGATTGCATGAATAAACGAAATAAATGGTGTTGTTGTTTTAAATCTATTAAATATATTGGCATGAATTGCTAGCTGCAAAAGGCAAAGATGATGCGTAAAATATCTATATTGATCATAAGATCACAATCTTTTCTTTCCGTGTGGCTTACGGTTACAGATTCAGATTCTAGAAGCCATGCGACTGCCGAGGAATGCGTCCCAGAGAGCCGCTCTCCCGCTCTCATTTTCATTCTCTCTCGGCCAACTTTCTAGCGGCCGTCTATTTATAAGTCTGATGTGTGTGTATCTTGGGCCGCGATCGGTGCACAAAGAGAGCGGGAGAGCCGTATCCGTATCCGTAAGACAGTATTAAATATTTACCAATTAAGGCCTTAAAACGCCGGAGGAAGCGGGCAAAAGGCAGGTAGAAGCCAAAGCCAAGCAAAGCTTACCGGGAGAGTAATGGGAAATATACACTATTAAAAAAAATATTTTTTTAATCTTCAACAAAATATTTCGCCGCATAACTGCAAAAAATTTGTATCGCTCGGTAAAAATTGGTAACATTTTTATTGAACAAATATACAAATAAAATAAAAATTGTCTTTTACGTAGTAATCTAGAGGATAATACAAATTAATTCTAAAAAGAGCACTAAATTTGTATGAGTGCAGAGAGTGCAGAACAGAGCGGAGCGGGAGAGAGAGAGAGAGAGAGTGGGGCTGAGCGCCACAGTGGGGCTAATATGGCTGCTGGCTAACAGCAAATGGCGACGGCGCTCAGTCGACGAGAAACTTTGGCAGCGTGAGGACGCCCGTGTGGATGCGTGGCCCGAAGAAAACAACAACAATACCGAGTGGCAATGTGCAAAAATAAAAAATCTATATATATTTTAAATTGAATATAGAAATCCGACAAACCCACTCGCACACACACACACTCGCACACACACAAACACACACAGGGCCACAGAGAGCGCGAGCGGAAATACTAAAACGTTAAAAAGCTTGAAAGTGGAAGTAGAAACAAAAAATTGGCCGAGTAGAAAGTGTGGCCAAAAGTGACATCACACTCCGGGCAGCAAAATCAGCGCATCAGGAGCAAGCCAAAAAAAAAAAAAAAATTACCAGGAACATACGAGAACTCCAAATCGAGCGGTATTCGCACGCGTCGTCGCTCAAGGTGAGCCCGCGCCACCCCCTCCGAAATCACCTTCCCGAACACCCCGCACCACACCCCCCCGAAACCCACTATTCGCGTCCAAAAAAGCAAAAAAAAAAAACCAAAAATTAATCTCAACAACTGGCACGACAAGTAGTCGCCGACGAAAAGTCACCGCCAAGTATCAACAAAAGGAAATAAATTAAAAATTGTCGCTACGCAGCGCGAGACGACGGATTCGATAGCGGTTTGGTCAGCGGTACGGTTACGGTTGCGTTTTTTCTCCCGATTTTCTGGCCTAAGCTAAGCAGCTATGAAGCCCACTGTGATGGCAGCCAATCAGGCGCAAAGCAATCCCCCGAACGCCGGTGGCAATGGAGCACCGAGTGGACCCGGAGTGAATATACCCGTTAATCGAGAGTACGTGAGCGGTGGCTACGGATCGCCACAGCAGCAGGCGGGGCAGAGCCCCCACTTCCACAATCCCCCAAATGCTTACGGATCGCCCAGGCAGCAGCCGCAGCACTTTCAGCAGGTTCCCCCGAATCAGCAGCAGCAACACTTTCAGGTGAGTGGCCGCCACTGAATTGTACGCCGGCGGGAGGAGCGGGAGGGGGCGGCAGACGAGCGGCAGCGAGAGATCCCAAGGTTGGCGCCTGGCAAGGTCGTCCCCTCCAGATTCCCCCATCCCAAGTAAATACAAAAAAAACAACAAAAAATAAAACCTCGATCGCATAGCTGGGACATATTCGTATGAGTGTCATGGTTTTTGTTGTTCGCCAGCCGTGTGGCAATTCAAGTACAGTGGGGATTCCCAAAAAGGATAATGCTGCTTCGAAGTCATTAGTGGGGACCAAGAATTATTAAAGTAGAAATATAAAAGTTTAGTTTCTCAGTTATGCAGGTATATAAATATAAGGAAATTCTTTTTAAGAAAAGTTATGAAATATTTCTAAAGATTTTTAGGGTATATTTTTTTGAATGAGCAATTTATTATCTCGCCATCGTTTTAAAATGCATTAAAGTTGCATAACAATACTCGTAATATTATTGAGTATAACATTTCACAGCAATCAATTACATTTTTTATTATACAAATTTCACTTTCCTAATCGATTATATTGATTACGCAGTTTAATTAAAGCCACAAGCAAAACGTAAGTTTATACAGGGTCAGAGATAGTAAAATGTCAATACTGAAATGGAAATTTCGAGTTTGTGGATTACACTTTGGATCATTTTTTTAAGGACCAGACAATAAACGCTTACTATCTAGAGTAGCACTTGATATTATATTAATTCTAGTCAGGCTTCTAAGACACTCAGATTTTTGTTCAGTCAAAACTTTCGTGTATTACGACGAAATACCATCCTCTTTGTTTGCGAAAAATTCTTGAAAAGGTGATTAAGTTTTACTTGTTCGTTGTGCTATGACACAGCGTATTTTCCAATTTCGTCTTGCTTTTCCGAATATCTCCTTCACATGTTCGCAATGGCTTTGGGGGCTTTGTAAACTCTCTAAATCGCAATACAAGTGCGAAACAAAGGGAAAAGCCAGCGTGGTTGCGTAAATGCCCGTATCTCTCTTGAAAAGAAAGGGATGGTGGGTGCAACCACCCTTCACCATTCAGTGTGTCAATTGTGTGTGCACACTTTGTTGACCTACTCTTTATAAACTACTAGAATCTGCTGGGGGGATGGCTAAGTTTCTAAGGCTGATGTCGTGTCAAGCTCTCTTCAGCTGGCCAACGCTGCGTATGATTAATGCCGCAACGCGTGCGGAATTTTATCAGAGACAAGGAAAGTACAGCTGTTTTATACTTTTTTGTGGCCTAATCTAATGGCCAGCAATTCAAATCTATCACGAACGGATAGCAGAAAATATTTGAAAATTTCTAGAAGAAAACACACAAGCTAATGACGCGTAATTCTGCCAGCGCTCTCGTTCTTTCTTTTTCTATTTTGGCGCCGATTCTCGATGTCGATGTCGGTTTCGGTGGAAATAACGCTCTGTTTGCCGCTCTTGGCTCTCGACCAAAGTCTGCTCGATTTGTGCGTGTCTCTATTTTCCGCTGTAGGTGGGCACCGTACAGTAATACATAATGACACTCCATATTCCATATTCCGTATTCCATATGTGCGCATATCGGTGGAAGCAAGCCAGTTGTCTAATGGGAAGCGTGGGCGGCTGTCGGTTGCTCAACCTCTTGGCCAACGCGGTGGCCTCTCTGGTGATGCGTTGGTGACGTTGACTGTATTAAAACGTCATCAGCCAGTTAATTTACAGTGGGTAGGGGCTAAGTTCGACTTTGCACAATTAACAGATAATTGCAAGGTAATTTAGAGGTGTTTTAAGTTGATATCATCATCTAACTTGGGTTCTGGCAAGCTTCTATTAATTGTGGTACTAAAAAACAAAAATTGACTTTAAAAATGTATCTGATATTTATATACATAATTAAAAATATTCCAAATTTTTTATAACAACATGTATTTAATATTTAATCTTAGAAAAAATAATAATATTTTATTGTTATAAATAAAATGAAGCTAGAGTTGGTTTTATTAGTTATTATTAATTTTTAATTAAAGACTTCCTAGAACATCCTGAAACATTTTAGAAAAAGAAACTAAAAAGTTTAGTTCTTAAGAACTTTTTTAAAGTGTACTGATAAGAGAAAACAAATTAAGTTGATTTATGTGTTTAACTAATTGAAGGAAACTGTAAAACGATATAGGCAAACGGTTAAATTTTAAAAGCAAACAGAATTTTATGCTTCTGTAAATCACTTAAATTGCCTAATCTAATCGAATAAATTGAAAGCCAACAGTTTTAATTGGCTAGGTGGTTCTACCTTTTTGTTCCCTTATTAGAGGTGTTTACTTGACTTAATTCACTGTACTTCCTCAAGTGAACTTGAGCTAGTTGGTTCGAAGAGAGCACGTCCTTTTGGGAGAGACTCAAAAGACAGACGCTCTCGGCGCTGAAGAGCTTCAGAAACTGCGAGAAGTGGCCAGAATGAGCCAGCCACTTCGAGAGTGGGCTTCATTCGCTTTAAAAGGCCTTCTCCGACGACAAGTCGCCTCATTCGAAACCAAACAATCGGACGGAGTGCATCACGTCACCAAGCGGAAAAAGCATTACAATCTAAATAAAAAAACAACAACGGAATACTCGTTGAAAAAGACTATAGTATAGTACACTTGTAGCGAAAATAATTGCCGAGCAGTGCTCATTGATAAAGTAAACAAATTGAGCAGGCGAAAAGGTAAGGTTTTGATTCCGAGAACCACAATTGTGCTCCCCAACAGCTGTTCATTCGCTGCCAATTGACATCACTTGTTTGCCCACACTCGCCGTCAGTCTTTGGGGCCCTCTGACTCATCCATTTATTTATAAACAATTCGCCCACCGAGCCGAACAATTTGCACTACTCCTGCACGGAAAGAAATAGTCAAGCGATTGTGGCACCCGTTTTAATGACTTTATATGCCATTTGGATCCACATATCAGCACTTAAATATTTTAATTATGTATTTCAACATTTCAACAAGAGATTAAGGGAAATTATAAAGCTGAAAATTTAATTTTGAGTTTAATCCAATTTAAATTTGCAGACATACTAAAATAGTTTGTATATTATTTTAGATTTATTTTTACAGAAACAAATCAAATTGTGATGCAAACCTATTTATTTGTTCCATGGACACACTATATGCAAAGTATATAATTAATTACGTTCGATCTAATTGGTTTCCCCTCTTTCGATTGCAGCCGTCTTTTGGATTTGAACCGAGCATGGACATGGACAACATGTTCCCGCGCTCGCATCTGGGCAGGATGCACGATCCCTTCGCGGGATTCGGCGACTCACGTAAGCGGAGCAGTTTGCACGGTGGTGGCCAAGCCAATGCTGACGATGACTTTTCATCCTATTTCGACGACCCAGACTTTGGATTCCCCCGCTTCTCGACGATGGGCCGCAGAGGTCGAATGGCCGGCGGGGCGAACAGTCACATGGATCACGACGATGACTTCTTCAACCGGCTGCCCTCGGAGTTCCGTCAGTACATCCCCGACGGGTTTGGGGCCAGACGCGGTCAAGGAGTTCCTGCACCAGGACACCCTGCACCCCAGCAACAGCAGCCGCAGCAGCAGCCACATCCCCAGGCGCAGCAGCACTACCAGTACGCTGTGCCTCCCCAGCAGCAGCCAGTCTATGTGGGATCACCGCAGCCGCAGCAGCAACAGGTGCCCCAGTCGCCATCGAAGCGCCTTTGCGATGCGGCCATTCAAACGGAGGATCCCACCGGTCGCTCCGAGGTGGACTGTGCTCCGCCCTCCAATCTGAATCAGCACGGACTGCGCAACACCGTGGACATGGGCGTGAAGAGTGCCGCCGAGCAGGATCAGGGATTGCGCTCCCACTCCGCCCCGCCGCCAGAGCAGCAGCAGCAGAATCTGCTCTACCAGCAGCAGCATCCGCAGCAGCAGCAGCACCACCAGCAACCGCAGCAACAGTTCGGCACCCAGACCAGTCCACCGGTGCAGGGTGGTCCGCAGTTCAAGACCTACTACGCTCCCCAGCAGCAGACGCATCCGCAGCAGAAGCAGGCCACTCCGCCGCCAGCTCCACAGACGCCCGGCGGCACCTATGTGCGCACCATTCCCATCTTCGTGGAGGGACGCACCGAGCCGATCATCAATGCCCACAAGGAGATACCAAACCAGAATGCTCCGCCCAGTGCCCAAGCTCAGGCGCAGGCTCAAGCTCAGGCACAGGCTCAGGCTCACTATGCTCCACCGCAGCAGCAGAGACCCACGCCACTGAACACCCAGCAGGCGGCGGCGCATCCCGCTGACCAGGAGGTGCCGGCCGAGGGAGTTGCTGGTCTGCCTCCTCAGACGCCGCACACCCTCAACTCGATCAACAAGATCCAGGATATCCAGCGGGACGTCCTCGAGCTGATGGGCAAGGTGGAGCAGTTCAAGGGAACGCGCGAGGAGAAGGAGTACGCCTACCTGGACGAGATGCTGACCCGCAATCTGCTCAAGCTGGACACCATCGACACGAATGGCAAGGACAGCATTCGACTGGCTCGAAAGGAGGCCATCAAGTAAGTGCTGAATGCTTCTTAATTTATAAAAAAAAGTATTTTTTGATCAAAGTAAAAATGCATTTAAACTTTAAAATATTTTGGTTATAACGTAAAAGTAAATTTAAATGAGTTTTTTATTTTATTCAAATTATTCTAATGATTAAAATAATGTCTATAGATGTCTAATATGATGATCTTATCTTACAGATGCATTCAGGCTTCGATAAATGTGCTGGAGGCCAAGGCCGAGGAGAATGCCAGGGCGGCGTCGGGAGCCGGAGCTGCACCAGCAGCAGTAGTCAACCCAGTGGAGCCGGCCGAGGCAGCAGTTGCCCCAGAAGCCACTGGCCAGGCAGCGGAGCCAGTTACTCCACAGCCACAGGATGCTACGAAAATCCAGGAGCCCATCCCTCTGCCGCCGCCACCGAATGCTGCGCCCGCGGAAGGATCAGCCGAAGCGACTGCGGCGGAGGAGCCAGCTGCTGCTGCTGCTGGACAAGCCACTCAGATCGCCGCGCAGACGGAGACGACCACAACGACGTCGGAATGATGAACAGAGCGCCTCTACAAGGCGACCGTTTCGAAGCAGCTACGCAAATTAACCAAATTCAAGTGACAGACCGGCGGAGTCCCCGATCCCGACGACTCATTAAAAGGACAGCGACAAGGACCTCATCCATCTGAGAGAGAGAGGTCAAAGGTGAATGCGAACTGGATGCGGATGTGAATATGTGAACAAGAGGAGGGAGCTGGCGGTGGATCTTTGCTAGTATTTCGTAGAAGCACACCCGTACTATCTGAACATGCAAATCTCACGTGTGTCGAAGCACTCAACAACACCCACTCATCCCCGCACATCATGCATACACAGCACACACACCTCACCCACACACACACACAGCATAGATTATAGGCTAGTAAGGAAATTAATATTGAGAAAAAGTGCCTGCATAGAATTCGGAAGTTAACAAACAGAACGAACGCGAAAGCGATTTGGCAACCGAGAGTTGTCCTTCACCTAAAAAGAGCTGATTATGTTTAAGCGAATATAGAAGAAGATCACCGTGAGGATATGATATTTTTGAACCTGAGTCCAGTTTTTATACGTAAATTGCACCGAGGGGCAGCTAAATGGGCAGAGCGAGCCGCCGTATGATCTCATACAAATCTACAGCCATCGCGCTTGCTTGCCACAGCCACCTCATTTTAAATACACACCACACACACACGGCCTTACTGCAGGTGAATTGTTAAAGAAAAGTAAAAACACACATCTAGAAGAACTACGATAACTATTTATGCTACTAATTAATGCGAAAATAAATGTAGATATTGTTGACTATACAACAAACTTGTTTCTTTTCGGTTGCACAAATATCAAAGTTTATTATCGAAAAGGTTACAAATCTCAATCAATAATACATATACAAAAGAACCCCGGGGATCGGGAATGGAGCGGGCCTTAAATACTGACTAAGTGGTTACTTCGTATGTGTCTTAAGAACATTTTAAAAGGACGCAACACGGCCTCGGCTAACGAGGCCAAACAATGATATATAATAGGTATGTATACAGATGGGAACAACGTATGAATGGGTCGCGTATGTGGCATGGATTATACGTTATATAATATGTATGTAGATAAAAAACAGACGCGTGATGTACGATAAAAATCTTATAGTCGCATTTAGTCATCGTTGAATCTCCTTTAGGTGTATCGCATTATTGTTCAAGAGTAGGGTTAAAGTGTTTAAGTAGCTATAGTCCGGATCCAAAATATATAGAGGCTAGCTGCGTTGGTGTAGATATCTAGCAAAAGTGGGCGTCCCAGCTGCTTGGCACTTGGGTCGCTTCCTAGTTAATGATCTCGACATAGTTTGCCGGAAAAAGTCCATAGGTTCCATCAGGGCCGAGGCCCTGCCACCATCCCTCATCGATTTGATCGATATGCGTAATGACATCGCCCGGATCGAAGGTGATCTCCGACTCGTCGGCAGCCTGGTAATCGTACAAAGCTCGGGCTCGCAGTCCCAGATCGCCGAGGGTCTCCTGGCAAATGAAGTCGTCCTCGTTCACCAAATCCGTCACTGCAAAGTACATGGTATTATAATAAATAATGAAACATAGTACAAAGCTAGGTGTTACTCACGTGCATTCCTTTCCAGTGTGCTCAGTCCGCTCGACTTGGCTGACTGCGATTGCTGCACGGTGACCGACACCTTGGTGCGGACCTCTTCCTCCTGATCCTGGTACACAGCAGTGTCCGTCTCATTGGAGGAAGTGGTCTCATCCGGTGACTGCGACTGCAGCGAGTTGGTTTTACTGTGTGGCGACCGTTTGATGGTGGAGAACTGTTCGCTTTCGTGGGCCAGCGGTAGGTCGTCTATTGGCTGGGTCTCCTCCACTTCGGCTATGGTGGAAACAACTTCGGCGGCTACGGGAGCAGCAGGTGCGGCTGGAGGAGCAACTGGTGCGGGAGTCTCCGTGGGCAGTGGTTTGGCAGGGGACACAGCGCGTGGTGGTGAAGGCACAGGTGCATCTTGAGGCTGATTCTGGTTAAAGACATTAATGCGCTGGGCAATCGAATTGCGAGCTGGTTTCGCCGGCGGTTGCGTGTTAAGCCTATTGATTAAAGGGAAAGGTTAGCTTGGAATAAAGTAAGAGGGGGAGGCTAAGCACATACTTGGACTGCAGCTGACCTTCGCTGGTGTGCTTAGTAAACATGGCCTTGGCGGCTCCCACACGCGAGCCAATCAATTCGCGAGCCTCCTGGTTCCTCGCCTGACGCATGCGCTCCGCATCGGTTAGATTGTTAGAGAATCCCGGGACTGTTTTTTCTGGACTCAATGGCTGCGGGGAGCTGTTAGACAAAAGAAAAGTTTTATTGTCATGTTGAGTTGAAAAGTTATTCATTAGTTTTAATTACGTTTTGATGGGGACGTGCGCCGGCTGTAGCTTGGTGGTGCTTATGACCAACTTTTCGCGCTCCTTATGCTCCTTCTCCTCGCGACTGCGTTGCTCTTGCTCCAACTTCTGCAGCTCCAATCGCTTGGCCTCCTTCTCTGCCTCTTGGCGCAACTTCTCCTCGGCCTCCTCCTTCTTCCAGAAATCCTGCATGACGCTAGCGTTGAGCTCCTTGGTGGGAATGACTCGCGTGTAGTTGGTGCCCACCGGCGCCTTCTGCTCCTCCATGGCGCCACGCGGCTCCTTGAAGCTGTAGGCGGAGCTCACGGTGCTCAGCTTCTTGAGCAGCCGGTCCAGATCAATATCGTCCTCGTTGCGGGCATTGATGGTTAGGTGGGCGCCGGACAGAAGATTGGATACGTCGCGGATGTGGTTGGCACAGGTGCCTTTGCGCAGCACAGGTGCTCCCTCGCCCTAAAAACGAGGAAATGATTACGTATTGTGCGTACAACGATAAGATAAAGGCCAGTGCCTGACTCACCTGCCAGTTAATGAGTAAGTATTTGTTGAGGCCCGTTTTGGGGTCTTCGATGCGCACGAAGGCGTACATAATCTTGCCGCTGTTGAGGTCTTCGTTCAGCTCCTCCACGCCGCCATCTCCAGTGGAGACCACCTTCAGCTCGTTGGTCTGACCCTCGTAACCGAAAAGCGACCAGTTCGTGTCGCTCTTGTCGTCCAAAACATCCTTCCAGGCGGCCACAATTTGCGACCGATTCTTTTCGAAACTGATGGCCATTATGTGCCGCGACTGCCAACGACCTTGAACAAAGAGATCTTGGCCAGCTTTCACTGGGTCGCCTTATCGAGGTGCCCTCGTCGTCGGGTGAAAGCCAACGCCCCGCGAAGATACCAAAATTGAATGGGTTGTCTTGCCTTATATTTTAATTAAGTGCAGCCGCCTCACAAAGGCACACACACACGCAGACACAAATGGGCGATTGATTTTCCAGTCTGTGCGAATTTCCAAGGGCTCTTGCAAGATTAAGTGATTCACCTATATACTGTGAGTCTTATGTTTAATACGATCTTAACGGTTATATTGGGGGAACAACAATTTCCCAACTATCCAATTTGATTGGAATTTTAAATTTTTCGATCGCCTTTTTTGCAACAACAAAACGGCAGGCTAGAGATGGAATAAAAGCGATAACTAAAACTATTGATAACTTGCAAAACGGTGTTGTGATTAGAAGGGTGTACTCGCTGTATTTGGAGGATGTACCTGCTAGGCAAGGAGTGTGCACTCGCTTTGGTGGGAAGGTGTATTTGCTAGGCTAGGAGGTTGTCCTTGCTAGGTATTGCTGTTGGGATTTTCTGATTGTGAACAAACGGTCACACTACACGAAAACGAAACGCAAACTGAACTATTGTGATTGCAATTATACCAAAAACCATCAAAACCCCGCTTTTCCCAGCGTAAATCGCGAGGAAAAGGTGCCAATTCACCAGGATTAAACCCCCCAAACAGCTGTGACACAGGATTGCGGCAGGATTTGAATTCCTCACCAGGCGAAAGGTAAACTTGGCCCATTGTTGTTGGCCAATATATATTTTGGGCATATTACATGGGAATTTCGGATGCTGGCCAGCAACAATATGGCATTTGTCGGTGATTTCGCTGCCTTGGCTGCTGTACTTTGGTTTGGTCATTGCCGAAAACTCTCGGTTTGTTCGGCGGGGCATAAAAAAAACCAGTCTCCCAAGTGCATCGTGCAACCACCACCCGCCCCCCCTCCTCCACCGCCGCCCCCTTCGTCCATCGAAAATCCCGATCAGATGGCAAAACTGTTTGGCAGCAGGATTTTCGCCTTCGTCTTACTTGTTTCAAGTCAGCCAGTCAGTCTTTGTTCGCTTTGGTTTGGTTTGGTTTTGGTTTTGTTCCATTTACATATATGCCAATGCCAGGCTCGGGCGATATATCCAGTTTTTCACTCGGATCTCTGTGCACATGTACATATATATATATATTTGTATATATATACGTATGCGGCTGTATGGATGTGTGTTTGGTGTGTTCATGGTCAATTTCTTTGCATTTTCAGTGTGAAACTCATGCGGTGCAGATCGAGTCGGTGCAGGAGTAGCGTAACCGAGTCCAAATCCACATCCACATCCAGATCCACCACGTCCACGTCCAATCCCACGTAGAAAGTCGTTGAGAACCATCATGGAATCGGCGCTGGAAGTGCTCTCTAGAGCGGCGACCATGGTGCAAAACAATCCCAGCGGTAAGTGAACGAACGACCCAAAAAAAAAAAACTTGGCAAGCCATTAACCAATTCCGTTTAAAAAAGAGTCGACAATTTTTATGATTTTAACTTGGCCAGCAACATAACATCATGGCATGATGTACTCAACCCGACGGGGCCAGTGGGGGTGGGGGTTACACACTCACACACGCACACTTACATCTCTTTTATGGCTTTCACCTTTGAGCCAAGAAGACTCGAAAAGTATTTCAACAATGTGTCATACACAGAAAGAAATAGTTATAATTGTGCGATGATCAGTGGGCTGTTCTAATGTGTGATGTGTGGTTACAAATAAAAGCTTAGGCGAAGATGACACAAAAATCAGGGAAGTGTCTTTCGAAGACTCATAAAAATGAAAATATTTCATTTTCAGGCGGGACAAAAATATGAGTGGGTTACAAATGTCTTCGAATTGTATTAAAACAAATCAAGAATTTTCTTAAAATATAGTTATGTTTAACGTAACAATTTTTAAGAGTATGTTTATTTATTTCCAATTGATTCGTGAACTTTGATATTCAAAGTCAGGCTTTTTCCATTTAAGGAGCATCCACAAGTAATTAATTTAGTGATTTATATTTTAGGACAGGTACCCAAATTTTTAATTGTTTTTAAAAATTTGAATGGATAAGCATATTTTAACAATTTATTTGTACTAGACTGATTAAATATTTATGAACATTTATCATTTTGAAATATGAGCTTTTGTTATTAGATCATACCTGCCGTTTAAGCGTTTAAATCCATATTAATGTTATTATCAATAAAAACTGCAGGCTAGGAAAATTAAAGCGCATCCTAAATTTAACATTTTTCTTTTACAAAAATAAATTAGGAAGTAGCTTTTCCTCTGTGTAGCCAGTCGCAGACCCTTTTGCGTGCTCCAGTCATGATTCACATGACTGAAACGGAGCCCCACTTCTTTCCGATTCCCGCCCATCTGCATTGTAACCGCGATCCCCCAACTGAGACACTGTCTCCCGATATTCTACCCACTCGGGGCATCGATGAGCCCGATGATGGACGCAGATTCCTGGCCGCGAACACTGTGCGCGAACGCATAAACACTCGACGAATCCGAGAAATGTTTTATTTTCGTACAAAAAAAAAAAAACAAAACAACAGCAAAAAACGACAACAAAACATTCCAACAAAATGAGTTTGCGGCGCATTCCGATTCCGATTTTCATAAATGTGTCAAATGCCGCATTTTCGATGGCAGCGGAACGGCGAGCGAGCGGGCGGTCGAGCGGTATGGTATGGTGGCATATGTGAAGTATTGTCGGGCGACCCAAGAACCCGGGAACCCCTTATCAATAGTCGCATTTTGCAGTGCCACTGCGGCTGCACGAGCACGAATTCTGAATGTGTGGATGTTTCGATGTGGATATGTGAATGTGGTGGATGGGCGTTTGCGTTCGCGTTCGCCAGTTCGCCAGTTTGCCAGTCGTACGGGAACGGGCATTGCATATTTCTGTACTGGCGACATATCTTTTATATATTTGCAATTTGCATTCTCTGCCCACAAAAAAAAAAAAGAACGAAAGAAAACCCCACTATGTGTGTACACCACCCAGAGCGACAAACAAGCGACTCGACTCGACTCGACCGACGACCGCGTGACATGCCAAAGAAATTGCCGGCGTGGAGCTCTCAGTTTTTCGTTGAATTGTTCGGTTATTGTATTTGCCGAGCTCTGGGTCGCAAATATGTGTATAATTGTTAAACAAAACAATTTGATTAGGCATGTTCGTTCTCTTCTTCGTCGGGCGAACGGGTAATTGCACATTTTATAGTATAAACGGGCGATAAGCACACGCCGCCGAGTTCTGTTTGGGTTTGGGTTCTGATTTGTCGACCCAGTTGCCCTGATAACATGCAAATCACTCCCCGCCTCTGAATTCCGATAATGGCCCCCCAATTTATATTTATGTTTATGTTTGTTTCGGTTTCGTTCTCAGTCGCCGTTTCTGTTTTTGTTTATTTACCCATTTGGCCATTGGGGAAACGACATTATCAACCATAATTCGGAATTTTTGACAAATTCCTCGGCCGATATATATGCGCCGTACAGCTGTCAACACACCGAGCACAATTTATGAGATAGCCCCCGATACAGAAAGAGAAATGGTTCCGATGCTCGAATAAATATTTGAACGCCGCACGCGATTCGCTGGCGATTTGAGCGCGATTTTTGGTTTTTTGGCCATGGACATTGGACACAATTGGCCAACAATTGAGTTCTCAATGCAGCAAGGCAGATTTTTTTTGTTTTTGTGGTTAGTTGAAGGCGAAGATGAGCGATTTGAAGTGATTGATCGGCAGTAGGCAAAATGCAAAATGTCGTTAACCTGTGCATGATTAATGATTTTGTCATAATCGAGCGAGGAGAAGAGGCACTTGGATTGGGATTCAGATTCTGGATCTTCATAAATCACACTCGTAGAAAAGCGGGTCGATCGACGATCGGGCCCCGTTAATTAAGCGGCCCTTCCATTGTTTGCCGAGGAGCTAACTCCTTCTCGCTGGCCAGGCCATAATTAATAAACAAATAGTTACACAAATTGTGGCCTGCCTGTGCTGTGTGCTGTGCTGTGCACACGGGGCACAAAAGAAAAATTGTGGCAATTTCGAGCTTGGCCAATGGCGCACAGCTGGAGACGAACACCAACCGTTTGCCTGGCTAACCCAGCTATCTAGCTGACTGGCTGGATAGTTGGATGGTTAGAGTAGAGTGTTCGGGAACGGCTCATCAGGTAATTTACATGGCCTTTCAATTCTCCGTTTTTAGCCTAGCCAGTGCCAGTGCCAACTCTGTGGGCCAACACTCTCCTTCTTTCCTTTTACTGGCAATGGCCAAACGGTGCGCGTAATTGCCGCAAATCTCGACCGGAGGAAAATCCAGCGGGCAAACCAGTTTGGGTTTGTTATTGCCATGGGATTGGAGATCGGTCGGTACGGTTTGGTTTGCTTTGGTTTTGCTTTTGGTTCAGCTTCGTTTCGCTTGGGGATGGGCCACTCGGGATGGAGATGTGGAAGCTGCTAGCTGCTAGCTGGAACTTGGAAGCTGGGAAATGGGATTGGGGATTGGGGATGGGGACTCGGATTGGGACTAGAGCATTACCTTTCTTTTTGCCTACTGCCAACTGCTACTGCCTGCCTGCCTGCCTGCCACTCGAGCGACTGCTATTTATTTATTTAAACATAACATTTGCCTATTTGCCATAAATTTTCACTCTGCGCGACTTTTGCCAGCCAGCAGCAGGCACTTTGGACAGGAAGAGGCGGCCGCGTTGCAGGGGCACAATCAACTTGTTGCGGACACTATCGAAATGAAAGTTGTCTTACGAAATGAGAAAAAATAAACAGAAAAAAACAAATACTCGATGGGTTCTTTCTGGTCATTTATATATTTCGGAAACTACTGCGATTCTCTCAAGTAAAGTAAAGATATCGATCCGAAAATTTGGCTATCGATTCGAGATTTTTCTCACGCTTGATTTAGCACCGGATGATATTTTATAATGACAACTATATTTATGTTATTGTTAGTTTTGCCTGCTATTTGCCATGAGCTCCCGCGGTTGTTTTTGTTGCTCCTGCTATTCTGGGCAATCGAAAAAAACCAGTTTCTCTTCAAATCGCGCGCACGCTCGAGTTTTATTTAAATTTTGAACTGGTTTGCCGCTGATTTGTGTTGTCTCCGCTGCGTATATATTATGTACCCACTAGATATATATACATATATTAGATTGTTAGATTTCACAAACTGGGACTGCGACTGGGACTGCTGCTGCGGTTAAGATATAAACATAATTTGTCTTGTTGGTATCGACAAGTTCTGGAAATTGCCGGCCACCTCACCTCCATCCGTGTGTCATCATCTTGGAGATCTGAGAAGCAGCAACAGCAGCAGCAAAAGCAGTAGAAGATCTCCCATAAAGAATTGAGATCTCGGTGACTTCCGCACTGCTGCCACTTCTTCAAATGACCCAAATTGAATGGGGGAAGGGATCTCATGTTTCTGTGCCGATTTCCAAACAACACACAAATTTCAATTAGCAAAGCATTTTCCGGAGTTTTATTTCTGTTTGGCTTCTGTTTTCTGCCAAAGCCTCGATTCAATGGAGCAATATTAAATTGCTGCTTAGCTTGTCATTCGGAGTCGCAGAAAGGGAAAGAAGCTTAGGAAATCTCGCTTGGAATAACCTGTCTTTGGGGAATAAATCTAAAAAGAAGAAGAAGTGATGTCCAAGAAGAGTTATTACTCCAGGAAAGAAGATTCTATTTTATGGAGCTAAGACATTAACACAAAATGTCTTAGAGAATCACAATTGAAAGGGCAGTGTAATAAATCATTTCTTGAAGCTTTGATATTACTTTTATATTTCACCTTTCCAAGCAATCACAAATGTTTTAATAATGTTACGGTTGGGAAACTTATCAACGAATGTAAAAGTTTTATTACTAATAAATTCAGGCAACTAAAATGAATGGGGGAACTTTTACTTAATCATTATAATTATTTGAAAAATAAAGAATTACTTATGTAAAAACACTAAACTTACTTATTCCTGGAAAACCACATTTCTTCTTATAATTCCTAAGCTGACTTATTATTAAATGTATAACTTCATTAGCACTAGACACACACACCCCGAATTAGTTGGGGGATTTCCATTTGGCTTCTGTTGATGGACCCACATCATTTAGGTTCTACGTTTCATTCCCCAAGTGAAGTTTACCCACTTTGCTTGTCTTTTTGTCGTTTTTGCGCCTTCTTTTACATTAGTTTGGTCTACGATGTTTGGATTTGGGTAATTTGCTGCCATTGTTTTCTGCCAGTAAGCAGACTCTTCTGCCTTAAAGTCTGTTGATTCCGTTGTTGTCATTGTTTTTAACTCGTTGTGCTGTAGTTTTTTTTCTATTTTTTTTCCATGATTGCCATTCGATTGACCTCGTTGCGCATGCGTGCGCATGTTTCACGCTACACTACAAATTTTCGCGCATAACAAACGCCGGATGATGAGTAAGCGCCAAAGCCTAGGAGCACTCGCTCAATCCATTACTCAGTCAGTCAATAGTTTGAGCTTCATTTTGTTACATTTACTATGTGTGTTTTGTGTTTCTTTTTGGTTTTGTTTGTTGAAAATTGCACATTTTGTGACTTGGATTAGCAAATGGTCGGTGGATGGTGAAAGATGGAGAAAAGGAAAACCATAAGCGGAGAAACACGGATCGATCGATCGGTGGATCGATTGGATGGCGGGAGATCAACAGCTGAGCTTGTGCAAGTCGGCTGGGGGTTTAGACAGGCCAACGCGGGGCCATATGATCAACACCCATGCGAAAGAGTCTCTACTACTCCACTGCTACTCCACCATTCGCCAGCTCAATGTTGCTGCTGTTTGTTGTCCGCTGTTGCAGTTGCAGTAGCAATATTCATGGGGCAACAACAGTAGTGGTTGTACTACAAATCGGGCGTAAAATTTCATGGGCCTGCTATTGAATTAGAAACGAGTTTCCATCGTGTGTTGTTGTTGTTGTTATTGGTTTCTGCTTTCTGACGCTGCTTCTGTGCCGTTTTGCAGTCGCAGTTGCTGTTGCAGTTGCAGCAATGGTAACTGCTGTTGCTGTTGCTGCTGTTTTGTTGGACTGGCGGACAGACCAATTGCCATAGCCTGAACTAAGCCAAACCAAGTCGAGCCAAGCCCCAAAGCCAAAAGCAGCCGCAAACGTGTAGTACCGTCGACCTATTGTTCGCCTCCAATAACAAACAGCGAACATCTTGGCTATGGGATGAGCTTTGTGCTTTGTGCCACACTGCTACTGCCTTGAATTCTGAAATTAACATTTGCAAATCGATCTAATTTGGCTTAATCGGAGGGCTGGATTATAGGCTATTAGATTGATCTGCTTTTGGGCAGAAGATAACTATTAAAGTATTGGGAAAGGCATCTTTCAAGTTTTTTACTGCAAGAGCAACTCAAGAATTTCTTTTAATTTTATTTGGAGTTTTTTTTACAACACTTTTTGTAAAATAATTCTTATGCAGTATTTGCTTTTTTGTGTGCTGACCTTACATAAATAAAGAATTTAAAGCTTTTTTCAAGGAGAGCGCATTTTAATACGTGCTTCGTGTTTCCGCCGCAAAATTAAACTATTTATATTGAATTCCCGAATCAAAGTAGACCTAAAGCCAATCTTTTCTTTAATAAATATTCTCATCATGCCTGTTTCGATTTAATTTTTGGCATATACGAGCGATAGTAAATTTATTTGTTTGTTTACCACTTTATGTTCTATTTTTGACATTCAAAGAAATGGGTTTTCGCCTAATATTTTTTATGTGTCTAAATTTTTTTTTTTTTTTTTTTTTTTTTAAATTTGGTTGAAAAGTGTATATATAGTGTTTGTAAGGACTTACTTAGTATTATTTATTAGTATGACTAAACCAATAATATATTGTTTCTCAAAAGTGCAGTTTTCAACAAAAGTTTAAAACATTACTTTCTTTTGAAATTGTAGGAACCAAGAACTTTTCCTACTTGTGATTTAACTTAATTCTTATTTAACCATTTTGATTAGTATTAATAGTAAGATCTTCTGGGTATTATTTTGTCGGTGTGTCCCAGCCAAACCCTCGTTTTCCTAGTCGGTTGTCATTTTTGCAAGTCCACACAGACACACGCGGCCATCGGGCGAACGTAGGTAGTTTTGCACGCAGCTCCAAACATAACGTATAGTATGTAAGTCGGATTGTGGCAGAAAAGACTCTGGGTAAACATTATAATGAGCCCAATGCAGTGACCGGGCCCAAAAACAAAAGAGCGTTGAGCAAAACATAAAAGAACGCCCACACCATGTGGCTGCCTGCTTGGACCAATGGCCCTACCCAATTCCCGATTCCCCAATTCCCAGTTCCCAGTTTCACAGCTCCGAGATCCGAGATCCGAAAAGCTAAAGCCCATGAGCTCGTCCAGACTGTGGCCAATTCCCAATTGCTGCCATTTCGTTACCCTTTTGCCCAATTTGCCAAGCATCAATGGGGCAACGGGGCGTGGCAGCTACATCCTACGAACGGAAAGACAGACCCCCTTTTTTTCTGATTTTTTTTTTTTTTTGTTTTGTTTGTTGCCCTGTCCCCCCAAAAGTCAGCTTTCAGTTGTACTTTTTCAATTACCAAATCACCGAAAGCAAGCAGAGATCCGAAATCCATCCAGAACGAAACAAGACAGAAAGAGAGAGATAGATAGAGAGAGAGGGAGAGAGAGAGAGAGAGGGTCAAAACAAGAGTCGAAACGGAAATTGGTAAGAGGAGAAATAAACCAAAAACAAAAGCAACAACTGAAAGAAAAACAAGGGACAAGTGCAAATGGCTCTGAAAGCCCCAAGTCTACATGTTCCCCATTTTCATACCCGTGGAGACTTTCAATTCAAGCGAGCAAAAAAAATAAAGACGAAGGCTGGCAAAGAAACCGAAGTCGGAAGACCGAAGACCGAAGCCCGAAGAACCCGAAGACGGAGCTTCGAAAGCCCCCCAATAAGAAGCCCCAAGTTGGCAAGTTGCGAGCGGTCTTCAAGTCGACGAGCGATCAGTTTGAGTTTGTCCGTGGAAGCCGCCAGTTGTGGGTTTCGGTTCCGATCGGTTGTCTCCGGTTCCTATATTGCTATATTGCTATACTGCTATATGTTTTCCATACCCTGAGATATATTTTGTTTGCCATTCGGAATTGCTAGTGGTGTGGAACGTGGAACGTGCGTCCAGATCGGTTCGTGTGTGCCCCTCCGTCCATTCGATTCGTTTGGTTCGTTCGTTCGTCGGTCTCTGAAAGCGAAAACTGGCGCTCAAGTTCAGTCAGCGATTTGTCGATTTCTATGCAAATCATTACTCGGAAAAGAAACAGCACACATATAACCCAGAGTTGGAGTCCAAGTCGGAGACAATAACAACAACAACAATAACAACTAAAACAACAATAACAATCAGACAGAAAAGACAGCCAGAAAAAGAGCGTGCTATTTTTATTTCGCTAAATGTCGACTCGAGGCTCACGTCGCCGGAGCAAAGCCAAAGTCTCCGTTTCAACTTGCGAGAGACTGTAACCCGAGTCGCTGCTGCAAAAAAAAAAAAAAAAAAAAATAAAACAAATAAATAAAAAAAATTGAAGAAAAAAAAGGCAGCAGACAAACAGAAACAGATTGTATCTGTATCTATAGTCGCGACTTGCGGCTCGTTTTGTGTGCGCACATTCGTGTATCTGTATCTGCGGCCGAGCGCAAAAAAAAAAAAGGAAAAGTAATCATAAACTGTGGAAGGGAGGGAGGAAAAACAAATAAATAAAAAGAGTGCCGCTCCCCAGCCTCCTTAACTCAAAGTACTTACTCACTACTGATAGACAGATAGGACCCGAAAAGATTTGTGGCGAATTAGCTGAGTCGGTTTTCCGAGCGGCCGAGCGATGTGAGTGGTGGCATCGATCTCGCCGAGATTTTTGAGCAGGAAGTGGAAGCCAAGCAAAGAAATTGCGAATCCAGCAGCGAGCACCATGGAATACCTTTGCATACTGAACGCCTTCGAGCAGAATTACTACAATCGCATCAAGGAAATCGAACGTTTGGCTGCCGCCGCGGCAGCTGCAACATCACCCGCCTCATCGACGGCCTCCACATCCTCGGCTTCCTGTTCGAGCGGACCGTCCACCTCCTCATCCGCCTCCTCCACAGCGAGTTCTCCAAGTTCTTCGGCTCAAATGGCCGCTGCTGCTGCACTGGCGGCCACTCAAAGGTTGGCCGCTTATCAGAGCCATGGGGCAGGAACCCAGGGCCAAGGGGCCATGTTCTATCCGCATCATCCGCAGCAGCAGCAGCAACTGCAGCAGCAGCAGCAGCAACAGCAGCAGTCTATTCATCATCATCACCAGCAGAGTCTGCATCGCCAGCAGCTGGAGCAGCTGCAACTGCAGGCGGAGTCCGGCAATCATCAGCAGGCACATCCGCAGTCTGGCGGGGATCAGAACGCCTCCTCCATGGCCAACAGTTTGCTGTGGCAGCCGTGGCGGGACCTCCAGCAGGCCGCCGCCATGCACCATCAGCTCTACAGGCAGCAGCAGCAGCAGTTGCACAAAGGTTCGTTTTTTTTTTTTCGAAGGGGAAACTTCAAAAGAAATGACTCGTGAAAATGAAAACCCTGACTTAGTGACCTCGGGCAAAAACTGGGCAAAGTGTCACATACTGGTGATCTTGTTAGAAAACAATGTGTATAGTAGATTGGGTTAAATATATATAAATTAGCATAGAGATGAATGATACCTTATTTATTAAAATAGGAGTGTTCTCTTATATTGATATTTAAGGATTCTGCTTTAACGTCCATTCAATCAGTTTCGCTTTACGTTTGTTTATTCTACTTATAATGCTTACAGTCTTTAGTTCTGTTACATAAAATTGTCGTCGTGGTTACTTAGTTATCATACTTTCAGAAAAATCCACACCATAAAGTTAATTAAACAAATATAAAGGATACTTTAGGAATATAGAATATAGGAATATACAAGATACAGAATATTATATTTTGATTAACAGCGATCAAAATTGTTGTTTTGCTGATATGAATTTTTCTTTGGAAACTAAGATGTTTACCATATAACTAATATCAAATTTATAATCGAAAGAGTTCCTATTAAAAGTCACAAGGGCATGCTAATTTTCCGCCAAAGTTCCTAAGACAGTTTTGGGATAAATTTGTTTGAATCATCTTACAAAAAGACCGACAGAGATTGAAACTTTTTTATGATGACAGCTTTTAAGTGAGTGAATAAATTGCCGACGAAATCAGACGGACATGTCCACTAAAGATCGCCTGATTAAGCTGATTAAGAATATCAAAAAGTCAGTTTTATTTTACAGCTCTGTTATAAAGGTGCTATAAAATTCGTTTAGAATGAATAATTGAGTGCTCTCACTTTCTTGAGATGTTAGTTTAAAGATGTTCAATATAATGGGTTGTTCTTTATCTTTTGTGAAGGCAGGTAATGATTTCCAGGGACAGTAGAGACCACGTTTGTGCACCTGCTGCTCACGTGAAGTCCACACTCATTCGCCTGATCAATGGCTAAAGTTCAATGGAATATCGAACGTGCCCTTTCCTTTGGCTTTAACCATTTCGCCAGTGATAAGTACTCAGTCCCCCGATGAATGGGATCGGGTATCGGAAGTGGATAGCTCCGATTCTCCACGGTTTATCTTGTTGTTGGTTTAGTTTTTTGTTTTTTCGAACGAGTGGCGTGTGTGGTTAGGACGTGGACTTGATGACGACGATTGGAGATTGGAGATTCGGGGATTGGGGGTTTGGGGCTTAGGATGGAGATTCAGATTGGCAACACAGCGGCAATCGGTCACGCCGGCTGCTGCAAGAGCGTATCGATGGCGTCTGCGCCACTCGGCTTGTGCCAACTGGAAAATTGGTAATGAAATTGGCAACACTTTTACTGCGCTCCGCACCGGCGGCTCTCCGTCGCATTCGATTTGCTTCGGATTGGCAAACAAACAAACGAGCGAGCCAACTGACGAACATACACCAGTTCCACGGCGTTAATTGGCGACATTGCACAAATCACACAAATGCTTTCAATTACATGGAGACGACGCCAGGCAAACACAACCCAACACAACACACAAAAAAAAAGCAACAAATTAAAAGAAAAACGGCCTGGGGAAAGAGGAGCAAAAAATGAGCGCCTGTTTAAACATTAAACCTCCATAAAAAAAAAGAAGAAATAATAAATGGATGATGACGAGGCGGTGGGTTGGGGGAAACTACTACACGTAGTGCTGTTGTGCTTGGCGCGACTCGGTTTTATTTTGCTTTTGTTAATTTGTTGACATATTAAAACCAGATTTGCAATCAACTCGGCCAGCGGGTAATGCGGGTATGGCGGAAACCAGCGGATCGGAGTCGGAGATCGGGGATCGGATATCGGTGCTTGGGGGTTTGGGGATCCGTGGTTTCAGCCATGACTCACAAGCCGGCGCGAGAAAAAAACAAAGACAAACAATATATAAATAATGAAAAACGCCTGCGACGACGGCGACCGACTATGATGGAAAAATAAATATGTATACAAATATACAAAAGGCAAATGTGGAAAAGCAGCAACAACAAAAACAATAACAACAACAACAACCAAAACCAAAACGGAGCAGCAACAACTTGTTTGCATAAGCCACAAATGCTGTTCCCATTGCTCTATTGCTATAGCCATTGCCTCTGCTATTTGTAGTACAATCCAAGCCATATACGAGTGCTATACTGCTATATTATATATTATATGTATGGGCATGCAAGTCGGCCCGACTTTTGTCACTCTCCTCCCGTCTCTTTCCTTCCGCCCCTCTCCCTCTCTCTTTCTATCTCTCTCAGTCTTCCTCGAAGTTCTCTGCGCTGTTTTGAGACCGAACCAGATTTTCGGATCCGACTGGGCCGGCTTTCGAATGGCTCCCCAGCTGATATATCACCTCAGAAGATGTTTAACACCGCCGACCGGAAATTGTGAAATATGTTGCCCAAAATAATGGTTCGATGTTTTCGTGGATAAAGTGCCACATTAAATTATAACTAGGCTATAATTACTAAGCTTTTAGTTGTTGTATTTATACTTTGGTGCCTATAAATAGGATTCTTTGTTTAACAAAATGATTAAATCTAATGGAGTTCCTTGATTTGAATATATAATATGATTAGGAAGCCATTTAGTCTTAACTCTTATGAGTCATAAAATGACAGGTGTTTTGTAAAAGAAAATTTGTATGATTTGTAAAGAACATAAATAGATATTTTTAATATTTAGTTAGTGGTTATTTAATGTTTAAGAGTTTATCTTCATGGGATCTTGACACTATAAAAGATAAATTATACATATATTAAAAGTAATCGTTAAGCTATAAAAGAGGAATACCCATCCAATAATTTTGTCCTATGAGTCGAACATTTTTGTTTGTTTATATTGACCTCTTAAATGCAAAACTTATATGCTTCCATCTTAGTTGAATCGGGATATACAAATGTTACCTTTGAATACCTACTTTAGCAAACTTTCTCAGCAAATGCCCTTATATCATTGATTTAACCCTTCTTCGAGCTCCGTTACGAACTCCCCCAATTCGGCATCGACTTACCATTAAGCCAGGCTCCCCTTTTATCGCCAATTAGCCGATACAGAAATGATTAAAACCCTCGCAGCAGCATCATCAGCAGTAGTTAAAGCAAAAAAGCAGCAGCAGAACAAATAAACAATGCGGAGAGGATCAGAGGAAGGTGAGATAGGGGAGAAAAGATATAAAGCAGACCACAATCCGCAAAAGAGGGGGAGCCTCAAAAGAAAGCTCCAACTCCATCGTTTTTCTTGTTGTTGTTGTTGTTCTGCGTTGTCGAACCGCCGATCCCCCAAACAGACGACGACGTCCGACGACCGGAAATGTGCAATAAAATTTGAATGTTTCTTTATTATTATCATCATCCCCACCATGACTACCATGACTACCATCATCATCATCATCATCATCATCATACGATTGAGCCCAAGCACAAGCACAAGCTCCCAGCCTCCGAGTTTGTTGGTTTTGAATGCCTCTTGGCCTGCAACTCCTTCTCCTTCGCCACTCCACTCTTTGGAGACCAGTTACCACTGCACGCTGTGTTGTTGGACTCCTCCGGTCACAGAATCGGTAATATATGGCAGTGACGTTGCCAAAAACAGGACAACGCTCCCTCACGATGGTGGTACAACTCCTCCTCCTCCTCCATCTACTCCTCCATCTCCTCCTCCTCCGCCAACGCCAAACCGCCTCCATTCGAACCATTCATTCATTCATTCATGCCTGGATCCCTGGGCATCCTCTGCCACTGCCACCTCCTCCTCCTGCTGATCCTCCTTCCCATCCGATAACCAAACTCTCTGCGCTGCTCAAAATGTGCAGAAGTCGTCCGACTGGTTTTCTCGGCCAAGAAACTGGGTTCTGGAGCCAGGCTTCGGCTGCTGCTGCTCCTCTTTCCCCTTTCCTTTTATCTGTAAGCTTGGTTTCCTGGCCAGCAGCTCCTCATCTCCTCATCTCGGCCAGCTACACTGAGCACCTCGAGCGGCTGGAACTTTCATCCCGTCGACTGCGGGATGCCCACGCTCCGTTTTGTGCGCTTCCCACGCTTCGTGCCTTCCCATTTGGCAGGCCGGGCACGTTCCTGCGTTTCGCTCAGTGTAGGCCAGGCCCAGACTTTAGTACGAAACGGAAAAAAAAAAAAAAAAAAAAACGCTACACACACTGTGAAAAGCGTAGAGCAAACGAGTTTTCGTAACCAATTTTGTTTGTGCCTTGGAGTTTCGATTGTGTGCTTTCTGTTGTTATTATTTATTTGACTGAGTGTGTGTGCCGTTTTTTATTTATATTTTTTTGTAGTTTTTTTGTTTTTGCTGCTGACGGCTACGTCTTCTTGTGCATAATTTCTGTGCTGCTCGTCGAACCGCCGCCACTCTTTGCCGCTCCTTCACTTAAAAGCTTTTGGCAGAAGTTCATTCAAAAAAGCGAAAGACTTAGGCAACAAACTTGAAGGAAACGGAAGAGGTGGTTAAGGGGTATATATATATATTGTATGTATATTTAAGCAAAGAGGGGGAACGGGTGGAGGAGAACCTTTGTAGAGTTTCAGCCTCGCCTCAACTCCAATGTGATTCATTACGCCCACTCATCGACCGCATAATCAAAACCCAGACGACAGACACGTAAACCGCACACAAAACCCAAACCCAAACCGAAACCAAAAGCAACCACAAAGCCAAATCAAATTTATGGCCTTTAATTGAAATGCGATTTTGGTATAATATCATATTGACTATTACTATTCAAGAGGGCTGGCCAAAAAGATGGCCAGCAGATGATAGCTCGTTTTCATAGCAATCGATTTCTGACCCCCAATGATTCCATTATGTTTTTGTATTTGCAGAGATGCGTGTGACTTCCAAGGAACTGCCCACCACCAAATGGCGACGTGATCGGCGACAGAGGACCGCCGAGTACCAGGTCCATGAGGCTGGCAGCGGTGATAGGGAGCGGGAACGGGAAAGGGAACGGGAGGATCGGGATATGGACAGTCCCATTGACATGTCGGTGACATCGGGAGCCTTGAAGCAGCGCGCCTCGCCACCGCCTCCGTACCGAGAGCCCCTTCCCGGAACCAATTACGCGGCCAACAGCAGACCGAGCGTCATCACCCAGGCGCCTCCAAAGCGGGAACCTCCGGAGCAGGCCCACTCCTCAGGTGAGAATCTATCAAGGGGTTTGTTTCATTGTAGGAGGATATTTAATTTTGAGAGAAGAAATAATTAGTAGCTTGCATTCGGTTTTTTAGCATAATTTAAAATGTAAGTTCTTTGACCGAAATGGAATCCTTTTTTAAAATCTTCAATTGTAAACCATTGAAATCGTGGAAAAATGTGACATGAACAGGGGTCAAAATTTCGGCCATCGCGAAATTAATAATTTTTAATGCTGTTTTATCAAGGATGCGATTACAAATGTTTAGAGGTATGCCACTTTGAAAACAGGGGTCAAAATTTTGAGCATCGGAAAATGAAAAACTTTGAATGCAGTTTATTCAGGAATATCACCACAAATATTTAGAGATATGCCACATTTAAATCGGATTAAAATTGACAAGAATTTAGAACTGGGTGTGCTTAAAAGAAGGTTGTTTTATTTCCTATTTATTATTATTACCCATAATTATATAATAATATATTTTGCCAAAAATCCAACTCACCTTTTGCAAATTCCCTTTCAGACATGGCAATGTGCGACATTGACGAGCATTTCCGGCGCTCGCTGGGCGAGAACTATGCGGCCCTGTTCGCCAAGAAATCGCCGACGCCCACGACCACGCCCACACCCACGCCCTCGCCCTGTGGAACGCCCAAGCAGCAGGTTTCGCCGTTGGCCTACGGACCACCCTTGTCAACCAGCACAACTTCAGCCACGCAATTGTATCAGCAGCAGCAGCAGCAGCACCGCTCGCCGTTGGCCAAGCCGGGTTTGGCCATTCTGGAGCCGGGTTCGCCGCAATCGGAACTGCCGCCGCCGCAGGAGGAACCGCTGCCCCTTTCGCTGGCCCTGAATCGCACCCAAACGCCGCCATCGCCGCCGCCCTCGGCCACGGGATCGGGACCAGCGCTGCCGGCGGCCGTTAGCCAGGTGATGGAGGCAGCGGTGGCCGCCAAGCGGATCCTCGATACGCCGCATCACACGCCGCCCAGGTACAACACGCCACCACCACCGCCGCCGGCTTACGGAACAGTTGGATCGACCGCTGTGACGCCGACTTTGACACCGACTCCGACTCCAGCTCCGAATCCGAATCCAAATCCGAATGTGAATGCAAATGCAAATGCGAATCCGACGCCTCCGCAGGTTCCCACGCCCACGACCACGCCCAGCATGCCGGCCATCATTCGGGTGAAGGCTGAACCGGGACTTGCTGCAGCGGCCGCCTCGTCGACACAAACGCCACCGGCTTCGCCCACCTCGTCCACGAATATCTCGATATTCACCAAGACTGAAGCCTCGGTGGACGATCATTTTGCCAAGGCGCTTGGTCCCACCTGGAAGAAGCTGCAGGGCGGGCACAAGGACTAGAATTATATCCCCCAACCAACCCTAAACAAAACAAAACAAAGCAAACCCAACCCAACCCCAGATCCTCAATGATCCAACTCAAGAGCTGTTTTTATTATAAATATTTCAAACTACACAATTAACGTTTAAAGATCTCAAGCTGATGTGAACGGAAATTCTTCAACTGCGAGTGTATTACAAGTTTCTGATATATAATGATTTTATTGAATATTGATAACGGTTAGCGTGGATATATATATGGATATATATGTGTATGGCAAAGTGTATACGTACAAGTGACAAAATTTTGTATTCTTAATGCTTAGTTGGTAGAGACTAATCCTTAATAATATACCTATTAAACATAAGTGAACAATCCTATGAAGTGAGTGTTTTTTATTGGGTCTATTTTTGGGAGTTTAGTAGTTACAGTGGAAAACAATATCACATTGGTAATGTAAATTTGGTAAATGTTAATTTTATTTTCAAATCCGAAATAATTCTACTTGTATTTTTCAAAGATTTGGAAAGCATTAAGATTACGTATCTTTACGTAACTTTTTTTTACAAAAAAACATGCAAAAAACTTTCAAAATATTATTGTTATTACAACATTACATAATTTCATACAGCAATTAAGTGTTTTCAAATGTTGCGTATTAACATAAATTAAGTTGGTTTTATACTCATAATTAAGGAACTCTTATTTTCGTTTTGCAATTTTGAATTTTCCGTTGGCGGTTTTTCTGTCAACAGTTCGATAACAACGCACACTGTTTGCGCGTACCAGTGCAACCACACCACGAACCGACCGATAAACTGGTATCGGAACGGCAAAACCGCCATTCACAGCGAACGATAACAATTAGTGGCATTCGCAGCGAATGGTAACGATTAATGGCAATCGAATCGTACAGTACATTTACATTGCAAAAAAGCATAAAACAAAGTTTTAAAACAATTAAAAGCGAGCAATCCTCGGCGTGTTATTAAAGAAGCAGCCCAGCGTTCGCCCCGTAACCGCGGCAGAGCGCGCGACCTTGCGATTTCACGGAGTAGCAGCGCCAAAAAAGAGGGTCGTCGGCAGAGGGGCGCAGAGAGAGAAAATGTCACGCAAAGCAGCAGAAGCAGCAGCAGTGGAAGTGGAAAAAGAGTGAAGAAACCCCCGAATCCCAGCCAGTTGAGATCCTTGCGAGGACGCGAACCCAGCCGGGGCAAGGACAACCGCATCCCGATGCTGATGCGGCACAGCCAAGTGAGTGTGCCGTACGAAACCGATGGACAGCAGCCAGCGAAAGTAGGAGACAACAACGGAGCCCTGCGTCTGCGGTCCTAAAAAAAAAACAACAACCACATAGAACACAAACACACGGGCACAAAACACCTGCCGAGCGCAATGCGAATGCCGCCGATCCTGGCCAGGATTGAACACAAACCGGTGCTTGGATGTCGTCGGTAATTGGGTGCGCCATCCGCCGTTGGGAAACCCCTAGCACTCCGCTGGCACCATGCAAAGCCTGGACTCCTCATGCCAAGAAGCCGACGTAAGATCATATCGCATCCCGTTAAGCATATTAATCAATAATCCCTTCCACCAGTTTATTATAAATGACACGCTCAAGAAGTTAAAGGGCTCCAGCAATGCGGACCATGTCCAGGGACTAGCGGTCCACGCCCATGGATCGGGCGTCCACCAGACGCAGTTCGTGCAGTACCAGGCCGGGAACTCGCCGCAGCTGCAGCCCCAGCAGTCGTACCATCAGGTTCACACGGTCCTACCGCAGCAGCAGTTCGCCTCCTCGAGCAGCAAGTCGTATCTGGAGACGAGCCTGCTGCAGGCCATACCACAGATTCCTGCCCAACCGCCCATCTGCATCTTCGATGACGATGAGTCCCCCACCGAGGGCACTGGCGGCTCGCTGGGCGGCCTGCTCACGGAGCCCACCTCGGCCACGCCCAGCGGCCTGCCCACTGCAATCGCTCCGTCGCCCTCCTCGTGCTCATCCTCCACCACAACGCTGTCGAACTTCAACTCGATCACCTCGCCCTCGCCGGTGGTGCCCGATCTGCTGCTGTCCACGCCGCCGGGCGTCAACTCCAGTTTGAGCAACAGCTCAACGGGAGCGGCCAGTGTGTCGAGCAAGAAGTCCGAGAAGCGTCCGCCCTCCGCCAACTCGATAGCCAGCAGTGGCGGTAGCGGGGGAGCACATCACCTGCACCATCATCACCTCCACCAGACGCACAATCACCATGTCCTGGCATCGCCCACGTCGTCGCCCAGCAAGCGACAGAAGTCAAACAGCAGTAGCAAGGAGTGCAGCTCCTCTAGTCGCAGCTCAGCTTTACCCGCCGCCTCAGTCTCCGCATTGGCCACCACGTCGTCGCAATCAGCGCGCGCTGGCGCCGGCGCTGCCTCCTCCAACAGCAACAACAAGCCACCTTCCTCCGTCTGCCAGTCGGGCAACAGCAAGTTTGTTAATCTGCACGAGAAAATTAAGGACCTGTACCTACAGCTGCTGAGCAACGACCTCAACTACTTTGCCGAAACAGGGGTAAGTTTTTATTTAAGCGAGTGAAGGCATTCATGTTATGTTTATTGCGCATTTCAGCTAAAGCAACGCACTCGTTCGTTTACCCTGGAACGGCTGGTGGAGCGGGAGAAGCTCAACACGATTGTGGTCAACCTGTATCCCGGCAACAAGGGATACTCGCTGGCCCTGCACTATGATGAGCACCTGCAATTGAACCCGCAAACGAACGAATGGTCCTCCACCGACAAGGACGAGGCCACGACCGATGCTGCCAGCTTGGGATCGGGAGTAGGAGCTGCCAGTCATCGAGGCCGCTCTAAGCCAGCAAGCTTGGATGACAGCCACTCAAAATCGGAGGGTGGTCAGGCCAAGCACGACTTCGGTCTGGTGGAGGTTCTGCGATGGCCCTACGAGAACGATCTGCTGCTGCAGTGCATCGACCGGGAGATGCTGCCGGAGTTTCTAATGGATCTGCTCGGAGCCGAGACGGTCAGTTTGTCGGATGGCGAGGGAACCAAGGTGTACGCCAAGCCGAGCGTCTTCTACGCCGGCTGCGTAATCGCCCAGATCCGCGACTTCCGCCAGACATTTGCCACCTCAACGAATATCTGTGATATGAAGCACATCCTGCTCAGGCCGACGAACGCCACCCTCTTCGCGGAAGTGCAGCAAATGGGCAGCCAGTTGCCGGCGGAGGACAAGCTCGCCCTGGAGAGCCAGCTGGTGTTGGCCACGGCGGAGCCGCTGTGCCTGGAACCGGATCCCAGTATAGGGCGGCAGGCCATCAATGCCCAGCACCAGCGACAGCTCTTCAACTCGCACGAGCTGCGGCGCCAGATGAAGAAGTTCACCCAGACGGCCATCAATCGGAAGCGCAAGCTCGATCAGTTCACCCACCATCACGGCCTGGAATTGTGCGATTATTTGGCTCGCTTGCGCCAGAGACCTCGAACGGGGAGCAGCAGTGGCGGCGGCAATGCCACACCGGCCACGGCGCCCACCAACAATCCGCTGGTGGGCGCCATGCTGTCGTCGTTCACTTCGAAGGTTCCGCGGCGACCGCACGAGGTTATCCGGCCCATTCGTCCGCCCACCCTGGAGTATCCCGCCAATCTGAAGGTGCCCGAGCACGTGATCAGCGTGGAGAAGTACGCCAAAGCCTTCGAGCCGCTCAACGAGTTCAGCGAGGCCTGCAAGGACGGCTGCCAGCCGAACTGTCGGCACAACTTCCAGCCGCAGCTCATCGAGGAGTACGTGCTGGAGACGGAGCGCGAGGCGAGCGAAGGACGGCGGGCGCTGTACCACATCAAGCTGTCCATCTTCCAGCGGCCCTCCGATGCAGAGTACCTTGGCGAGCTGTACGTGGACAGAGACTACAGGGAGGGCGAGCGGAATGGGGAATCGTGCCGCTTTGCGCTGGGCACTCGGGTGCATGCCAATCGATACATTCAGCAGTTCCGCGAGATCTTCACCGAGGAGGGGCGTAAGGCGGTCAAAATCACGCATTTGATACCCGGGCATGTGCCGATCGTTACGCACACGGGATTGACGAACGAGCAGCGGATCCTGTTGCAGCAACAGCAGCAGCAGCAACAACAGCAGCAGAGGCAAGCCCAGTTGCAGCAGCAGCAGCAGCAGCAACAACAACAACAGCAGCAACAACAGCATGTGGTTGTTGTGGGCAATCCCCAACAACAACAGCAGCAGCCGCAGCAACAACAACAACCCCAGCAGCAGCAGCAACAACAACAACAAGCGACACAGCAGTTATCCGCCACAGTGCATCATGTGGCACTGCCGCGACAGCAAATCACTCAAAAGACTCTCAATTTGGCCGGCGGTAATGTTATTAATGTGCAGCAAAACTTTCGGCAGCAGCCAGCTCAACAGCAACAGCAAACCTACACAATTGAGGCACCGCAGCAGCAGGGCGCAACACAGATTGTCGCGCAGCAACAACAACAACAACCGCAACAGCAGCACATTCACCTTCAGCAGTTGTCCACCGGCGGCGGCAGCAATTCCTCCACGACAACTCACCAAGTTAGCCTCAGCAATGGCTCCCTGGTCCTTGTGCAACAGCAGCCGCAGCAGCAGCAGTCGCAACAACTGGCCCAGGCGCTGCAACACTCGGGCATAACCATCCAGCCGGCCACCATTCAGCAGCAGCAGGTGAAGGGCACATCGGTGGTGGGGGCCAACTCCGCACTGCGTGCCCAGCTCAACTCTAATGTGCCAATACTGGTAAGATAAATAAATACATTAAGGAATTTCCCTTTTTAAATAAACAATTCGATTTGGTTTTTAGCAAACGCAGCTGAAAGTTCAGCAGCAACAGATTATGCAGAAGCAACAGCAACAACCGACAACTGCCACAAGTAACAACAACAACAATAATAACAATATGAACAACAATGCGGCAACAATACAACATCCGAATCCTGCAATAAATGCCATAGTCAACAGCATTATGAACTCTGCCAATCAGTACCAACAACAGCAGCAGCAACAACAGCAGCAACAACAACATCAGCAACATCAACAGCAAAGTAAGCTAAAGTTACATTCTAACTTAGTTGTTTCTAAAAACAACTCTCTCTTTTAAGCTGGAAACACAACGACCAACAATGCTGCAGTGTCCGGTAATAACAACAACAACGGAAGCAGCAATAGCGCCACAACACTCAAAAACTCCAGCAACGCATCAATTCTGAACCTGCTCAACAGTGCACCAGCGGCCATGACCAGCACTCCAGTGGCCAGTGGCACATTTACCTCATCCACCGGGCAGCAGCAACCGCAGACACTGACGCTTGTGCAGCACCAGCAGCAATCCAATCCGGCCACTGCGGATGCAACAACGGCTACCTATGTGCAGACCACCCGTGGCACGCCCACGCTGGTGAGTACACAGCGGAAACAGCAGTCCAGCGAGGTGCTGCAGAACTTGTTGAACGCCAATCGAAAGATCGGCGGTGCGGGAACCACAACGACAACGTTTCGAACGAACTCAGCGGGCAATTTGATAGCCGTGAACCTCAACCAAGCGGGGCAGGCGCACCACCAGCAAACGGGCGACGGAAGTCAGACGGTGAGGGTGTCCATGTCGGCGCTCGCCTCGCAGTTGGCCTCGCCGCCGGCGGTGATGACGAACCCCACCACCAGCTACACAGTGATCTCGTCGGGCAACAATACTGCGGCTGCTGCCTGGATTCAGAGTCCAACGGGTCCGGTGCCGCAGCGCATCCTGAGCTCGCTGCGGAGGGACAGCACCACGGCGCCGCCCAATGCAATTGTGGTGGGCATGGCCGCACCATCTCCGGGCAGCGATTCGAACGCCTCGAATGCCAGTGGCTTTGCGGTGCCCAACAATCTGGCGTCCACTTCAAGTGGAGGCGGTGGTGGAGGAGCCCTGTCCGCCTTGCTAACCAACGCAGCCACGCCATCGCCATCGGGCTCGGATCACTCGCAGTCGTCGCAGACGCACCAAAACCAAGCACTGCTGGAACGCCTTAGCAATGTCACCTCCAACGTGTCCGCCGTTTCCATGCCGCACATGTCGCCGCAACAGCCGCAGGCGACGCAGCAGTTCATCACCAAAACCATTGTACACTCGCCCGCCACCTCGTCGATACACTCGCCTATGTCTAGTCCGCATCCGCAGCCCTCGGCCTCGCCGCAGCAGCAGCAGCAACAACAGCAGCAGCAGCAACAGACCACCGCCACCCTGAACCTGCAGGGCATCAATCTGTCGCAGCTGCAGGGCGCCATGGCTAACTTTGCCAGCCTGCAAAACGTCCAGGTGCAGATACCCGGCTTCACGCAGCCCATTTCGCTGCAGTTCTCCGGCAACAGTTTGCAGCAGCAGCAGGCGGGGAGTGCGGCAACGGGCGCGGGAACGGCGCAAGGCCAGCAGCGGAGTGTCCTGGTCTCGGTGCCGGTTTCCAGCCAGCAACAACAACTGCCACACACCATAACGCTGCAGACGCAGTCGGCGCCGCATCACCAGCAGCAGCATCAGCAGGCGCAACAGCAACACGCCCCGCCGACGGGCACCATCGTTAGCCTGCCCTCCACAGGACCCGGCACCCAGACGGTGGTCATAACGAACAATGCCGGAGGGGCGGGAGTTTCGGCGGGAAACAACGCCAGTGGCAATGCGGGCAGCGGCGGAGGAGCAGGTGCCACAACAGCCATGCTGACGCTACCCATTGGTGAGTAGATGAAGAAGAGGTGGACCAAGTGCAGCCCACAAGCTTCCTATCTACTATTTCGGCCTGGCCGAAGATGTATTTGTGACTCTGGATCTGGCTTTTTGACTGCGATCTGTATTTATACTCGGACCATATTATTTATACGCAACTCTTTTCTTTTGATTGAACATGCTTAATTTTGTTCTCTTCTGTTTCTGTTTCGTTTCTCGTTTACAACAACATCATACAACACAAACCCGTTAACCACTCGTTTCGATCCCACTCATGCAACTAAACTAATCCAATCCGATTTGTGTGTCTTGTGTGTCCTAACCCGAAATGCCATCAGTTTGAGATTAGAGAGTCCATTATGTTTAACCGTGACCAATACTGATCTGATCGTACTGGTTGAACGTCCTAGTTGGCGAAACTCCCCGACCTCTGACCTTCGACATTTCTCATTGCAACCTAAAACAACAACCAAAAAAATCTCCCCGCACACCCACGTTCTGCTCTCTCTCTGCTTACAGCTCAAATAGTCGGTGCCGGTGTACAGAAACTAAATCCTCAAACAATACGTACCTCAAGTGTTGGTGGTGGTATAGGTATCGCCCAGCAGACGGTCCAGCAGCAGCAGCAACAGCAGACGATCCAGGCGCAGGCGGGCGGCAACAGCACTGCGGCCATCCAGCTGCTGGGCACCATTCAGCCGCGGGCCCGCAACGTCCAGGTGGTGGGCACCAAGCAACTGGCCGCGAGCAGGCAGCTCATCACCACCCAGCGGCAAATAGGTGGCTCCACGCTCAAGATAGCCACCACTCCTGTAAACGGTGAGTTGAGATTGTATTCGCTAACTGATTCGATAAATCATTTCTCCATTAAACAGCCAATGTGGTGACCAGCAGCGCCAGCCTGAGCACCACACCCATTGTGATGACCGGTCAAAAGCTGCAGCTGAAAACAGTGAAGGCGCCGATGCAACAGCAGCAACAGCCGCAGCAGCAACAGCAGCTGCAGCAGCAACACCGAATACTCAACCAGCAAAGCACCGCCACCGTCTCGTCGCAGACACTGCCCAGTCCCAGCCAAGTGCAGGTGCAGGTGCCGCAGCAGCAGCAGCAACAGCTGCATCAGATTCAGATCGCCGGAAGGGCCGCCACCGCCACGGGGGCCATCAGCCAAAGGACACTGACCGCTTTGGCGGCGGCCAAGCAGCAGCAGCAACAACAGCAACAGGCGGCGGTCAATCGACGGCGATCCACAACCGATGCGACCAAGTAGAGGATGTGGGTTCTGGGCTCTGGAACTGAGAGGACTGAGAGATGAAGCATTAGAGCGAACAAGTAAAAGGCTACGCGTTGTGTATTGCTTGATATTATAGTTTATGGTTACCTCCTAACTATCACTACTACCGTACATTGTATACCCATATAACTATATATGTTTTGATGTGTAATCGTAAGTGTAAATTGCATGGGCAACAGCATGGCGGCTCATAGATGTGCAACCTAGTTAGGAGCTGGAGCCTAGTAGTGCTGCAACCAGAAGCAGCCTGCCCCGAGCTCCGCCGACTGCGCTTGTGTTAATTGTGTACCCTTGGCAAAAACGAATTAGGTGTAGAGGTCTTAATAATATTTATCTAGTTGTATATACGCATATATATTATTATATATATATGGAAATTGTTTCAATATGTCCCGCGCCCAATCGCCATTTAACTAAACACAAGAACACCTATCAATTTGGCTCCCAACTCCAATTCGTTAAGTCCTAAGACTAGCTCTTTAAGCGTGCTAATTTTAAGCTGTAAATCAGGGGGAGTCGACGATAACAAAGGAAAGCAATAATATGAGGAGGAAAAATCAACAAAACACGTAAATTAATTGTAAAGAAATTCTTATTATTACGATTACGTTTAGCTACGAGAGCATGTGAACCGGGTTAGGGGTTCATTTTAGCAATTACAAATATTCATATTGTACTATTAATATTATTATTGCTAATTATTTAATCAATTGCTTAGCTTAAGTTCACAAAAGAAGAGAAACAACATTTTAGTTTGTAATGTACAATTCGTAGCCTCAACCAATTTAGTACTTCCAATTGCAAAAACATTAAAAACGGAAAGCAAAACAAAATACACAAAAAGTCAATACTTATTTAAACAATTTATTTGTAATAGCGCAATGTACAATGGAACTAGAGACAGGAGCAGCTGAAGGAATTTTCGGACGAACGAAGCTGCGAGTGCGAGTCGAGAAATGTGTAAAAAGAAAGTATCGCTTTGACTAAAAAAAAATAATTTGTTTTTCAACTAAGCCAGTTTTTGTAGATTGAAATTATTTATTTAAGTAACGATTTTATTTATGTTACTACTCTGCTGTAATTGTTTAGCATTGTTTGATTCAGCTGTACAACACACTAAAACTAAACCTCTTCATAAGGCAGCAAGTAATGAAAACACAAATTAACCTCACCATTACCCGTATTCCCTACCGTACCCAACACACACACTCAAGCATAAATTACTCAATGTTAATATTAAATAATAAATGTGATTTAAGATGAATAAACGAAAAAGAAAACATGGTACTACACAAACCGAATGAATGATTGAAAGAAAGCATAACGAAATGGGAAAATGTTACTCAAGCAAAGCGACGCAAAGAACTGGCCAAAAACCTGAGTACGAAAGTTATATACATGATAATGATTTACGTGTGGTCTGATCAACTGGTTATTGAAAAGTAATTCAAAGATTTATTAATGTAATGCGGAGCAATCTAAGCAGCAGCATAAGATATTTATATATGTAAACACGAAAACAACTATTAATATAAATGTGTAATTTCAATTCAATAACTGCTTATCAAAATACCTGACTGTAGAAACTTTTCATTAAACTGATTACGAAGAAAACTTGAGAAATACTAAACGAAAATATAAATTACGACAAAAACAAAATAAAATAATGAAGCGCCGACAAAGTCAAAGCAAAAGCTCCGTTAATCAATAAAGTGTGAATTGATCTATAAAATTAAATCAGTCTTGTCATTTTTTCCTCAGAATTAAACTTAAATTTTCAATCAATATTTTAAGTAAGTTTTTTTTCGCCCAGAGTCGCAATACAATTTATAATTTTTAGGTAAGAAAACTTTAAAGATCAGTTTTAAATAAAAAGTAATAATTGTTTATTAAGCATATCTAGTAACAAGCACATTCACAGTTAAGTTAGTCTCGGTTTAGCAGCAGATTGGGGTAGAAACGCAGGCCCTCCACGGACTCATCACGGCACACCTTTCCCAGACGCTCGGCCACCAGCAATCGCTCCTTGGCAAGCAGAAGCGAGATTCCTAGCTGCTTGGCCAGTTCTTCCACAGCCAGAGATTCAGCTTGTTCAACCTTCTCCAATGTGTCAACGGCAATTAGGGCATCATCGTGGGACTCCAGTTGCAACACTCTTGCGCCGCTGGGAAAGCTGCGCAGGCGAATGGGACCACTAAGCTGCTCGCAGGCATGCAGCAAGTCCTCGGGTGATAGAAGTTCCAATCCACGGGCTCGATTCACGCGACAGTAAACATCAGCCAAGGACATCATGCCCCCGTGCTCCTAGGGGGTTAAAAGTCGAAGTGATCATCATATGTTATTTATTTTTTAAATATTTACCTCGAGGGGATCGAGAAGCATTTCGCAAATCTGTCGTGCTAAACTGCTGAAGTACGCCGAATTGCTGGTAAAGTTGTCCCTCGTCACTGGATCATCGATTCCGAGGCTCATTAAATAGGATTTAAACCGCACCGTCTCGTCGTCGGATATCTCGCCCTTTTGTTCGCGTATCTTGCTGCTTATTGTCTTGGACACTCCAACCATGTCCTTTGCCATGGCCATTAGCACACTGAGATCCTGAAAGGCCAGGGCTATGTTCTCATCCGTGGCTTTGGATTTCGCCTCCAGGTGACGCTCAATGCCGCCAATTCCAGTTCGCTTTTGAATTCGAGCCAATCTATCGTTTGCTGGCTCCGAGGTGGGACTGCTAGCCACTCCATTAACAATGGTCTCGCTGGTAAAAAGAATTTCCCAGACGCGGGCATTAAGAGTTTCCCGCAGTGCACTGTGAAACTCCACACTAAGACCGTTCTTTCCTGACAATTTTATGTGGGTTGCGCGACTGGTGTCCAGTGGTCCTGGTGCTTTATCCGGTCCTGGCGGGCGGAGATGCATGATAATTCGGGTTTTGCGGCCAAAGAAGTTAGAGGCAGTCGTTTCCTCGCTGAGGGATACCACATAGCTGAGTGGCAGGCAAAGAGTTACAGCAGCTCGGGCTATTTCCCCTGGACGACCCCAGAAAAGTCGGTGCGTGGTGAGAACAACTTCACCCTCCTCAAACTCCGTCTGAAATCACCGGAGAAATGAGTAAGCCTGAAATTATTTGCTACCAGTTTCACTTTCTTACCTTTTGGTCCCCATCGTATATTTTCACCTTGTTGTCGCGACTTACGAAGGATTCATTAGGACTTAGACGGGCCTCTACATATTCGAAGCGATTCATTTCGGTTATTTGTTATTAAATCTTTTGTTGTGACATTTGTTGGAGATGACCTATCTCGCGTGACTTCACTTTATAATTTGCTTGTTAGAGATGGAACAAAATTTGTACAGTTGATATTGGTCTTGGTGAAAATTATATTGTCAATAGTAAGAATTTTTTTCACTTAAACTTAATCTATTTCACTTAATAATTGTTGTTGTATTAATACAGCACTTTGTGGGTCTGATTTTTATTTATAATTTTTATTAAATATTTTGTAATATTCAGATACTGCAACTAAGTGACTGTTGGCTACTTTTGGATAAATGCATGCAAATGTTTGTATATTTTATAACTCTACATATTTTTTATTGCATATTTGAAGATTTTTATTATTATTTATATCGTTTAATTTAATAGCTTATACACAAATTTGGAATCCTTAAATTGTAAATAATTGCGAAAATTCACTAAGACACACCCCTAATAAACTTTCGGCCTGTTGCTGCAATGGAATTTCGTGTGGGCGCGGACTATCGATATATCGCTGGGCTGTAGATGGAAGAAGAAGAAGAACGGTGCAGCAGCTCTTCTATTTTCGTGATAGTTTTTCCCAATTAGTGCTAAAATTAATATCCATAATATGCCATTTTCCGCACAAACATGTGCGAAATGACGTGCCTTTGCTGATCTGCTTACATAACAATCCACTGGTAGCAAAGTAAGCTCCCACACACATCGATCAACCGGGATTAGCGAAGCTTAGTTTGGGACTACATGGCGACTGTGACGGAGGGCAGCAAAATGCTCGAGGCAGCGTTACAGCAAATGGACGGCCTCATCTCGAGCACGGCCACCCAGGCTGTATCAGGGTTGGCATCAGGAGCTGGGGCTTCTCTGACCCTTAGTGAGCGCAACTTGATTTCGGCCACTAATGTTCTATCGACGGCCAAGACTTTGGCTCTTGCCCTGCAACAGGTGAGTCACTCTTAAGAAGATAAGGGTCAAGAATATACAATGCTCACATGCTACCCCTTTCAGGTCGGTCTGGCAGCCCCTGCTCCGGATCCAGTGACGGCGGCCATTATCAGCGACTGGCTGGAGACACATATACCTCGTCAGGATTCTGACGAGCGAATGCGTCGTCTGCAGCGGGACAAAGAGGGTCTGGCCCTGCAGTACCAAATGCTGGCGGAGCGGGTTTCGGAACAGGCGGATAAGATCATTGAGCTGGAGGGTCTGATAACGGAGAAGAGCCAGCAGTTGTGCACCAAAGAGGAGCAGCTGCAGCGGCAGATGATTTCGCGTTCCGCCCTTGAAACGCAGAAACTCGAACTGATGAGTGCCTTAAGTGAACTAAAGCTGCATCGCACGGCCTTGGAACAGGCCAATGATGGTAGTGGAATCTCCGCTAATATTCCCTACGGCAGTTTGAGCAACATAAACCAGAAGGCCTTTATGGGATCCCCCAAAACCCCGCCCTCTGCTTTGCGTCATCAGATCAAACCGCAGTTTCACAGCCTGCCAAGATCGCATGGCAAGCTGGCCAACAACAACAATCGTGCCTTGGACATGAATGCCAACAGCAGTGGCAAACAGCGGAATGTGGCCTTCGCATCAAACGAACAAATTCTGATCGAGGACAATCCCCATCAAGCGGATGATGCCATGACTTCGAGCTTCATGTCGCAGTTTACGCCGTCACCAAAGTTGCGAGAACGGTCTGCCCGTGGCTTGCGTAACATTCTAGGCAAGCTACGGCGCAGCAACAGCAGCAACTGCGAACTGACCGCCTTGGAGCAGGCAGAACCCGAGTTCCGGCGAGGAGGTTCCAGAGCAACCGCCGGAGGACGTATCGAGTGGAGTGCCCAGACTCCTTTGTTTGGTGAGAGTGAAAAGCACTGGACCACTTGGGAACCACAGGAGGTGTGCAATTGGTTGGGATACATGGGTCTAGGCTGCTATGAGGACAATTGCCGGTGAGTTAGGGTTCTACAATCAATTTAAACCGATTTTATTATGAACTTTCTTTCACTAGGAAATGGCTTAAGGCCAATCCATCAGTGTCCATCTTCACCGCTTCGCCGGTGGACATTGAACGAGAGCTTAACCTAAAGCTTCCTCTTCACCGAAAGAAGATTTTGCTGGCTATCGACGAAATCACTGGCAAGGAATTCGATGAGCTAACATTGAAGGCATCCAACTTGGACGTGGCTTGGGTTGTACGCTGGCTGGATGACATCGGTCTGCCTCAGTACAAGGATTATTTTGTGCAGGCCAAGGTGGACGGTCGGATGTTGCACCGCCTGACACTCGAGGATTTGTCCCAGCTGCATGTGAGCTCCTGTCTGCACATTGCTTCGCTCCGAGCGGGAATCTTGTGCATGCGCCGCTTGTCTTGGAATGCAGAGGGTCTGATTCGGCGCTCCATCAAGGTGTCCAGTGAGGATGAACCGGCAGGCAGTCCGGACAAGGAGAACGTAGAGCTATGGACAGCGCACCGGATAATGGGCTGGTTGCAAACCATCGACCTGTCAGAATACACACCAAATCTTCGTGGTGCCGGTGTCCATGGCGCTTTGATGCTTTACGAGCCGCGTTTCAATGCGGATCTGCTGGCCGACTTGCTGTCAATACCGTCGAGCAAGTCCCTGCTGCGTCGCCACCTTGCCATGCATTTCAAGGAGCTAGTTGGTCGTCCGGTGATTCTAAGCAAGCGCGATGCAGAATCCGCCCCAGGATATCAACCGCTAAGCATTACTGCGAAGCTTAAGCCGGTGAAACGCACTCAGTTCTCGCTGAAGCGTCGAAAGAGCGCCAAGGGCTCGAGCGATGTTGACTGGACAGAGTACGTGTGTCCCATGAATGCTAGAATACCAGAGCCAACTTTGGCGGATCCGACTAAGGACCATGAGAGCTCAATGAGTTAAAATTGATGACGAGTCGCACAAGTCGATTTCAAGCAAGAAAATGTTTTCTAGTTGTAAGCCCAAGCCTGGCCCAGGATCCCCAAAAGAATGAACTGCCACCTGAACCAATTAAGCAACCAAAACCACAAAACGAACGACAATATTAGTGAGAATTTATCTGGGCACGCCCAACCCAATCTTCCAAACATTTTTCGAATGAATTCAAGTCAAAATTCTTTCGTCAACCTAAGCATACCAGCAAACATTTTGGAAATCTTTACTTTACCTGTAACTAACATTTAGGATAATCTGGATCCGGGATGCGATGATATATTTCAGATAAGCATAAAGTTAACAATAATAACGAGAAGTATTCGCAATGGCATTGAAACGACCTTGAGAGCGAGCATAACCCCTATAGACTTATCGCCCATTTTGGAGTTAATTTTTTGTACTAACACGTAACTGTATTGACGGATTTTTTGTAAAATACAAACTACGATGCCTTTTACAACCAAATATGATGGCTTTTTATATAAACTTGAATGAGTTATTTTCTATTTATAGAACCTTTTAAATTCTGTTCTGAATCATACCAAAGTTTTTCGGTTCCCTTGAAATCTGTAATTAAGTTTTAGGAAAAACTTTTTATGGTTAAACATTTAGTTTATTTGTTAACAATAACATTTGTTTAGGCACTAGAAAAACAGATGAACGACTAGGAAGCGTGGCTGAGGATCATTGATCGCGTTGGTGAGCAGCCCGCATGGACGGAATCGGCATGGGATGGTGTGCTCCATCATCTCGTCTTAAACTAACTCTTTGGCAGTGCTTTGTGTGGCTGGCACCTGGATCTCTGCTTGGGAGGGCTCAAGTGGCCTGGTTGGCGGTCTGCGCCCCCTGACTTGGAAGGTTATCCTCCCGCCCACTGCTCTGATGCTTGGCCAGATCGCTTTCCGGTATGTGATCCTTCCAGTTGCGAAAAAGGTATCGCGTGAACTTCTTTAGCTGCCTGAACTTGCAGTAGGTGGCACCTTCGGCAGATTGCAGTTGCTGTGTTTGAATGAGGAAGCCCTTCTCCTTGAAGGTTTTCTCGAGCTTCTCTCGCTGCTTTGATCTCCTCGATGATCTTCGTTTACGATCACTTTCTGATGGGGATTTCCCCTGCGATAGGCTGGGACACACAGCTCCGGGCATCGGACTCTGGGAGCTGGAGCTTTGCGAAACGGGGCTTTGAGGTGCTACTGCGGTCACCAAGTTGTTGCTGCTGGGCAGGAGCAGCGATGACGTCGGCGACTCCGGCGATATTTGCAGCAACTCCGGACTGAGATCCGTTGAGGGAGGTGGTATGTCCACGTAGAGCTTCTCCGGTCCCTGCTGCTGTTGATTTTGCTGGAGCTGCTGCTGCTGATCCCGGGAGATGAACTCATAGCCCCGCATGGTCTTGTCCCCGGTGCCGTTGTAATATCGGTAGTTGCCCTCCGCATCCACCGACAACATCTTCTTCTCCTGCAGCGTGGGCTTCGCTCCGCCAGTGAACTTGAACTTGCATATGCTCACCTCGTTCGAGGGACTCGATGAATGCTCGGCGGGCATTGGAGGTATGAAGATCGCAGATCGCTTGCGTTTTCTCATGGCCAGTGGCGTGGTCTCGTTGGCAAAGAAGCCACTTGGTATGGGTATCTTGAGGGAGAGCTGATTGTCCTTCTCGATGGTTTCCAAGGGCACTGGCATTCCACCCAAGCTGCAGGACTCCACCAGCTGTTGGTAGTACAAACCCACTGGTTGCAGCATCAATTTGGCGGCACTCAGAGGTTGATCCTCACCTCCGGTCAACTCCAAGGTCAGTGGCTTCACGGAACTCAGAGGTGTTGTCCTGTGAGAGGAGCTTCCACAATCTGTCGTATTCGTGGTCGTAGTGGGTGTTGTCCTCGTCGTGGGCTTCTCACTGTCGCCACTGGAGATGGAGAACCGATCGGCGCTCTGGTCGCGCAGGCAGAGATTCAGTGGTTCATCTGGTGGCAGGGACATTGTGGGAGTTGAGGATGGTGGAGCAGCACTTACCGGCATTGCTGCCACGGCAGCGGGAACAATGGTTCCATAGTTTTTATAGATCAGGTGACAGATGTCCGCCTTCTTGGGTTTTCTGCCTCTTCTTGGTTTGTAGTTATCCAGGGTTATCTCACCCATGTAAGGTAGATCGGCGTATTTTAAAGAGCTTCGCTTCGAGGTGGAGGTTGCTTCAGGGGTTTTAACCGGAACCACAGAGGTGGCAGCAATGGGCGAAGATCTGGAGGGTGGTGGAGCTCCGTTTCGGGAAGTGGATGCCTGCTTGCGCTCGGCACTCCTTTGGATTTCGGCGATCTTCCGCAGCCAACTGCGCACATTCTCGTGAGATTGACTTGGTGGATGCGAGGGAGGAGGAGGTGGCGGCGGGAGAACTGGTCTGGTTGGCTGACGACCTTGAGTGGCCTCATAGTGGGCGGCATATTCAGCAGGCAAAGCTTGGTGATGGAAACGCAGCTTCAAGGCACCCGCATCATTGCCTCGTTTTCGGTTTCGGTTTTGCGGTTCCCGCTGAACTGATTTCAATGTCTTTTGCGTGGAAGGATTAGGTTGTTCCTCCTGCGGCTGAGGTTGCCTATTGGCCTTTCGGTTGCCCATCAGGAGATTGGCTTTCAGTTGCTGTTTGGTGAGGGGACTACAGGTTCCATTGTGCGGTGTTTCGTGGCTGGCACTTTTGCGCGCCAGCAGCGTCTTGAAGGGATGATCCTCGTCGTGGGCATCGTTAGTGGAGCCATGCGAGATCAGCGGATCATCGGAGCCCTGCAGGAGAAGTCGGGTGCTGTTGAGGTCCAACCGGAGTTTCGGATGCTCCGGTGTAGGCAGCCAGCACTCAAGATCGGGATCATGCTCGAGTTTAATGTTGGGCAGCAGTTGATCTAGATTGTTGGTGGCGGGAGCTACTGGGACCAACTCCCCCTTGCCAGAATTGCCATTCAGGTCGCAGACCCTCGTCAGTTCCTGCATCCTGATCCTGGCTGAAAGGGAGAGAAATAAGTAAATAAATAAATATAATATAAAAGACTCAAAGTAACAAGAAGGAAATAAGGATAAAGTAGCCATAAAGCTTGAACTAATAAAGTCAAAAATCTTAATTGAGATTAAGCTTAATCAAATGATATGTTCATAAATAAATATGAGTGGAAGGATAATATACAAAGAAACTAAAACAAAATCAATAAATTTTTGTTGAAAAAAAAATTTATTTTTGTTAATCAAATTAATATTCTCTGTTGGTATAAAGAAAGAATACGTTGCGTATACGCACTGTTTACTTCAGAAAATATAAAAAAATAAATGTTCCGGCAAGTAAATAAATAAAAAACAAAGTGCAACTATGAAGCTGGAAATGAATTTAGTCCCTCTGGAGATAGTGGTCAATATGAATCAAAGGAATACGTTGCGTATACGCGACGTGAGAAACACACGTTTTTGCCTCGTTTTCGTGTTGTTATTTTGATAATAGCCGGCAGGAAAAAGGGGGCACGGAGACGAAGGAGGAGGCCAGCTCACTCTCTCGATATCGGTGGCTAGCACGGGAATTCTATTTAAATGTCTACGAGGAACTGGCAAGTGGCGCTCTCTCGGCCAAAAAATTCAAAACACACACAAACGCACAGCGAATCGCGCTCCGAAACCGAAATGTTGTTTTTGTGCATGAAATTCGATTCCCTGGGCCAAAAGCATGCCCATAAAAGGTCTAAATGTCCGGCCTGAATGGTTGCCAAAGTTCCAAGTTCTAAAATAAAAACAAGAATCTATTGGAGTGTCGGTTTTTACCTCGTGATCGTGATCGATCTTTTGTACGTTTAGGTTGCCCTGGAAAAATCTATATGTATCTGTTCTACGGTTCAGTCTTGGCTCAAGATGTAATCCCAGCTGGAAGCTCCAACTCCAGGATTGCCTGTATTCCTCAGTGCGTTAGAGTCCACAGTTCACTTTACGCTGCCAGTGGCAGTTGGTTGACCAAATTCGCCGCTGTTCGCGTGTACATCGTGTTGACATCCAAAACGCAACTAGTTGCGGGAAAGCCGAGTCGCGGAAAGCATCGCTTCTTCGGAATATGCTCCTTAGATGGACCGCCGCGGAGAGAACGCCCCACACACAATAGAGGAAAAATAGCGCGAACGATGAGCAGCGGCGGGCCCAAGTGAAAATCAAATCAAATTCCGCCGCTCTTCGACCGACCGAGATGCGTTGTCGCTGCTCGACACCGATGGATGCCGTGGTCTGTATTTAACGCCAAAGACGAAGCTATTTCGTGTGTGTTCATTTTTAGAAAAATCCAACTTGTTGCCGGCCATATAGACTCCCTCCTTCGTCATCTCCTAGCTGTTCCGCCGACAAACATTCAATCCACACAACGCAGCCAAAACGAAGACCCAAAGAAATGTATTCTTTTTATTTCGCAGTTTTTCATTCATGGGCTCTTGGTGCACCGCCCCGCAATTCCTTCACTCGCCAGCTTTGTTTATTGTTTCAACAGATCAGGGTGAAAACAAATTGGTTCCGTTTAAGTTCTTCACTGCAATGGGAGCACGAGCACCTTTCCCAAATCTGAGCAGAGGGAGCCAGAACCAGAGGGTATAGCCCATTCGATCACCACCCCCTCATTCGTTGTGGCTCTCATTTTTAGGTGGCTACGCGTATATGCGATCGTTCTGTTTGATGGCTTTTTATTTATAGCACCTTGCTACTTCGGGTTAGGGCAACTAAGAATCGCCTGCGCCTCTTTCGGATTATGATTTTTGGGGAAAGTAAAGGAAGAGAAATATAACTCCCGAAATAGACAACGGATCGTTGCGGATACACTATTTCGGGCGGCGCACATGGAAATATAGGTCAGCTCCGGTTCTACCTGGAGTGGGTACACCGAAAGAAAGTATTGACCATTTTTCCGTACCACAAGTCCGAAAAATATTTTTTTTAGATATTTTTATAATTTGTTTAACATGCTATAATGAATGAAGATAAAATAAAATTCAAAACAAGAAAAAAAAAAAAAAAAAATTGAAAACCTAATCTTTTAAAAAATAACATATAACATAAATATTTTTTTATAGTAGGTAGTGAGTATTAATTTCTTTGGTTCTCTGGTTCTCAACTTATCGGCCATAATTGGTGAATATTTTATTCTTTATCGTAAGTTTTATATTATTTACCCTATCTCAAGGAATCAATACAGATATAAATAATACATAACTTTAAAAAATTTAAGCGTTGCATGTGTTAAGTTCGTAATTTGTTGATCATTCTCTTAAGACCAACATGTTTTGATTTTTAGCTTTCAGCTCTGTTACAGTAGGTCATGGGCTTAAGAACGAGTGTGTTAAGTCACTTCTAATTACTTTCACCACTGCGTAGTCTAAAGCAGCAGCTGACTGACACTCGAAATATCGGAATGCAAGGCACAAATCTGACAAGCCACTATTCAAAAACGAAAACATGCCTTTTTGGGGAACGACGTTCTTCAAGCGCGACACATTTGGCTGTCCAGAGTCGATAAGACCCCCTTATAGATCACCCAATACCTACCCGATTTCAGCTGGAAAGAATGCCATTCCCAGTTGATCGATTTTCGACTGTTTCGCATCGCGTGCAAGATCGAACTTCGCGGAGATCACTGTGCAGCCGATGATGACGATGATATTCCGTCGATGGCAGTGGGTGGGCGAGTTTTTCGCTGCGACCTGCAGAAGCTTTACATTCTAGAGGCGGTTAGACGGCGATTAGACAGACGGCGGTAAGCCGCAATTGGCAGGCCAGAACCGGAGCTTACATCACCAGCAGCCAGCGGCCACCGGCGTCCAACCTACGGATCCGTAGCTCCGCTCTTGAATATTGCACATCTATTCGGCAGCTGCGACTGTGCGAATGCTGCTGCTTTTGCTGTTGCTATTTTTTGCGAGCATGTTTATTGAGCGACACTCACAGTCAATACCTGCTTACGCGAACGTACATATTTGTATTTATGGCCATAACTGCCACTTCAGACGCCCACGATCGGTTTGTTGGCCCGCAGCAGCGGCACACACAATCATCACAGTTGCGGATTCTATAAGTTTCGGATTTGTTTTGGCCTTGCCTCAAGTTTACTGTTTTCCCGGCGATATGGGAAAAATTTTCTCAAGGGATTTTCTCACTACACTTCACTCTACTCAAAATATTTCCGGAAGAGCTCGGGACTGCGCATGCGTACGTTTTTACAAAGCCAAATACCATTTAAACTGACTTTTAAGTCTTGCCTTGATTTATTCTTTTTCAGGCAACAAAGGGAACTATTCCCTTGGGATTTTCTCACTTTACCATATTTATAATTTTCACATCAAAGCCCGATTTTGTACTACTGTCAGCTGTTTAGAATTGACGACCGAACATGCGTGCGTATATGCAAATGCTTGGCTTAAAAAGCGAACTGCCATTTGGACCGACTTCCATTTAAATCAGTTTCGTTCTGTTAGCGTTTTTGCCAGGTGGCCAAGATTTTCAAGACAGACCTGCCACATCGGTGGAATTAGAATAAGAAACAACATTATCAATGATATTTTTATGGTAAAAGTTTATTATTTGCAACTTTATTTTTTTAGTTTCTCCTTTGTGTTTTTGTTTTCATGTTTAAATGTCTATAAAGTATATATAATATATATTTCTGCATTTTTTGTGGTTTGTGGTTTTTTTTGTTTATTTTTTTTTTTTTTAGTTTTTCATAATTTTTTTTTTTTTTTGTTTTGTTTTATTTAACTTGCCAGTTGTTCTTTGTTTATATACCTATTACACATTTGCATAAGTTTTTTGTGTATAATAATTATTATTAATAATAATTTAATTGTTGTAATTATAACTTGGTTTATAATCTCCTCCAGTTCTCTATATCCAATTTCCTGCTCCTCCTTATCATCAATGCGCTTATGTCGCCCACCAGCGACGCCCAGTTTGGCAAACGAAACAAAATGTACACTGCTTGCCCAATATTTTGAAACTGGCAATAATTAATACTAGGGTGTTTGATATTTCTGTTCTGTTATTATACCTCGATCTCGATCTCGATCTCTCGTCTTATTGTTAGCTTTAGCTCTCATCGCCGCTCATCTGGATCTAACTAATCTGATTTTGCTCCTACTGCGTTTTCTCTGTGGTTATGTTTTTGGTTCAGTGTGTTCCGGAATTTAGCAGCTCTTAAGGAAACAAATTTGATCAAAAATTAACCTGTGTCGGGGATTTTTAGGATGGTGGCGGCATTCTTTAAACGATCGGTAGTTATTGTTACTGTAGTATGTACTCATCTATTATTATGCTGGGTTTATTTATGTTGTATCCTGCAGTAAGTCGCATAAATAATGTTTAAAATATACTTCTGTTAATAATGCTTTAAGTATTAAAATATTTATAGTTTTGTCCATAATTAATTAATAGTTTTCTTGTTCGATAGCATTTACTTGTGTTGTGGGCTTCCAGCCGAATTCCGCGTGTGCAAAACATCGCGGAAAAGGCCGATTGAGTATATATAGATATATATCTGTATTGTTTTTTCGGTGTTTACTTTCATCCTTTTGTTTTAATGAACGAATGCACAATTTTACACACTTCGCCATTTTGGTTTCATTATTCATAGATTGTATTTAATGTACACATATGTATAGTATATAGCGTATATTTCTATAAATAGTTATATAAAGACCTTCTTGTTGCTATTATAAATGATTTACTTAATTGTTCTTCACGTCTCTGTTCTTCTTCTTCTGCTGTTTCGATCAACTACTTTTGACTATTTACCATCTTCCTCGTTAGTTCGGCAATTTATGTGTGTAAATATAAATTTTGTCGTATTTTAATATATGTAAGTATGCATGTTATAGCTGTGTGCATGGTATCTGCCCTTCTTCCGCTTCATTTGTGATGTATTTTTTTTTGAAAAAATGTATAAAGTGTGAAATGCTCGATTTGTGTACAAAGTGCATTCGATGTGAGAATTCAAATGAAATCCAATGAAAGACTAGAGAAAAACTCTTGAACTGTTCCGGGCTCACATTGCCAGTGATCCTGTTTATGCTCTATTTATATTTATTCTTTTTGATTCTGAAACCATTTTACATTTAACATTTAATTCATGTGTTGTTATTCTTGATTTCGTCTCGTTTGGTTTTGTTCTCTCGTTCGAACTTCCTATTGACAAGTTTTAAAGGAACTGATCACGAATCGTATTTGGGTGTTAAAGCATGCTTTGTATTTGCCTCTCTTGGAATTGGTTTTGCTTTAAATTAAACTGATAAGAATCTTCTTTATTTGCATTTTCTGTCTTTACATTTATGCTACTAATATTAGGTGCAAGTTCTCTTATTGTTAAATGACATTTGCTGAATTTTAATGTTAGGTTTGTTATTTTAGTTTTCGTTTGTGTTTCTCATTCACATTTTGCTGCTAATTTCTTATTGTTTTCGTTAAAGGTGCTCTTCAAAAATCTCAACCAATGGATTGATGTAATCATTGCTAAGTAATTGTATTCGTGTGTTTTCTTGGGATCGGAAAAGACCAATGTAATTACATAAATTCTGCAAATCAGTTAAAGGTAAGGCTTAGTGAATAAAATCAAACCACATGCCGTTGCGTACGTGTGTGTGTGTGTTTGTGTGATTGCATAATGCTAAATACGGACGGATTTCTAAACGGAAAGTATATAGAGTGTACAAAGAAGCTGTAGCTGACGTACTGCATCTGAGAAATAGTTTCTGAAACGCACCTCAAGCTACACTCAAAAAATTGCAGTGTAAGTGTGTGTGTGTGTGTCCTCTGATGTGTGGATGCTAAAATCTAGACTAGCAACTATTTTGGTTTTGTTTTGTAATAATATGCAATAATTGAACCCTCTGGTTCGGGTTCTGTTTGAGGGACTTTATTTTTATTCTATATACAATATAAATTCGCTTTGACCATTTGGTTTTATTCGATTAGCCTGCCGCCAACTGCATGAGTTATATCTCTGTATCTCGTACCTCGATCTAACATTTGGCTAAGTACTAAAAGATAACAGTTTTATCTACAAAAAATAACTTTGGGCCTTTTCAACGCCAATATCTCCAGCCGTACACTTATTCTTCCCATATCATTCCATTCCATCCGATTCGTTTTTGTATAATTGCAAAATTGGTTTATAATGCTTGGTTGACCTTAGCTCGCTAATAAATCTTTCTTTGTTCATAGTAATAGTAATAATTGTCATAATAATAGTATTATAATATATCGTCTATATAAGTACGACTAGGTTCTGCCTTTAAAAATGTTTAAATTTCTCCTT